TACTTACGTGTGGGTTTGTTCGGTTACCGGTTAATAATCGGAACTGAGTTGGATAGGTATCGGGGTTGCAAGTCCCAGAGCGGGGCTTGCAGAATTCTAATACTCCCGCTTCGGAGGTTGCAGGCCCGCTCCGGAGGTGACCGGAGGTTGTACGTCCGCTTCGGAGGCGCGTAAGGACGCTAGGGATTTGGTGCGTACGGTCAGGGACAGTACGGAGCGGATCCAGATATTGTCAGGGGATCTGGAGAGGATACTGTGACAGCGGGCCTGCAACCCCCAAAGCGGGAGTATTAGAATTCTGCAAGCCCCGCTCTGGGACTTGCAACCCCGATACCTATCCAACTCAGTTCCGATTATTAACCGGTAACCGAATGAACCCACACGTAAGTATATAGACCATTACTGGTAGAGTTCTGTTCGTTACACAACGTCTTGTACCTACTTAGATACCGTACGTAGTAATTGATTTAGACTCCTAGCGAGTCCTAAAGGGCCTACTCGTAGCATCTTCGTGACACTGACCTTGGGTGGTTGCAGCAAGTATTTGATGAAAACACCAAGCAGTCAGCTCAAAGAAAGTGGAGGCTTCTCATCATCAACGGCCACGGCAGCCACCTTAGCAGGGCTTTTCTAACTTATTGCCATCTACACAGGATCCTTGTGGCAACATTTCCTCCACACAGTACGCATACTTTGCAGCCGCTGGATGTGGTGCTGTTCAGGCCTCTATCAGCTGCATACTCCAAGAAGCTCACGCAATGCTTTCACAGCAGCAAAGGCTTAGTGCCTGTGAAGAAAGGCGACTTCTTCCCTCTGTTCTGGGATGCCTGGCTTGCCTTATTCACCAAAAAGCTCATACTCAAAGCCTTTGAGGCAGTGGGTATTCACCCACTCAATTGCAACAAGATCCTCCACAAATTCAAGCCCAAGAAGCCTGAGATTACAGAGGCTCCTATCACTCCTCTAACACAGCTAGAATGTGAGGTCACTGTAGGCAGGCAATCAGACACAGGATGGATTGGGGCCATCTGGGGCCAAATGGGATGAGATTAGACAAATCCTTGATGGCTTAGCCTCAAGGTTTGTGAGGAATATATACAGGTGGCCCGTGGGCCTCCGGTCCAGTCCCGGAGTACATCCAAGGGCTGGCCAGTACATGTAAGGGGAAATACCCGTGACATAGAAGGTGAAAATTGCCGTCAAATTATAGCCCAATTTGACCGTGTTGTGCAGGATAAGAGTGAGCCAGAAGCCAAAGCCCTGCGGCAGACAATTCACCACTTGGCTATCCAAAATGAATTACTTCATGACGAGAACAAGGGCTTAATTGAGGCTCTGAAGGTCAAGAAGAAGCAGAATAAGAAGAGCAAAGCACTTGATCTCAACAAGCATGACCTGAACTACTGGGGTGTGTTACGATCCTACGTCCTGCAATAGGATGGCAGAAGCAATAAGTAACCACCAACCAAACACGGAAGCCTGGGGGAAGGTGCAGCACAACAAGGCCGCCCGGCTGGCGCCTAATGGGTTCAGACAGACCCACATGACAAGCTCGTCAACAAGCAAGGTCACGTGAGCACTTGTCAACGAGCATGACGCAATGCTTGTCAACAAGCATGGTACGATGCTCGTCAACAAAGCGCAATCCATCTGGATAGGCCAGGACCAAATCCGCTTGTTGTAATGGGCTAGACCCATGTGGGCCCACCTATGGGTGTGGGCTAGGCTTAGAGCCTAGGAGCAGCGCAGTCATGCTTTTCCACCAGTAGAAATATCGACTATGCAAGATGAATCCTGTTGATTCAACTTGCATATGCCTTTTGGCATAGTTGGTGCATATAGTCGTGCATATTGTCTTTTGAACTCCACCCTTTACACTCGTCAATCAACTTTGTTATTAGAATCTGTTGGGGATCGTGAGTGATCAGTACGCTGTGGGAAGAATTGAAGGATTGAACTGAGGTTGTATCGTGTGAAGCTACGGACAGTATGTATAGGTGAGTAGCTGTAAACAGCGCTAGTGTGACGTGGCAGTCACTCTCATGGCAGGTGAGGTTCAAAAGGCAAGAGCGCCCTGAACCGTGACAGAATCTCATCAACCTTCAAGCTGGATAGTCTACTGTTTGCAGGCAGGTAGGTAGTCATTGTGTTGTATTGCAGGTGAGCAGACGCTCGATTATATGATCTAGGCTATCACGTGATGGCAATCGGTGGATCCTTCACCTGTACCTCCAACATCTACTCTATACTACTCATTGTTGTTCAAGTTGCTAAGGTGTTTCACTATACAACTTACCCCCTTATCATCAGGAGCCTTGCTTAGGTGATAAACCCTACTGTTCCAGAACCCGTACTCATCCCTGAGAACCAATTGAACCGTGCTAACAAGCTTTGCTTAAAGTGTGACTTCAACACTATGTGTGTTGCAGAGAGACATGCTGGTACTGCTATCCCTACAGCATAGCGTTCGGCAATTAAAAGGATTACCACAAACGATTGAGAATAGATTGCTTTTTTGGGAAAATCTATGATATTGTTACAATTTTTATCCACATACGACCATAGGACGTTGAAAACAAGGCTTCCCGTTCGCTCAGCCCTATTTAAGCAACGTACCGGCGGATTAGTAGTTAGGTGGGTGACCACTAGCGAATACCCGCTGTTGTATGTTTTTTTTTTTTGCACATGGTCTCTGTTCATTGTAGCACTGTGGAGAGCAGGAAAGGGAACGACAGTTTGCTCTTACAGTTAAGCTATCCTTCTGATTCATATTTCTTTCTCTTTGTCTAACCTTGTAGATTGCTGGCATTGCTGTTCTCTATTTTCTATCTTAAAAATTTCTACTACTCTAAGCTTTTACTATTATAGTAGAATCTGTTAAACATCGGGAAATCTTGAAAATAACTTTGCAGACTTATGAAGCTAGTCAAATACTATACCTTTGGTATTAGAAGCTTTCAAACATCTCTTACAGTTAGCAAATTATTAAAGAATTGAGAAATCCATAGTTCAGTAGGGTTCTCTCGAGTGCACTGACCCACAACGTGCAGCCAGGGCACAGACGCGGTTGCCGTCGGCCTTGCCAGCATACGCGCCCGTCAGCATACGCGCCGTGGAGCACCAGTGGGGCTTGTTTCAACGATGATACATGACATATCTTATGCCCGGTTCGCTCCCTCCCTTGGAAATTCCCAGGTTTTGAGGTGCCAAGCTATCTTCGATAACCGCACCCGATCCTAATTTCTTGCAACACACGCTTTCCACTGGAATATCAGCCTAGTCTGCCTCACAGATCTTTTGGCAAAGGGGCCTTATGTCGCTAGGCTTAAGACAAACAGAAGGGTTCGAACTGACTCCTGATGGGTATGTTGCATGTTTGTAACTTGCATTTCCTCCGTTGATCGATTTAGGCACTCACAGTCAAGCGTCAGGTTACTTGACGGAGATCAAGTCCTCCAAAACCGCGCTCAGTCAGCACATTCTCCGATATTGCTGGACTATTTGCGGATGTTTAGATTACAGATCATGGAGCAGCTGGCTTTCTGGCGGTCCTCAAGCGAGCCTCGTAAAGTCGCAATCTATCGAAATCGAGGGGTCGCGGCTGTTCACAGTCTACTACACCTAGTACCATTTGGCGGAGCGATCGTTCTCTTGATACTTTTCTGGACAAAGTACTGGGTGAGCGAAACAACGGACAATGCGTTGTCTCTCCAGTTTGTGGCCAAGTTGCATGAGCTCATGATGCAAGCATCTTTAGTGAACGTTTTGCTTTGCATCGTTCGCATTCAGGTAGTCGATGGCTACATACCGCTGGGTGCCCTGTCAGGCGCGATGCAAGCGACCCACCTCTCTTATCTGTGGTCCTTGGATTTTGTCTCAGCACTCAGCAGCCCGTCCTTTACTCTACGACGCAAAATTATGTTTGCGATATCGATATCATCATTGATGTTGATGACTGCCCTCGTAGGTCCATCGTCCGCAGTTTTGATGATACCGCGACCCAACTCGATGCATAAGTATGCCACCACGACTACGTACTTGAATGGAACAGAAAGCTCTATGTTTCCGTCACTTGTCAACTCATCACACAAGATTGAAATGTAAGATGTAACGGTGCATGCTCTATCCACATACTGACGCAAGGTAGCAAGTTTGACCGTTGGCTCAATTCAGAGTTACTGAGTGTCACAGATAACGGGGTAGATACAGAATACTACAACCAGATATGGAACGCGGACGAATTCGAGATCAACCCTCAAAGGATCTCACATTACTCTTTACACTACGTGAACGAGACCTCGATCTTCGCGAATCGATCAACTGCAACAATACCTACGAGGATGAGTGCAGACTTACTCTGGGAAGCTACATCGTTCAACGGGTCAGGATCCATGTGGAATCTGTCAAGGCCTCTGAATCCAAACATCACTCTACAAACATATCAGCCACTCGTACAGGTAGAGTGCGAAGTGTACCCTATCGACATGAACCAAACCGAATATGTTTACTATTGGTCAGATGATGGAGCCCGCAAAGAGCTCTCAAACTATCGCGACCTGTATGCGAGGATATTCAATGATACAGATCTGGACTACATTGATAATGACAATAGCGGCGCTTATCATGCTCGACCAATATGGTTACGATCGCCAGATCCAGGATCCTCGACATTAGTCGGTGCATTCTTTAGCATTGGTTGGCCAGAGAAGCTCTTCAGGGTTTGTACAATATCCTCGTACTGGCGCAAGACGGAAACGACTCTGGCGCCATCTGACAGAGGCGTACTGGTCCAGACGAATCACATCGAGGGCAGAGACAATATGTCACGAGAGCAACTTATTCCAATTACCATCGACCTGGACAACGTCACATCGGCCAATGTCGGGAACTTAACACGTGATCTGGCTAATCTAACCCTGTACCAACCTCCTGATGAGACATTTGTGGTAGCCAAGCGATACGAGAATCTACTATCCGTTGCATTCGCTGCGGCACTTGCAGAGATCCCACACTACTCCAGGCGCTGGGACAATAAAGATGAGGTTCAGGTCGACAAAGCATCTACGACCGCCTTCGACATCAGCGTGATTATCCGTGGGTACGGGTACGGCACAGCAGCCACATCTGCATATCTCTCGGTCGCGGTCATTACAGCATACTGCATTGTCACTCTCATCTACATCGCCTACATCCTAGCAACAGGCACATCATCAACAGCCTGGAACTCCGGTATCGAACTCGTGGCGCTCGCTTTACAATCAAGACGCCCTGACCACTTGAAACATATGTCAGCCGGAATCGACTCAATGCAGACATTTCGGGAAGGTGTTGGCATACGAGTCAATGAGCAAGACAAGCTTGAGCTGGTATTTGCACGTGATCGAGACATTGATACGCGGAAATTGAGAAAGATTGAGCGGAATAAAGCGTACTGAGCGTAGGCTTGCTACAAATGAGGCTGTGACAGTTGCTGCATGATTCGTGTCTGGAAGAATTAGATGTACACACTCATGCATTTATCCTGTGACGGTTTATGGAGTATGGAGGTTATGTGTACCACGTGCGTTGGTGCAGTGCTCCTGCTCTTGACTGCACAAGATATATGTCATGTAAACAGACCCTGATGACTGCCGTGTGAGAGGCAATCACAGAACAACACAGAACAACAGAATATACTGAGATTACTGCTTCGCGCGGTTACCCCTTGATTTACTGCTTTGCGCGGTTACACCTCCATTTATTGCAACTACCCCAACATATCCGGTAATGGGATAGTAAGGATAAACAGCCCGTTCAGCTACAGCTCATTGCCTTGACGATACACGCTATGCATGGCGTGCCTGCGCAGCAGTCGCATTCTGTACATCTCTCCTCCCGACAACAACGGAGTTGAGGACGATAAACTTTCGACTTAAAAGATGCTTCATTTAGGCTTGTCCGGTCGTCATCTTATCTGTCAAGAGCAGCGAGTACAAGGCTTCCTCAAAGAATCAGGTATGGACCATGCCTCTGTAATGGAAGGTGCTCTCTTCTAGCATTGTTCTCTTCAGTATAGGTATTGATGTTCCCAGATCGCTCAACAGCACCCACACCGGAAGAACGACCAGTATTGTCCAAGACTGAGCGGGAAAGACGGCCTACGAGATATCTACAGCCCTCGCTCCCTAAACCCCAAAGAGGACCCTTTAGTCACTATGCTATCCTCGCTCAGAAGCAGACTGGCCATACTAGTGAGCAGCAGACAAAGCAAGATCAGTACTCGAATGAGCCTAGATCAACAAACACTGGGTCTTTGGATACAGGTCTGTAGAGTAAAAACCAACAAGTAAACAAGCAACAAACCAGAGTTGCTTGATGTTAAGTCGCTACTACTGTGTTCTTCAGCTGCTAGAAGACCCAATCTCGTAAGCGCATGCCAAGGCCGACCCCGCTATGCTATTCTGCACACCAAGTGTCTATCAGGGCACGAAACCTCAACATGCGCTGTGTATCCTAGAGTGCATCTGAAGAGGAAGTACAGGCTTTCACAGGCCTAAATAACACTCAATGGACTAGCTTCCTTGTACGCGATTTGGCCTCCTTTCTTAACTGACGTGAACAGAACATCACCCAGGACAAGGCGCTCTCTTGCGTCGCAGCGCACCCGGGCTTACAGTGGAGCAAGCACAAAGCTAGTAGCAAGATAGATGTCTTCGTGAAAGTCAACGATGAGCTTGTAGAAGAAGGGATTCACCGCATCAATGATAGCGCCATCGACTGGAGGATGCATCAGGTCGTCCGCGACATCATCAGGAAAGAATCAACTAGCACAGGTATAGGATCCTGCACAGACTAAGAACATCAAGTTGACTATTGCACCAGTATCCAGGAACGAGACGCCTTCGTCGAGCACTTCTACAACCTGTCAACCAGGCAAGTCTTCAACTCCTCCACACAAGCCCTCTGCAGTTCTTCCTTCGCATAAGCTCTGCGACACAACCAGTCAACCCTACGAACCGTCAATTTCGCACAATTACGATCTCTTAAAAAAAAAAGTTTAACATGTACTTGACAGGGTTGAACAAAAGCAGCCTACAGAAGATGCCAATGTAATCCAGGCAGCACAACATCGTCCCCGAATCGTCTTTCATAGTCTCAGACCCACATCGGACGTTAAACCAATCAATCGTCTCCAAACTATCTCTGGTTTGAAGGGTACCACATGTTACTCTGGCATTCATGCGATCTGAAGTGTCAATGTACCGAATCAGGATGAATGACCGTTTTTCACACCGGTTGCTGAGGTCCGTCCAAAGTTTGCAGACGGCACGCAGATCCAAGTAGCTATTGGGGGTTGGGGAGACACAGATGGCTTCTCAAAAGCAGCAAAGACGAAAGAGAATCGCAAACTCTTTACTGAGAACGTCAAAGCCATGACCGATGCAACTGGTGCTGATGGTGGGTTACATGCAGTTGCAAACTCGTAGCATGGTTGACTTGAATAGGCGTTGACATCAACTCGGAGTACCCATGGTCAGTTGCTTCAAACAAGTCTTCGCCTTCTCTAACCGAAAGTCACAGGTAATGGCGAGGCCTACAAACAGCACTCAAATTCTGAGAAAGTGTGGGAGATCGACGCCTACTCTGAACTGCTTGCCGAAATCAGAGCAGCAATTGGGCCATCTAAGATCCTCTCTGCTGCAGTACCAGGATTGTACAGAGACTGCATACCCTTCGCGTGGTTTACGATACCAAAGATCTACGAGTCGATCGACTTTCTGAACGTCATGCCCTACGACCTCATGAATCGACGAAATGAAGTTACCGACCATCATAGCGGTCTGGATGGAACGACTGGTGCCCTGACGCACTATACGGATCCAGCCAGTTACGTTCGGTACTTAAATGTTGATCTTAGATTTTACATCAAGTAGCTCAGAACTGCAGGTAATGAAACATGCGATCGTGTGCCAGCACTCGGGTGTCGCACTGAGTTGATGGAAAACCCCATCACAGGCGCTGATCTCGGCAAGGCCGGAGTCTTCTTGTGGCATGATGAAGTACCTCCTGAGCCAGCAGAGTCGTTTGCAAGAGCCGTGAAGTATGGCGTGGATGGCATGACCGGAGGGCCGTTCAAGGGACACTACTACATAGACAAGGAGGAGCGAATATTCTGATCTTTGGATGCGCCAGACAGAATCGGCAAAAGGCTTGGGAAACTCTTTGACTTTTTTCAATCATGGAGGATAGCAAACCTCGGCGATCTTGGTGATGTGTTTGCGTGGGGGCTAGGAGAAGATGCGCCGCATTTGAGGGCTGTGAATGAAGCGTTGAAGAAGTGGGGTGATAGTCAATATGAGCATAGAGAGCTGTGAAAACCTGTCAGATGGGAAGTGGTTATGTTGATGATCGTAGCTTGCCACTGACCAGCGCGGATAGATCATGAACTCCGTAGGGAAGTCACGGAGTTGGCACGCGCTAGCGTTCGAACAGGAAAGGTGTGAAATACGACTGCCTACAGTAGCTGCTCCTCTTCGTGACTTCTCTACTTTCCATTCTGTGCGAAAATACCCCTCAAAACTAATGAAAATAGTCGAAAGCAGGTCATGGGATCACAAACTCCAGAGGATCAGCGCCGAAGTCCAGATGGTGTGTATCATTCAAACGCGTCGAGCGAGCTGAGCTCACCGAACATGTAGAATCATCGGCGGGCGCTGCAATTACTACCACCAACCCTCCCAAACCAGCCGCAGCGAGTGGACTGCTTCAAGGTGTACTAGAAGGACAGGATGAAGATGGCAAGGACGACGATGATAACAAAGACAGAACTGACCTGAAGCTCAACGGTGTGGCCACGAACGGTAAGCTCGCTGTGGGTCTGCGTGACTTTAGAACTGACTTTCGAAGGCCAGAAGAAGAAGAGGAAGAGAAACAAGAAGAAGAAGGCACCTGCTGCTCAGCAGACAAGCCCTCCACGTGTCACGCTTGAAGACATCTTCAGAAAACAGCCATACCCAGAAGGCCAGATTATGGACTACATTGACCGAAACGAGAACCTCCAGCGCACGGCCGATGAGGAACTTCGCCACTTGGCTGTTGTGGACAACATGGACGATCAGTTCCTCAACGACTACCGCAAAGCCGCCGAAGTCCATCGTCAAGTCCGTCAGTACGTGCAAACCATCGCGAAACCTGGAATCACCATGAGCCAGCTCGCCGACGAGATCGAAGACGGTGTACGTGCCCTAGTCGATCACCAAGCTATTGAGACTGGAGATGCTCTCAAAGCTGGTATGGGATTCCCGACTGGACTATGCTTGAACAACGTCGCTGCTCATTGGACACCCAATCCTGGTGTCAAAGACGTTGTACTTCAGTACGACGATGTGCTGAGTGTGGATTTCGGTGTACATGTTAATGGCAGGATCGTTGACAGCGCGTTCACTATCGCTCACAATCCCATCTATGACAACCTGCTCGAAGGAGTTAAGGCTGCTACCAATACCGGGTTGAAGGTGGAATACTCTTGCCCAGTGCCTTGATACAAGCTAGAAAGCTAACTTCTAGTCCAGGAAGCCGGCATCGACGCACGCATGGACCATATCAGCGCCTGCATTCAAGAAGTCATGGAAAGCTACGAAGTTACTTTGAATGGCAAAACCATTCCCATAAAAGCCATCAACAACATCACCGGCCATAACATCCTTCGCTACAAAATCCACGGCGAAAAGCAAGTCCCCTTCGTTAGAACTCGAACAAACCAGCGCATGGAAGAAGGCGACGTCTTCGCAATCGAGACCTTTGGCAGCACCGGCCGCGGCTCCATCAGAGACGACGTGGGCGTCTACGGCTACGGACGTAACGAGAGCAGCAGCGCTCGCGGCTTGCACCATGCATCTGCGAAGAACCTCCTGAAGTTGATAGGAGAGAATTTCGGGACTTTGGTATTTTCGCGCAGGTACCTTGAGCGTCTGGGTGCGAAGAACTATCATCTGGGGATGAAGACGCTGGTTGCAGCTGGGATTGTGGACCAGTATGGACCGCTGGTTGATGTGCCGGGGAGTTATGTGGCGCAATTTGAACATGTGAGTATGGCCTCCAAGTGGAGAGATGCATTGTTGACTGTGAGTAGACTGTTCTACTGAGGCCTAATTCCAAGGAGGTCATCTCGCGCGGAGATGACTACTGAGGATAAATTACAGATCTAGAGACAAGGAGAGGAGGTAATATCACTTTTCATCGTGTGCGGAATTCAACAACCGCACAGAATACCTTGTTATGGCATTCAACAGGCCTCGTTTTACGCTTGTGGCACATTGTGGCCGGCTTCAACAGCTCAAAGCAGTTCAACGTCCTTGATATCCTTCTGTCTTTCGATCATGATCGAATATGCGATGCGATGATTTCCAAATCCAACTTTCCTACACACATCGTACACTGTGGGAGAGAGTCAACAACTGTCATGGGCTATCATCCATACGCTAGTTCAGCTCGCATGTTCCTAGCTTAGCTAATATCTACAAATATGCCTCGTCGCCTACAGCAAGCATACCGAGACCTCGGCGAGGTGGCTCGATGCATGGTACAACATGGACACCAGGCGCTACTAGGCAATGCACTTTGCCCCGCTGGTGCACACCATCAAGCATTTGCAGATTCACGCCTGGCGAGGCAAAGGACAAGACTTTGTAGCGTCTAGTCTACTTTCTCAGCCTTTGAATTGTCCCAAGCTTCGAGCCATCTCGCTGAAGCATCGCTAAACTTACTGTGGGTGACAGCGAAATGCAGAGGTCAGCTCCGCCTCTCCATTTCTTTCAGAATCGAGCTTTTGAAGCGCCGTCTTTCCATTAAGGCATGGTAGGTAAGTCTCCAACGTAAGCTGCGCGTCCACGGTGCTCCTTTACTTCTCTGCTGGCTCCAGACCATGACCTGCTGACCCCTTCCCGCTCAGTTATCAAGGTCATACAACAAACACCCTCCCGTCCTGAAGTTATACACAAACGCCTTCCCATCTCCCACACCACTACCCTTCCCACCTTCTTCACCCTTGACCTCTCGCCACTTCGCCCTGTAACCCAACAGCAAATCATGCAGCTCCTGCAGATACTTCCGCTCTACAATCGGCAACTTTTGTATCGCCTGGCGCCAGGTGTCCGGATCACTTAGTCTCGTCTCTCTGATTGAGTTCATGACTTCCTCTTTGGTTTCGATAGCTGCGATGGGAGCGTCCTGGAAGGAGTCGAGGAGTTCGTGGGACCGGGATTGTGCGGCTTCGACGATGGACCATTTGTTGCTTTTTTTGGAGCGGTGGTGGGAGATGAGGACATCGACGTTTGCGCGGGTGGAAGTAGAAGATGAAGAGGAGGGTGTGGGTGCGGCTTTAGTGAGTCGTTGAGCAGCGCTGCCTTCGCGAGATTCGCGGTCGCGGAGTTCGTTGCGGAGGTAGTTAAGCAGGTCAGCAGAGCGCAGGTCGGTGTCTTCCTTCTTCGAGATGGACTTGACTTTCAGGTCAGGTTTGTCTGGCGCCACGCCGTGTTTGATGATGATGACCCAGCTGTGGCGGTCGTCACGGTAGTGGCGGAGGATGTCTTCGATGTTGTGTGCGTCGACAGAAAGCTCGGCGGTATAGCCATGTGCAATAAGGTCGGATACCATTTTCACGCCGGATGAGCGAAGGACAGTTGGATCGAAACTGGCGACGAGGCAATCGCAGCGGCGTGGCATCCAAGAGACTGCTGGGGTATCTTCTTCTACGTGTTTCTTGAGGAAGGCTGATTTCTCGGGTTTCTTCAGGTAGCGCGTCATTGAGTTGACCAGCCTATCCCACCCCAGGTTTACGCCAACCGCATGATAGCCGGTACCAGTTTGATTGTGCCCAGGTCCTCTAGGTCGGTACTCTTCAATGAGCTTGTCGTAGCGACCGCCCGCGGCGAGAACCAAACGCTGCTTGGTATCGAATAGACATTGGAAGAGGATCCCACCGGAGTAGAACTTCTCGTTGAAGCTACTAAGCGCGCTGAGGTACACTTTCCGCTTCACGTTCCACAGCTTCATGTAGTTGACAACCGAGCTGAGATGAGCGAAGATAGCATGTGTTCGGTCGTGATATTTGGTGCCTTCAAAGATACGTCGCAACTTTGAGAAGGCCTTCTCGGGTGTATCCCTCCAATCGAAACGAGCAAGATCATCCAGCGACGTAGATGATATGCCAATGTCGGAGGAACGCAGATCGTTGCGAATTGTTTGCCAATTGTTCTTGCCAATGTTCAACTTGCTAAGGACAGCCTTCACTGCCGGCCGCTGAGGTACGCTGATTCTGCAGAAGTCCATGACGATTTCCAGCAAGTTGGAATGGTTGACATGAAAGCACATCTGAGTCGACCGCAAAGAAGGGAACTCATCGATAATCTCATCCACCACCTTCAAGACTTGCGCTTCTTTCAAGGCCAAGTCAAGGGTATCGTACGACAGAATGTCGAAATCAGCCTCGCCACTGCTTATTGGTGCACCACCGGTGTAGGTATCTCGATACACTTGACCGATAGTGAAAGTCTTCTCGAGGAATGGGGCGCCCCTGCCAATGCTACGAGCGTGGGGTAAGGTAAAGTCGTAAGGTAGCTGCACCAGCGTACCCGAGGGGTCGAAGAGCTTCACGACGTTGTTGTCCGCATAATGATCGGACCACGGCAGCAGTAGTTGACGCTGAACTTCAACAGCACCGTGGCTTCTGAACACCATCGCCAGCCGATCTTTGACAAGGTTCTGAAGAAGAACATCGTTCGTTTTGATGGTTTGTGCAGTAACACCCATGTCCCAGGTGTAATCTTTTGCCTGAGTGTCAGGCTTCTGTGAGAACAAGGCATTCATCATCTTCGCGTAGTGGGGTGAGTTGCGATCCGACAGAGCTTTCAGGGCCTCCTTGACAGCTTCATCTTCGATCTGCACGGGGACCTTGCCGGTTCTCAGTAGCTCAGTACAGCTAGGGCGCTCAGACGGTCGATGGCTGATCAATGACATGATGATACTGCCTTGTAACGATTTTTGAGGCGTCTCAAACTCGGAGGGGAGGGCGTGCTTGCGCTCGCGCAGTACGCGGATCTCCTTGTCTCGCTCCATGGCGGTGCCTAATGGATAGCACATTTCGAAGAAAATGATACCCATCGAGTACATGTCCACTTTGTCGTTGTAGTTGCCCGCGACCGTAGAGCTTAGCTCCGGAGCCACGTAGAGCGCGGTACCGACGCTGCGTGTCATGTCGCCACCACCATCCTGGTTACCATTGGATATTTTGCTGTCAGGCTTCTGGTACTGGCCGCTCGTAGCCAACCCAAAGTCACCAATCTTAGGTACCTTGGCCATGTCAATGAAAATATTGTCTGGCTTGAGGTCGCGATGGATAATACCATGGCCGTGGATGTGGGCGAGCCCTTCCAGAATCTGACGAAAAAGTCTCCAGTATTCTTCTGGATCCTCGTAAAGTCCTCTGCGAATGAGATCGCGAAGGGTTTGCTTTTCACAGAACTCCATCTGAATGTATAGAATAGATCTGGTTAACCGACTCGCGAATGTGCCTGATGCGGTCCGCCTCCTGACCATAGGCGAACGAGGGCCAGCACTTGCAGTACCTGTTCCGTCTTCTGCATTAACGTTAGTTGGATAGGATGCTAGGAAGACTATAGCAACGTACCAGAATCTGACCCAAAGACAACTGCTCCATCGTCATCTTCGTCTGACCCGACCTCAGAGCCAAACTCGATCTTGTACCCATTGGAGCTGATGAAGTCTAGTCCTGTACTTCGGCTATAGGTGACGCTGTGTGTTTCACCAGGTGAAATGTTGGAGTCAGATTCAGAGTCGTCCGAGACAAATGCTGAATCGTCATCAGACACGTCTGAACTGCCACCAACGTCTTCCTCAGGCCATGCTGTGTAGTAGCGAACAACGCAGGGGTGATTGAGTCGTGACAGCAGCATGACCTCCGACAGAACTTCCGTCAACGCAGACGCAGACTTCTGTTTGATTTTCTTGATCGCGTAGATGCGGCCATCGACTTTGTTGCGTGCCTTGACAACTTCACCATATCCACCCTTGCCCAGGCGTCCTTGCTCGACCCAGTCCTCTGCGTAACGGGAGTAGGATGGCCCGACGCCAGCGGAGGACTCCCTGCGAAGCCTATAATGACCCAAAGATGAGGATGAATGTCGAGAGCGCATTGGTGTCGGGGGTCGTTCGTATACGGGTACGTCATTCCGCAGGAATTCGCACGGTATGAGATCGAATGCCGAGGGTCGCTTCCGCGGGTCGGGTTTGAAGAACTTCCGCATCATCTCTTGGAGAGGCTCGGAGCAGCCGAGAGCGTCTGACAGATCCTTAGGCGAGTTGTACTTGTGGCGTACGTCCAGACCAAAGAGCATCTGGAGAAAGACCACCCCAAGATCCCAGATGTCGGTCTTTCTTGTTCGTTTAGCATCTTGCCCAAGCTCAGCAGGAACCCAGAAAGCAGACCATGAGGACGTAAAGGCACGTTCGCCTCGGTACAGATCTCGTAGATTGTGTAAGCTTTCCTGAAATGCGGCGTCTGCCAATTTGACAGAGACGTTTCCATCAGATGACTTGGTAAGAAGGATGTTGTGCGGGAACACTCGCTTGTGCACGATGCCATTGCGATGAAGGAAATCAAGTGCTTCCAAAAGTTCGATTGTCCAGGACCGGACTTTTGAGACTGGAACTTGACCGTCGTCTTCAATCTTTTCGCCCACGGATCCTTTGTTGGCATGCTCCATGAGTATGTTGATCTCCCAGCCAGATTCAGGTAGATGCTCGATCTTGAAGTCGAACACACTCAAGACAGCAGATTGCCGTAGACGCTTGATCTCTTCCATTTCTGCCTCAAACTCCATGATCGCTCTTTTCAACTGTGGCATCGCCGCGGCGTCCTTGGCGCCGATGCAAATACGCTTGAGGACTAGTGTGACGTTTGCTGTGTTGCCAACCGGCTTGACCAGGAGCTCCTCGGTCACGGGCCCCTTGCGAAAGGGCAGCATACCTTCAACAGCGCTGCATTCGACGATAGCATCGTCCAACTGCAACGAGATGACTCTGTCGAAAGACACGTAGTTGGCACTGTTAGCCGTCTGGAAGTACGACGTTGGTGTAATGACCGATGTCCTGTTGCTCTTGCGCTTCGCCATGAGATCCTTGCGCCTCATCTCATCGCTGACCATCTGCTGCAGCATGCGCTCTTCCTCCGCCTTGGCTTCGTCACGCTTCTTCTGCAGGTCCGCTTCCTGCTGTTTTGCAAGCTCGACGGCTGCAGCCTCTTGTACGGCACGCTCGGCGCCCAGATTTTCAAAAGTGCCGTCAGTCTCTCGAACGGCGACTTCATCCTCGAGCGCATCCTGAATCTCGGTGGCAATCTCGTGGAGCATAACCTCCCCGGTCAACTCAGCCGGTTTGGTCTTCAGGATGTGCTGGAGTCTTTCCTGCGTGCGTTTCCGGAGCTTGGCTGTGCCTTCCAGGCTGAGCGCTGGGAGGGTTTTGGGGTAGGTTGCTGTGAGATTGGCACTCAACACCACAAGTATGGCCTCATTGGAGAAAGATTTCAGCTTTAGTCGTATTTCACGATCTGTAGATTTGCCCCATGCTTTTTTAGGTTCTGACTCTTCGTAGTCGTCCATGAAAATGGCCTTCAGAACCTCTCGTTCATCTTCCTGTGCTGCCTCATAGGTCTCTGAGGGTTGGGAGACGAGCAAAGGGCGCATGGACAACGTCTCCTGAGTCTGACCTGTTGGGGCTGTGCCATTGGAACCATTTGGGGAGAATACATTCTGCTGCTTTTTATTTCGCGGTGTCCTGTGCGGTGCCATGTTGGGCTGTCTCGTGGCTGGTTGAAAGTGCCGTCATAAAGAGGGGACGGAGAGAGGAGCAGCCGAAGCCGCTGCCCTTTACACTGCAGACATATCGGACTTGTGCGTTGTTGGTGGGTGAAGGTCGAGATATGACGAAGTGAAGACTTCGCGGCCAGCACATGCGGAAGTAGCGGTGGGGTCGCCAGGCTAAGCGCCTAGCGCCCGGACCGCGCCTTCCTGGACCCATGGGAGAGCTGTTGTTTGCGAGCACAAACAAGAGCCAGCGTCGTGCCTTCTCCACGTATACCCCGCCCAGACGACCCTCGACCGGCGCCATCTTATGGAAGCACTCGCAGTCTTCCTCCACCCTGCGGTTGGCGCGTCCCGATAACGACTCGAGTTCTCCACGCTCTTTACCGGCGAGTAAACAAACGAACAAACAAACCCGCGACAACCGCACGCACAACCGCACGCACAACCGCACACACATCCGCACACACAACCGCACACACAACTGCACGCACAGCCGCACACATAACCGCACGCGCACCCTTCACTGTCATTGCCAGGCCGCCGCGACGGAATCAACACCATGTTTTCCTGGATCACGGGCCCGCGCATCACCAACGTGATCGAAGACCTCCAAGCAGGTATGCGTCATTGTACTGTCCACGGCCCTGCGCAACCCTAACAACCAGACAGAGCCCGCGTACGAGTCCACGTTCATCGATCCTCCCGAGACGCCGGCCCACCAGTTTGCGGTCAAGGCATTCAAGCACGCAATCTTTGGCACCCCCGCGCCTGAAGACCTCAACAATGCGACGAGGAAGTTCGAGACCAGGGCCAATATGGCTGCAGTGAACGCGAAGTTCACGGAGCTGCCTGCGCCCAAAGACGATGGCTTGTCACAGTCGCCTGCGAAACGAGCCGGCGGCATCCTCATGACTCCAGGGACGGCGAGTAAGGGGAGGAAGACCGTGTCGTTTGGGTCACAAATAGAGGACAACGAGGGGAAGAGAAGCGGCATCAACAGGAGCGGCATCCCGAATGACTGCCCCGGGAGGTTCCCCAGCCCGTGGACACCCGGTACCGAGCTGCGGTTGGACCCCGCGAGCGACATGAGGCCCCGTACAAAGCTCACTGAAGCCTTGCTCGATGCGCGCACCACTACACAACCGAAATCCGGACAGAGACCCAAGGCGAGAGACGACAGCGACATCACGATGGACCTAGGTGCACCACGCTCGGACTCTGGCAAGTATTGGAAGGAGCAGTACGAGAGTTACGCTGAGCGAAGCGAGAGGGAGATGAAGAAGGTCGTTGCGAAACAGCAACTTGCTAAGAAGTTCGCCATGAAGAAAGACAACGAGGTCACAGAGCTGGCTACGAAGCTCGAGCAGGAGCGGAAGCGGTTCAGGTCACGGGAGCGAGAGCTGGAGCTGCAGACCAAGGACTACCAGGAAAGGCTGCGTCAAGCTATGGCTGAGAACACGTCGACGAGCATGGAGAATGCGGCCTTGAAGTTGCGCATAGCCACTCTGGAGAAGACAGCGGCAACGGCGACAAGCGCGCAAGCGAAACCCGAGATTTCAATCTACGAAGACACAAGCAAGGAGGCGATACGGCTACGGAAGGAGTCAGAAGCTGCGGCTGAAGCATCGTTCGCACCTTCGCTCAGCGTGGCATCGTCTGGTAAAGAAAACAACTCCCCGCCAAAGTCAAGACGCACCCGCCGTCAAACGCTGCCAAACACCGCGAACCGCCACGATGCTCCGTCGAGATTAGGAAAGGCCGAAGGCGAGGCGTCGGTCGTTCTTGCAAAGTCTCCTGCGATGCCTATCGAGTCCACGAAGCCATCACTAGAGCCTCCTCAGTCAACACGTCCTTCGAGGTCACCGCTCAGCATTCGCAGAGCCAGTCCATCAAAAGAGAATGTCGGTCTCTCATCACCGGTCCCAATCCTCCCCTCAAGTCCACTACCCATGCCGTCACCAGATCTGCCGGACACATGGATGAACATGGATGAAAGCTCGATACCGCAACTAGACAAAAGGACGATGCCAACAGCGGGATCGCCGTACATGAACCCAGCATGGAACCCGCCGGCTAAGAAACATCGTGTGTCGAAGTCGGTGTCACAGACCACAAAGTCAGAATCACAATCCATCCGCCGGCAGATGGAGAAGGTAGACGCGAAAATGGGGACGAAGGCTCAGAGCCACGGTTCAGATAAGCCAGCGCTGGAGTTGGAGGCGCGACTTGCTGCGCTGTCTTCCAAGCCAACTAAGAAGCAGGATATGGAGAAGTCCAAGACCGAATCAGCCAAACAATCACCGACTGACCCCAAGTTCGATCTCTCAAAGATCACATCTCACCACGCGGAAGGATCGACAAAGGTCAAGCACGATAGGGCTGAGATGTTGCCGGTCGACCGGAAGGCTGAAGCGAGGAGGCGCCTTGAGGAGAGGAAGAAGCTGAAGAAAGCTGCGCCTGCATGATCTGGCCACGAGCTATCAAGCTTGCGTGTCTAGGCGTTTGGTTGCGTTTGTTGGGCGTTGTGTCACTGCTGGATGGCAGGTTCTTGGTTCATTGATTTTCGAGCATTGATATTGGAGTACTGGATGATACCATGCTGTTACGATCGATCGATCAACGAATGCACTATTCTTCACACACCACGCAGCACTTGCCCACGTGCCTTGCCCACGTGCCTTGCCCACGTGCCTTGCCCACAAATGCCAACCAACAATATCGTGGATGCAGGACTCAAGGGGTATCATATATATCATATCAACTTCTCACCTTCTCCCATCATCACCCACCCGCCACGCCACACCTAGAACTCCAACTCCTCAACCTCCATCCCACACTCCGTACAACTCTTCCTCGTCATCCCCGTCTCCGGATGCAACACCCCTCTCCCCCACTCATGCTCATGCTTATCATACCGTCCCTTGATCTTCTGCCCAAACTCCGCCTCCCCCTGCCCTAACCTCGCTCTCTTGTACGCTTCCACCCGCGTCCTCCGCTTCAAATCCTCGAGCTTATTCTTGAACTTCTTCTCCTTGCGCTGCTTCGACACTATCGTGCGCTTCCCGTACTCTTCGTCCAGCGCCTCCGCAGATCCCCACTTTTTGGGACTGAAGGCGTACGCTTCGACTTGGAGGCGCAGGAAGAGCTGCATGTTGTGGAACGAGGTTTTGTGCGGGTTTGGGCGCTCGAGATGTGGGAGGAGATCTTCGTCGGCGAGTTCGGGGTTGGTGAGGAGATAGTCGTCGCGCGCTTCCGTCTTGGTGAGCAAGCTGTACTTGTCTGGATACAACTCTTTGCAGCGCGAGCATACGCTGACATGGAAGGTGTCGGCCCATTTCCAATCTATCTCCAGACTATTGCATTCGCGGCATTTGCCCGCAACGTCCTTTTTGCCGTCGCCGTATTTGCCTTTGTATGTCCCTGCTTCCATCTCCGCGTTCTCGGCGGCTTCGACGAGTGCGGCTTCCTCGTCTTCTGCTTCGTCTTTGCCGTTGACGGCGTTCAGGATTGAGATTCCGGGTTCGTAGGGGCCGGCGCGGGCTTCTCGTAGCTTCTTGCGGACTTGCTCGCGCTCCCATTCAGCAAGCGTCATGCCCTCGGGTTTCTGCTCTTCGCGGCCCTTGCCCGTCCACATCGCGCGGTTGTGCGGGTCGTCGGTTGTGCTGAGGAAACCGCCTTTTGTGTCGGTCATGGTGCTGAAGTCGTAATCGATGAAGTCGGAGCGCTTAATGTCCTTGCTCTTGCTTTGGTGGATGTACGAGTTCGAGGGCGGCTGGGTGAAGCCCCCGGATGTTTGTGCGGAGCTGGCATTGCGGGATTGTGTGGGTGTGATCGACGAGGTTATCGACGAGTATGTGCGTTTCGTGCCGGCGACGGGCGCGGGAGAGGGTCGGGATGCTTGGGCTTGCTGTGCTTGTGCTTTTGCTCGGAGTCGAGCTTCTTCCTGTGACTTGTGAGCACACGATCTTAGCATCTGCATCTGGAATCTCACTATTCGCCTGATCTGCTCTGGAGTTGGGGGATTTGGCGGCAGCTTGCCCGCTGAGCGAGTGGCTCGCGGTGGCGTTGCTGGTCTGTCAGCCATTGGTACTAAGCTGTGGATTTGACAGGAGGACAATGAGCTAAGCGTCTTCAACGAGGAACGACGCGAGTAGCGTTGTTGGCAAAGGTTCGGCACTCGCAGTGGCGGCTATCACAATGTCGAAGCCGCGGTCGAGACCCTTGTTCCTAGACGATCGCGCTAAGAATTCACCGCTACGTCATTCCGCGACCTTGCAAATCGCATCCCACAATGCGCCAAACGTCGCAAATGCAGCAAAGAGATGTTGGAAGAAAAGCAAGTGTGGCAGCATAGCAATATCTCTTCCGAGTCAAAAGGGCGTTCAGCTGTCAGCCTACAAGCGCTCCGCCCTTACAAATCCACACGATGACTCTTTCCTGTGGCTGTACCCTTCACAACGCTCCCAACGGACCAGACTAGCCTCGTGAAAGAATCCACGGTTCGTCATAGACAAAGACAGGTACTTGCAATAAGTAGCGTCTTCCGCTCGTTTCAAAGCCTCAAACCCAAGTCTCCAGTTTGCCGTCACAGAATGTCGAACGCGCCAACACGTGCGCACGTGGCCAGCCCTACAACCCTAAACCCTGCTGTTGCCGATCATCCCGGAAACATCCCTGCACCAGAATACACCAGCAACGACACGATCAATCGCCGTGCAGGCCTGAACAAGCGGGAAGCACGGAAGCAAAAGAAGGCCCAACATTCGCTTCCCACACCCCCAGACACGTCCTCCGAAACCGAGTCGTCTGCGTCCAACCCACCCAACAACCCGCCTAAAGCTCGAAAACCTCGCCCGTCTTCCGCCAAAACCGACGCAGACAGCGACACCACCACTTTGATACCTCAATCCCTTGCCGCCACAATGCCGCCCGGAAACCCCATTCCCCTCCTCGTATGCAGCATCGGCAATCCGGGCCCCACATACGCCAACACCCTACACTCAGCAGGCCACATCGTAACATCCTACATCGCGGGTCGCAAGTCGTACCAGCCATTCACCAAGGGGCTCTCTGGCCTCGTCTCGCGGCCCGACAATACCACGTTTTCGCTCTCTCTGCTGAAAGGGTACACGAAAACGCAAGGCGGGCCGCCCGAAGACGACTGGACGTTCTGGCAGAGTCTGAGCCTGATGAACGTAAGTGGTGTGGGAGTCAAGAAGGCATACACAGCCTGGCTCGCAGAGTTACGGCGACGGACGAGCCCGACGGCTGAGGGCAGACTGGTGGTTGTGCATGATGAGCTGGAGTCTGCACTGGGCAAGGTTACGGTCAGGGAGAGCGGGGCGAGTGCGAGGGGCCACAACGGGTTGAAGAGCTGTCAGCAGCAGTTGGGCGGTGTGAAATGGTGGAGAGTGGGTGTCGGGATAGGCAGGCCCGAGAGTAGGGATCCGAATGTGGTGAGCAGGTATGTGTTGGGGAAGATGAGGGGGGAGGAGAGGAGTGGGTTGGAGAGGGCGGCGCCGGGAGTTGTGGATGCGCTGAGGGCGATTGCTGAAAAATAAGGAACCGTACTTAAAAAGCGGTATTGAGAGTGTTGGAGTTGTCTTGTTGTACGATAGCTGATGAGGGAGATGGAGGATGATACCCATAGACTTACTGCATAGGGACGATAGCACTGCATATGGAGCCAATACGTTGTTTCGCTGCGTTGAACAGTATGGTATCAATCGATACCCGCATAGGTTTTGTAGTTAAGAAAAATTATTGTGGTGTTGATAGACGCTGTCTCACTCGGCACTGAGAAGCAATCGAAAACAATGAATTCATGTCGATGATTTGTATTAGATATTACTGTGATGCCGGAGAGCTTGAGCTCTGGGGTATAATGCTGAAATCACTTTTGGTCGCTGGAAATCCACTTTTCCCTTCTCTACTCCTTCCTTGATAATGTCTGTCCTGCCCAGGGTATTTCCGCCGACTCGTGACAATCTGCCATAGTCTTTTACAATCACTGATGAGTGCTGGGACCGCTTCGCATGATTTGGCGTAAACCTGACGGCGGACTCTGGAGGCGGTCGAGCGCAAGTTACTCAACCCTCACACCCCCAATCGCCCCAATCCTCGCCCCCGTACCATGCGTTGCCTCGTACGCCGCATTAACGCTGCGATGATGCTCGGTCGCCGCGTGCTTGAAGTCCTTCCAGAGCTTCTTGATCGACGAGTTCAGCGTCTTCTCCGTCTTGCCGAGGTTGATGAAGTGGTGCGCATCGTGCTGAGAGTCGTGGCTGACGCGACGAGACTGTGTGACGGGTGTCGATACGATGGAAGTGTTGGCTGATGAGCCGGCGCTGAGGTAAAGGACGCGTGGGTGGGAGTCCATGTTGTTCATTTTGCGGTAGGCGATGAGATCGTATTCAAGCATGAGCTTGGTTGGTGGTGTTGTGGAGGTAGTCGATGATACGAAGCTTGGGAGGTTGTGAAGTTGTTGATCGTTGGTTGTGGTAGTGTTGAAGGCTTGTGGTGCTAATGCCCTTTGTCCTTCTCTTCACCCAAACTTATATACCCCAGAAGACTACAAAGAATTTTTCTCCCCTTCGTCTCCAAATCTCACGATCCCGCCGTCATCACGGCATTACACTCCACGTGCCAGCGTAACGTGTTTTGCGCAGTGCTGCACATGTGGGTCCTGTTACTCGATCAGTGTAACGCTGCAGAGGTCTGGAAGCCACGAGTACCTCCAGAGGTAGCTGTGCCATACAGGTAAAATGATTCGACGTCATGGATGTGTAAGAAAGAGCCTCATGATTTTGTGCCTTGCCTAAATGCAGACATTTCGCCATGCCGCGAAACTTGTTGCGGCATAGTCGTTGTTGGTTTGGTGATGAGACTTGGAACGACAGACGCTCGGCTCTCGACGGTTCTAGTGTGCAGGGCGTGAGCACGCTTAAGCCGAGCAGTCTCTGCACACCAAATACAACAGGCTGGTGAGCTTGACACATGTTGTTGCCGTGTAAGGTATTTCGTGTGTCATAGCCGCCGAGAAAAAAAAATTCAATGTTGTGGTCGTGATGCAGGAGGAGAAAAAGATTGGTTGCTGAGCAGAAGGTGCGGCTTAAAGAACGCATCGAACGTTCGTGAACGTGCACGTGTGTTCGTGTTCATCGCAAGAAGGAGAACAGTGTCACGCCTTGCCGTCGGTGTGTTCACAATTGCATTGTTCTTGTTGAAAACTCTTCCTGGGTATCGTAATTCTTGCACTATCCATAACACCGTAGCAGTCTGAAATGCAGTCAGCAGGATACAAGCTCGTATCATCATCGTCTGTTCGAATCCGTCAATCATTGGCATCGATGCCAAGCTCATCTTGAACTTCCACAATCCTCACACCGCGTTGGTCAGCAATGAGACCCATCAAGCCTTGTCCAACATCCTTCAGCTCGTTGTAGTCGTGCAGCAACTTGATGTGTTCCTTGACGATATTGTTCGCCGCAGCCATAATGTCAGCATCCGTAGGTTCGCCATCGTCGTCGGACATGTCGACATCAGAGGTTTGGTTCTCTTCGATGAGCACCTGAATGGCCGGTAGAGCTCCCAGTGAGGCAAGAAGTGCAGCCTTTTGCGCCCTGAGCTTGGCGAGCGTGACCTCCTGTGGCGTCAATTTGGCCGCTGGGCACGGTGGGGTAGGCTCACTGGCTTGTGAAGCGGTGAACTGCGATTGTGTCTGTGTTTCGGGTGCTGCGGATGCCAAGCTTTGGTCATCTTCAACCCCGCGATCTTGTGGATGAGATGATTGCACTGCCTCGGTCGTGCTTCGGGCTGGGATCTCATTCACCTGCTCCGCTATTGCTTCTTCAGCCTTCGCAGGAGCAGGAATTTCTTCTGGGCCTCGTTCTATTAAGGAAGCGGTTGGCGTCTGGGTAAACGTGTCCTCCATGGTGGTCGAAGCTTGAATCGTAGCCCCAAGTGCCATACCCTGATTTCCTGGTTTCTCAACGTGTGGTTCAAACGCATGTGTTGCCGTGCTCCGAGCTGCCGAACTAGATGTGGAACTGCCATTGCCGCTAAGTTTGTGATAGTTGATATCAGCAGTAGGTTCAGCGTCAGCTAACAGTGCCGAGGCCCCTGCGGCTCGTCCGATGATCTGTTCAGGCTTCGGGCTCTCTGCGATACTGCAACCATCATGGGAACCAGGCAACGCTGTGACATTCGTGTCTTGGGCCGGACCGGTACGAGATGTGGCCAAGTCGGTAGCTGCCAGTGTTGGGTCTAGGTCCATAGAGTCTGAGGCGTCTGTTGTGTAAGGGATAGCATGGCTGGTGTTCATGCTTAGATCTGGCGGATCCGTAGCAGTGAAAGCGGGCAACTCGACCTGTACAACGCGTGAGCAGATGTCAACAGCCTGGTATCGTCAGACAAACTGATGTTTCCAAGGAAATGTCATGTTGAGGCCTTCCAGCCACAGCTTCATCATCGGCACCCTCAACATCCTTGGTAGGGCGATCCCCAGCCGGGTCACACTGGATAGGTTCTTGTCGCCTGCTAATGAGATGTACGAGATCAGTGTGTGACGGTTCTAGTGTCGCTGTGTGGCTGTCAAGTGCTTCGTCTTGTGAGCCTTCCATGGAGGGTTTGACGTGCTCAATATCGACGCCACCATAATTGACAGGTAAGGGCTCTGATGGACTTGGCTGCTGCTCGTTGTCCTGACCGTTGCTAACCTCGATCTGGACGTTGATTGGCGTAGATGTACGATCGTCAAGCTGTGTTGCAGTTCCAGTTTCCGTCACGGTTTTCGTATCTTGCAAAGCGCTGGTCTCACCGCCTGCACTATCCACATCAGCGCAGCTGACCTGGTGGTTTACACCGACCGCATCGATATTGGCTTGTGGTGGTGGCACGTCTGGTTTTATTAGAGCGCTTGTGGTGCACGTGCTGATGTCGTTAGTCGCTATCTGCTGTACAGGCTGCAAGTCAGGTGGATCAAGATGTGTTGCCTCGGGGTTCGACGAAGGTTTCTGCTGATCGACACCCAAGCGATCGGTGCGACTTGAGGCTTCATTGGCACTGTGCTCAGCGGGTTTTTGGTGAGGGCAAGCCACGACTTGGGCGTCTTGACAAGCTGTCGCAGAAAGCTTGTCAACGGCTGCATCTGAAACAGCAGCAGGTGAAGACATCAGCAGCTCCTCTTCACTCTCGGCAATCTCAGTGACACCTGTACCAATGGCCATGTTGTTGCAAGGTGAGTGAAATGTGATGCAGCTCGGAGATAAATGGCGTTCGTCGCCGGGAGTGGCGGAAGGCCCGCCCGCTGGAGACCAATGACGGGGGCGCCTTCCCTTCACGTAAGCAGTAGATTGCGACGCGGCATCAATAGGGTCGTCGAAGGCGACGACGCTTTCTCCTGTTACTCTTTGCAGCTACACCCCCCGAGTTACAAGAACCCTCCTCGTACGCGCCATCACATGTCAATTGCCGCTTAGGCCTCCACGCCGGAGCCATCGAAGTTTGTCAACAGCTGCGGACCCTGGCGCATTTCAGCCCTGTTCAACATCAATATGGGCCTAAAGGCGAGGCGAGCTGCCGTCGCAGCAGCGCTGCTGTTCAGCACAGCGGTCACAGCGCACGAGCACCACGTGAATAAGATACAGCAGGGCGAGGCTATCTCCGAGGACCCGATCGACTCGATACTATGGATACACATCTTGGTGCAGTCGCTGGCATGGGGTATAATCTTTCCCACAGGAATGGTTTTGGGTGTATGGCTGCTCGAGTGAGGGATTAACATGATCAGGCATGCTGACAATTCCCAGATAATACGCTCGAAATGGCACGTTCCCGTACAGGTTTCTGGCTCCATCCTCGCCGTCATTGGCTACTTTTTGGGCCATAAACACAAGGGCAGGCAGTTCACCGAAGACAATGTCCACGCTAAATTCGTACCCGTAATCATGCTCATGCTGATCGTCCAAATCGTCATGGGCGTCTACCTCAAGCTTCACCTCGAGAAGGGCATACACGGCAAGATCCGCAGGGTTATTGTCATGGGACACGGTGTGGTGGGGAAGGCATTGCCTGTCGTGACCTGGGTGCAATTCCTGTTTGGAGGAATTACCGCGCTTGGGTTCTGCAGAGCCGATCATACAGGGCAATGTCTAGCCCACTTCATCATGGGCAGTGCCTTCATCGCTTATGGCATCATTCTCACAATCCTGCTACTCGTTGGGCAGATGTGGTTGAAGAGAACCGGTCGCAGCCAGGAGTTCTTTGACTCGCTGGTTATCGCAGCATGGGGTTGCGTCAATACCTTCACCGAGCACCGTTGGGGTGGGCCATGGGTACACAACGACTTGCAGCATACATCTATGGGTATCATCTGGTGGGCTGCAGGTTTGCTTGGTGTCTGGTTGAGCCGCAAGAGAAACGGACAGCCAAAGCGAAACCTCATTCCTGGCATGGTCATCTTCGTCACCGGCTGGGCAATGTCAGCTCACCCACAGCACCTGCCCATCTCGGCTATGATCCACACTGTGTTTGGCTTTACTCTCATGGCCGCTGGCGCTGCTCGCATCATCGAGATCTCTTTCGTGCTGAGGGACCGCAGTTCGGTCACCAACGACCTCGAGGACCCTGATCCAAACAGCTTCCAGTATCTTACGCCCTTCTTGCTCATCGCCGGTGGCTTCCTCTTCATGGGTGCCACAGAAGAGCAGATGCAGCTCCTCGCAGATGCAAACGTCACACACATCTCCTATGTCTTGATCCTGTTCAGCGTGGCGTTTTTGCTGTTCCTCTGTAAGTGCAATATCTGCATTCAAACCGAACAGTCTCTAACGATGTACACAGTCGCCAATCTGCTCATCCACCTTTACGCTGTCTACGCCTTCCAGGGCTCCAAGACCGATGCCGAAGCACCACACGCGAACGGAACACCGAACGGCTATGCAAGAGTCGACCGCAGAGTCAGAGATGCTGAAGAGTTCGAGCTTGAAGGCTTGACAGACGACGAAGACGACGACGAGCCACCCGTACACAAGGAGAGTAGAACAAACGGGCATGTTGCCTTATAGAGCGTTTTTGCATACATCTAGGGTACAGGAGCATGGCACCGGCGCATTTAAATTTATTGTTTCTTCTTTAATGAACCTACAGGCACTCGTCACACCATCCATCTGATATTTTCACTATTCTCCATTGCCTACGTCAATATTGCATCCGATGTATCGAAACCATTACACCGCTGTCCAGGCCCTTCTCCGGTATCGAGGGTCTCGGATGGCCATGAAGCTGCAAATACCGGATAGGAGGAAGATCCAAATCACGGGCCACTCAAATATGTCGGTGAAGATTGTCGTTCACTGGGTTGGTGTCCCGAGAAACATATGATTGATGGCAATCACGACGGGGATGTAGATGATCAACATCATAGCGAGGGATTTGAGAGTGAAGCGGCCGGAGCAATACAACCAGCTTGCAGCGTAGGGGACGGCAGGTGACGGCATGTTCGAAGGTATTTTGTTGATCGCTTTGTAAAGCTGAGTTGGGAAGATGCCAGCTGTAGTGACTGTGGTTTTGCTGTTGTAGGATTTGCGATGTGTGATGAGGTGACGATGTGGAATATGGGAGGTTGACCATGGGGGCCTCACTGTATGGTACAAATGTTTGCTACTTCCACCGCTTCTTTGAAGCAGACTGACTGGTAGCAGCAGCTCTCCCTTGGAGGACCTCAGAGCGGTCAGGTGCCGCATTTCTGGAAAGATCCCATTGATTCATCATACACACTTGAGTACGGTTTCAGTCTAAAAGTTACAGTATCAGCCCAGTCAAACATGCAACATTGTGCTCAGGCTGACGTGCGTTCGATCAGTCACTGAATCTTAAACCTGTTTTGACGCAAGCCTTGAGTGCAATGTTCCACGTAAGACACGGGAACAAAGGGAATTGCACAGTATTGATACGAAAACCACTGAACTCCATCTAGGCGTTTGCCTGCATCTGAACATCCCATTAAAACCTCTGCACATTTGGCACATTCCGATCACTCACTGTAGCTATACCCTGTTCCTCCACCAAATTTCCTCCATATATGCCCTAGAGCTTCAGACCTCTCCAACCGCTAGCCCCGCTCCAAAACTTCTACATTGATCCTCCAACACACATGTTCCAGCTCCATCAGCAACGATCGCAGTACCCGGCTCACCGAGGGCCACTCCTTCCTTGCACACCCTGAGCTTCTCGCCAACCCTCACCAGCCTAGCCTCACACCTCTTCAAGCCCTCAAACCACTGTTGCATACCCAGCTCCTTACTATGTTCAATCTAAGTCTCAATATGCGCCGCCATACGAGAAGACCGGACACCGGCACACACAATAACAATGAACACAGCCCATGCGAGACGGCGTTTAGGACCGTGTGGGGAGAGGAAGTAGCCTAAGAAGAAGATAGCGAAGAGGGTAGAGGGGTAGAAGAAGAGAACATCGTCCGGAGTAGCAGAGAGAAGAGATATATTGAGGCTTGCCCAAGTAGCTAAGCTAGGGGACTATAGCCATCATACGATGAAGTCAAGGAAGTTGAGGAAGAGGTGATGCAGGTAGAGGATGAGGAGGGGATCCAGCTCAGTGTTTTGGCGAGTGCCAGTGGTGGAAACGATGTTGTTGTTTGATTTAACTGCGAATGTGGCTGCGTTGGATGAGTAGAGGTGGGAGAAGGCGTAGGCTTGAAATGGTGTTTGGTGGTTTGTACGTGATGGCTTGTTTTCGGTGTCGTGAAAGGTTGGGGACAATGAGACTATGTTTACCATACAAGGACGTGAATGCGTAGAAGGTGCTGGGTCCTGGTGTAGAGTTTGTTTACCCGAGTTGCAAACATAGCGTATCAGCGAATGAAATTGGATGTCTTCTATCAAGCGTTCAGCTATCCGTTCGTTGTGATACGGACCCACAAACTGGTCTCGCACCCACTATCACGTTTATCCTCTTCCTTTCCGTCCTCGTCCTTAGTCCCGGTTCCACGGATGCTCACATTGGAGCCATCTTCCGCCTCCTGAGCCTGCTTCATCTGCCGAAGAAAGTATTTCTTCACCATAGCCATCCCCTTCAGTCCTTTTGCTCTGGCAGCGCATCGATCATCTTCCGCAAGCCATCCATTCCTTTCTTGTCTCACTTCCTCAACATTCCAATTCCTAATTACTTGAACGCACTAAGCATGTCCTCGATTTTACCCAGGGGCCCCACGGCCTCCAACAGAACGTCGGCGTGCGTATCGACCGCCCACTGCTGTCCCTTAACGGTGTATTCTGAGCATCGGCACTCCTTTTCTGACACCTTCAAGCTGTCAATAACGGTCTGAATGGAAAATGTGTACATCACGAGGACCGCAGAGTACGTGTCATGTAGTTTGGCGGCAAAGTCCATATCGGCCATGAGTGTGCTGAGTTGAGCTTTGAGTGCGTATTTGCAGTTTGGTGAAGCTGAGTTGGGATACAAGCGGGCCTGCGTACATTTGCGTGCAAGAAGGTGCATGTGTTTCTGGCCGGAATGAAGGGAAGTAAGGTGCGATGTGAAGGCTGGAAGATTGGCGTTAAATTCTTTGGATGCGCTACAAAAGGTGTCACGCCACCAGCCGCGAACACAAGGCTCGTAGGCGGTTTGAAGAGACGCCGGAGACGATGGTGGCGAGGTTTTGTCGTATGATGAAGGTGACGAGCTGGCTCTTAAACGCCATTCGGACAATCGCTTGGTACGTGAAGCCATTTCTTCTGCGATGGCGGACGTGTCGTCGTCAATGTCGGGCTCTGAGTACTGGCATATTGTTGTTCTGCTGATATCGGCAGGTTCGATGGCGACACACGGCTCTTATAAGCCGTATGTGGGTGCCAATGAACAGTGGAGAGCGGGTTTAGAGACAGAGGTTTCTCAGTGTTTGATATCTCGAAACATGTCTGCGACAGATTCGAGGTCCGCTTGATTGTTAATCGTCAATGTCTTTTGTCGCGTTCGGATGATACGTTCGGATGATACGTTCGGGAGGTTCTCAAGATGGCAGTCCATCCAGAGCCAAGGCTCTTCTCCTCCTGACCCCCTTCTCCTCCTTCGCATTTTCTTCAATATTCGCCGCGAATATACTGTAGTCGATATTCGTCCCCTTCTCTTTGCCGATGCCGTAAAGCTCCTTGTTTAAATCTTTTGTATCGTGTCTGACTAGTTGTCTCTCTCCAAGACCCGTCTTGCGTTTCACAGCTTTTGCGATCGCAAATGCTGCTCTAAGCGGCGTCAACTCATAGCCTTCTTGGATCAGAGTTGATTTGCTTTGCGCGTCAAGCCATAGGATGTACATGCTCACACCCCATCCAAAGTGTATGAACACGAATATGCCCGAAAGCATCGTCGAGAAACCCCACTGATAAGAAGGATTGGCTGTATCGGGTAGGCATCTTGACTTGCCCTGCAAATCCATCAGATTGTATGCTTTATGGTCGTAGCAGTAGGCGTTCGTCGCATTCAGGATTTGAACATCGTACTGATAATCGTTGATTTTGTATGTCACTGTTTCGTTACCTTAATGGCATGTTAGACCGCGCCGCAAATATGTAGAGGTGGGAGTATGGACGCACAGTTGTAGGTCACATTTTTGCTATACCGGCCGGTCTCCGAGTCATACTTGGTCTCTTGCCAGGTGTCGTTGCTGCCTGGGTAGTTGAACAAACCTTGCATAGAAGTTAGCATGCGTTTGTCTTTTGTATGACCATATTCTTACAAGGTGTTCCTGCCGCATTCCACTGGTCTTCCTGCTTGAGCAATTCGAAGGATTTAAAAGACCAGAAAGTGCCTGGCGGTGCCAAAGTGCCGTTTGGCATTTGGCAGGTACCTGAAAGTGTCAGCTTGTTGTCAAGAAATGATCTAACGAGTTGATTACTTACAGTGACTCATACGTGAATACATGTAGGCCGACTGGATCGTATAATCGCCTGAATCCGCGCAAATAGGTTCATCGAACGTCGAATTCGAAGTACCCGTTATGACCCAGGCATACTTCACTGCAGATGTGGGGACGATGTTGTTCGAGTTGTCGAGATCCAACCAAGCGATTGATGTACTATCATAACCGGTCATAGCTCCAAGGAACATGGGTATGCATAGGACGTAGCTCGTGGACAGGAGGATGTAGGCGAACAGAGTTTTCGTTCGCTTACTATTGACAGACAACAGCTCCTTGCAAAGTGTCCATAGCGAGGTTAGGCTGGGTCCCTCCAGTGCGATACGTTGGAAGATACGGAAAGATGCAGGGTGACGTTCGATCACTCGTAGTAGAGCGTCAGAGAAGACAACGTACGCAACCCACCATGCCAGTAGTTGCAATCCGCGGCCAACGAGAATGTCCCAAGCAACATCGATGGTTTTGACCGTTGAAAACGAGAATCGGCCCCAGGTCTGATCAAGCACGAAGAGTCCTTCAAAGCCTGTGACTGTCGAATTGGCCGGCCGATCATCAATGTAGTTGCCACAGCTCATGTACTTGGCCGCAAAGACATTGTAGTAGGGCGGCCATGTTCCAACGGCAAACTCGGGCCTAGGTGTAAAGTAGCCAAGAGTAACCATAGGCACCACTGCGCAGGAGATGAACATGAAGAATGCGAACCACTGCTTCTTCGCTGTAAACACCCGTACCAGGAATGGCCAGACGTTGTGACAGATGAAACACCATATCGCGCTGAAGGCTGCTTGCATCGTTTGCTCAGCAGATCGAACCGCAGGTGACATAACTAGTTCCGTAGTCCTGCATGCTGAAATCCACCGGTCGCGAAATCCCCATGTCCAAGCCCAACTCCAGTTCCTGCTTCTCGTTTCGACGACATCGTTTCCCCACGTTCTCGAGCGATTCGGTGCACAAGGGCCGTCCACTGAGTGTATCGACAGGTTCACATCATCTACTTCCTTTCCCATCGTAACGTGGTTTAGAGTGTCTCCCTCATAGGTGTTTTCAGTGTCCGGATGCGGCGGTTGAAGGGTGGTTGTAGACCCCCACAGAGGCTTGAAATGGAGGTCCGCGTCCTGGGGCATCGAGCGCGCGGTCTCGCGTGTTTATCAGTCCCAATGCCAAGCCTGCAGACAGGACGCCTAACGCTTGTATACAAGGATGGTGCTCCTTCGGTTCATTTGTGTACATGCAACTTGATCCAGAGGCAGATGTGGCGATTCTCCTGATGCACTCAGGACACAGAGCAGTGAGACAACTGTACAAGTGTTCGAACATCCATGAATTGTCACTGTTTTGATCAACGCCTGCTGGAAAGGACAAGGAATGAGCTCGACGTTGTTTTGGCACGCCAGACCAATCGGGCAAGCATCAGGAACGCGCCTCATCATAATGGCCGACCCGCGTCACTGCATTGGGGCTGTGCAAAGTTTACAAAACATGGCTGCATGAATTCGATTGCATCGGAAGAGTAAACGTCACTGCTGAACACGCCGAAGTACTGTGGAAACTAACACGACGAACAGCAATGAATCTGGCGGTGCGCGGAGAACACCCATCAACTGTATCATCACATGTGGATTTTTATTTCATTTTTAGTAGACATGGACGTCCTCCATTAGTCCTCAAGACATAGTAAAGCACGCATCAACCCAATTCAATGTGCATTGTACCCGTTAGTTAGATAAAGTCGTGGCGTGTTATGCCAGATTGAAGCCAGCACACAGCCCCGCCCGGTCCATCTCCGATCGATCACCGAACCATCTCCTTCGCGAAGCTCCAAGCTTAGGCGTCACCGCCAGCGACACCACGATGCGCTCGTGACGTACAACCGCGCGATTTTCGAGTATTGACAGGTCGCGGAAGCTGTATGCACGTGTGAGGAAGACCACCACGGCACCACGATAGTGGCAAGTCGAACCCAAAGCGCTTTATGGCCTACGATACTTCGAGCGGCTATGCGCCGCCCAGCACAAGCAATGCGCAGGACGATGCATCACTGCCTATGTTCAGCATAGAGCGCGTGTCGCTGCAATTCTCCATATCTTCGGACTTCGTCGCAGCTGCAGTAGCTAACAATGTCCTTGTTCTCGCCCTCTCGACTGGGCGCATTCTGCGCATCGACCTAGACAGCCCAGCAGACATAGACGGTTCGTAGGGCATGCATTGGTGGTATGAAGGTCCTACAAGACGTACTAATGGTTGCATAGACATTGATCTGCCGAAGAAGCCCTCAGAAATTGGCGTCATCAAGCGTCTCTTCCTCGACCCCTCCGCATCGCACCTCATCGTAACAACCACCCTCGCCGAGAACTACTATCTCCATACGCAATCGCGAACTCCCAAGGCACTTTCGCGACTAAAGGGTGTCGTTATTGAGAGCATATCATGGAACCCTTCGCAGCCTACAGCATCGACACGAGAGATCTTAGTGGGAGCATCAGACGGCAATGTCTACGAGGTCTTCATTGAGCCTTCATCCGAGTTCTACAGGAGGGAGGAACGATACTTGAAGAGCGTATACAGCACTACGGATGGTCCTATCACTGGCTTGTGGACCGATATAATACCTGGGAGGCAAGACCTGCGACGCGTGGTCATAGCGACACCATCGACATTTGTACAATTTGCAGGGAAAGTTGGGCGCAATGCACATGAAGGCAGCGGCTCCATCTTTTCGAGGTTCTTCGAGAGCGAATCTGCGACCGTTCATGAGCTTCCAAATGTATCACCGACAGCCACCTCACTCCTAGCTGTTTCCCCGGAAAACCAACAGACACCAGACCAAGAGCGTCTGAATAGCGAACGAACATTTGGCTGGCTGACATCACAGGGCGTGCTGCATGGCAAGCTGTACCTGTCACAAGACACCTCTGACCTTGGAGCCAAGGTTTTAGCAGATTCAAAGTTGTTGCCTAGGTCGCAGATCCCAGCATCACAGACTGCTAGTGGTCGGACCAGGAGATCGAACGATGCAGTCAGTTCGATTATACTCAGCCAGTGGCATATATTGCAATTGGTGGAAGGAAGGGTGGTAGTAATCAATCGCCTCGATGATACTGTTGTGTTCGACCAGGTTGTACTTGAGCCTGGACAAAGCGCACTGAGCCTTGTCGCTGACATCAAGTCGAACACCTATTGGCTTTTCACCACCCGCGAGATCTTTGAGATCGTTGTAACAGACGAGGCCAGAGACGTGTGGAAAATCATGCTTCGGTCACAGCAGTTCGAGGCCGCTTCACAATTCGCTAAGACATCAGCACAAAAGGACACTGTTGCAACTGCATCTGGAGATTATCTGGTCGGCAAGGGTCAATACCTGGAGGCAGCTGCTGTGTATGGGCGAAGCACAAAACCATTCGAGCAAGTGGCTCTGACGTTCATTGATCAGGGAGAACAAGATGCACTTCGAAAATACCTGCTTACGAAGCTTTCGACACTGAAGAAAACTTCTCTGATGCAACGGACCATGGTGGCCACATGGCTTATTGAGCTGTACATGGCGAAGCTCAACACCCTTGATGACACCATCACGACCAAAGCCGAGCTTTCGGATAGTATGAATACTGCAGAGACCCAGGACCGTCTCTCGGCTATCAGGAAAGATTACCAAGATTTTGTATCGAAGTATAAGACAGACCTTGACCGCAAGACAGCGTACGATATCATCAGCAGCCATGGCAGGGAAGAAGAACTATTGTACTTTGCTACAGTCGTGAACGACTACAACTACGTTCTGTCATACTGGGTGCAACGCGAGCGTTGGCAAGAATCTCTGGCCGTGCTCAAAAAGCAGACTGACCCAGAGATCTTCTACAAGTACAGCAGCGTGCTAATGGCTCAAGTGCCTGTCGAGCTTGTCGAGATTATGATGCGGCAATCGAATCTAAATGCGCAGAAGCTGATCCCGGCTTTCTTGAACTACAACAACACCAGCAGAGCCCCCTTGAGCCAGAATCAGGCTGTCCGCTATCTACTCTTCGAGATCAATCAACACCAGTCGACTGATGCTGCGATACACAACACACTCATCTCTATCTACGCATCGCACTCAACCACCGACGAGTCAGCATTACTTGCATATCTGGAAGGGCAGTCGCTTGCACACGAGCAAAACTATGACGCTGACTTCGCTCTGCGCCTTTGCATCCAACACAAGCGTGTGCAATCTTGCGTGCACATCTACAGCTCCATGGGACAATATGTACAAGCCGTAGACCTTGCGCTCAAGTACGACGAGATAGATCTTGCGAGCAATGTCGCAGACCGCTCCAACACCGAGCCCACCCTCCGCAAGAAGCTCTGGCTCGCAATCGCGAAGAAGGTCATTTCACAATCTTCAGGCATCAAGACAGCAATCGAGTTCCTGCGACGCGTTGACCTCCTCCGCATCGAAGATTTGATTCCGTTCTTCCCTGACTTTGTAGTCATCGATGACTTCAAAGAGGAGATCTGCACAGCGCTGGAGGACTACAGCCGAAAGATCGACGAACTCAAAAAGGAGATGGACGACTCCGAAGAGACGGCGCAGCATATCAAGAGCGACATCAAAACTCTGGACCAGCGTTATGCCATTGTCGAGCCTGGCGAGCGCTGCTACGTCTGTGGCTTGCCGCTGCTGGTGCGACAGTTCTTCGTGTTCCCGTGCCAGCATGCGTTCCACAGCGATTGTTTGGCGAAGAAGGTCGTGGAGCTTGCAGGTATTGCGAGGGGAAAGCGTATCGCAGAGCTGCAGTTGGATGTCAGTAAGGGAACGAGTATAGGCGCCAAGAGGGAGAAGGCAATTAGGGAGCTGGACGCGCTTGTTGGATCATCCTGGTAAGTTCTGAGGTAGCTTGTGTTTAAGCAGTATCTCTAACACGTGTACAGTGTTCTTTGCAGCGAGCTAGCGGTCAAGCTCATCGACGAGCCTTTCATCAGCGCGACAGATGACAAAGAAGAATGGGCGCTGTAGTGTAGACGTGAATCAACATAACTATGCAATAGGATTCTATTCGCTTGGCCTTCTCGATATGTTACACAAATAGGCATATATAAACGGCTTGTGTCCGGCAAGATCGTACGGTACATGACTTTCCTTCACGCTCACAGTCTCCAACAAATCACTCCCGGACCTCCATGTCGTTTGCCTCCGAAGTGCTCGAGAAACCGAAAAGCGGAAAGATTTCGACCCATGTTCAAAAATCCGCGTCTTGGGGCATATGTCCGCTCTCCTCCCGCTGCTTTTTACTTTACGATCACTTCCCACGATCTCGAGGTTTTCAAATTCAAAGGATACGCCCATATCTTTCTGCTGTCCAAAGTCAGAACAACCCATTGAACGAGAGAAGTCTGGGATCGCTCCTTCTGCATCAATGCCTCTAAGACACTCCAAAAAGCCAACACGATCCCCATGCTCGACACTGTTCGAAAGCTATACGAACAGGGCAAATGTGACAGGTTCGTGAAAGCCAGATTTTCGTCATGTTCCGATGTGTTCAGCGAGATAACGATGGTTTCTGCGGACGCTATAGCCGTGCTGTTGCTTCACGAATGATGCCGAAATGTGAGTCAAGATTGTTGTGGGATGCTGAGCATGCTCTGTGTTTCCAAAGAGGTTGATGCATCCCAACCATGCGCAAATCTTCTGGTGCTGTGCAGTTCAAGATTAGCAAAAGACACTGCATTTTCGACTCATTGAGAGATGCTGTTCGACGTCACGTCACTGAAATTCGAAGATCGCTTGAGCAGCGTGCAAGAGACCTTCATTATCGCAGACTTCATATATTGATTGTCTCGCGTGGAAAGTGTTTTCAGATGATGCATAATGTATTCTCAAGTCGAACATCATCATCTACACAGACTCGTGCATCAAGTCCCTCACAGCGACCGACACTCCTGTTGTGGAACACCTTTTCCTAACAGTCCGAGCAAACAAAACTCCGGCTATGAACCCCAAGAACATCGTCGTAGTGTACACATGCATCCCGCCCCGGCCCAACAAAGCGAGACAAATGTATCGTGTCGCAAGATATAGATAGGAAAGAAATTTGGTAGTGGTACAAGGCGGCTTTGGATGAAGGTCACGAGGATCAGACTTCTCCGTCAGCAACGGCGAGTCGCTGTTTGGCTGTCTTCGCTTTCTTGCTGAGACCCTTCTTCTTCTTGCCGCCTGCGGGTGCTTCGCTGGGTATGGGTGTCGCTGCACCGCTGGGCTTCTCGCTCTGGTCGAAGTGTCCTTCGCCTATAAACGCGTCAGTAAAAGTCATGATTGAGAGTATGAGAGCCTGGTGTCGTCTTACCTTCGTGGTACATGTCGTCCAAGTTGGCTTCGACTCGCTTTTTCGACTTGCGCTTCTTGCCTGGTGGCGCGTTCTTCTCTTGCTCAGCGAGCTCCGCTTCTTTCTTCTCGATCTCGGCTGCTTGTTCGTCGTCCACGAGCCACATTGCCATGTCCTTGGTGCGGTTCTCTCTGGACCGAGTGTTGAAGTCGACTGCGCCGCCGGCGCCTCCGGAGATGACGACGCGCTGTACTTCTTCCTTTTGCAGGGCACGCTTACGGATGCGCTCCTCGATGGTACCACGGGTGATGAGACGGTAGACAGTGACCTGTCTGGTTTGACCAAGACGATGAGCACGATCCATAGCTTGCGAATCGATGGTAGGGTTCCAATCGGAGTCGTAGAAGATGACGGTGTCGGCAGAGGTCAAGTTGATACCGAGACCACCAGCACGAGTGGACAGCAAGAAGACGAAGATAGATTGGTCGCTTTGGAAGTCGGCAACTGTGTCTCGACGGTCTTCGAGCTTGGTGGATCCATCGAGGCGGACGAATTTGTAGTTGCGGTAGGTGAGGTACTCCTCCATAAGATCGATCATCCTTGTCATCTGGAAGTAGAGTAGCACACGGTGGTCGTTGGCCTTCAGCTCCTTCAGTAAGGCATCCAAACGAGCAAGCTTCCCAGAATCTGTGACGAAGCGCGACATGGAAGGAGCCTCGATGTGCGTGAACCTGGACCTCTCGTTGGTCGGAGGCGGTAGCCTGTCACGAACGGTTAGAGCAGTGCTGTCCGCCTTGCTCTCCAACATCGCTCGTTCGGCCGTGCTTGAGATACCGTACAGAGCAGATCGTATCGACGGGTTAAAGAACGTGTTCTGCTTTTCGGCGATAACGGCCTGGCTGGCACAGTACAGCTCGACAGGAGGCGCAGCAGCCGCTGGCTTAGCACACCGTTCAACGATGTTAAGCCCTGTCTCTTCGAACGCAGGCCAAGTCACATTAAGAAGATTGTGCATATATCCCTCAGTGGTAAGCTCAGCCAAAGGCTTCCTGTCTTGTCGGCCCACAATGTTCAGGATCGAGTGCTTTGGTGTCCAGTCTCCACTATCATCATCGTCGTCGTCGTCGAAGATGTTGAATCGAGCGGCCTTGTTTGGCTTGTCCCCAAGCTCGATAGCTCGGTGGAACAGGTCGCTCTTTGCAATCCTCGAGGCTTCAGTCGCCGACACATCTGAGAAGCGAAGCCACGAGTGCGCACCCGTCTCTCGAGCTGACCTCTCAAGGTTGTCGGGGGTCCAGATGTTCAGCTGATTGTACAGCCAGTGAGCGTTGAAACCGGCCTTGGGGTTCTCCGAGCCAGCGATATCGAGCCTTCCACCGTTGCGGCACACCAACCGTGGCAAAGGATACTCGATCATGTTGCGCGTCGAATAGCCAACCCGGACATTCTGGCCCTCGCGCAAGAAGGATCCGGTCTCAGCGAAGGTAGCGAAGGACAATGGTGACCAGGTATCGGCGCGCTCGAACAAGTCGGGATGATTACAAACCTTCCTGAACTGCATGACAAGGTTCATCAACGTTGCGCTATCCTGCTCGTCCCCAACAGCCTTCTCGATAAGGTCCATGATGCTGATCTTGTTCCGCAAGTTGGTGTAGTAAGCGCGCTGTCGGTACGTAAGGTCGCAGAACACATCCAGCTCGATCTTGTCTCCCAACTCCTTCTGGACGTGCTTCTTGACACGCCTTAACATGAAGGGCTTGAGGATCATGTGCAAACGCCTCAGCTGGTCTTCGTTCAGCTTGGTGTTACTCTGCGCGTGGCTTTCGATATCTTTCGAGAACCAGTCGCTGAACTCGTCGTGAGAGTCGAACAAAGTTGGCATGATGAAGTGGAGCAAAGCCCACAGTTCTTGCATGTTGTTCTGGATGGGTGTTCCTGTCAGCAGCAGTCTGTTGCGCGAGTGGAAGCCGAGCAAACTCTTCCATCTAGAACTCTGGGAGGACTTGATGGCCTGAGCCTCGTCAAGGATCATGTACTGCCAACGCATCTTCTGGAAATATTGCGCATCCTGCACGACCAGTTGGTAGGATGTGACAACAACATGGAATGGCGAGTTTCGATCGTATGTGACGTGCTTGCGGTCCCAGAACTTGCGCAGAACCTTGCGATCCTTCGCTGTACCCCAGTATGGCAACACATTGAGATCGGGAACGAAGCGAGTGATTTCCTGTTGCCAATTGTGCAGCGTAGAGGCCGGAGCGATGACAAGGAAAGGTCCCCAGATGTTGTAACGCTCGGCGAGATATGCCATGACGGAGATGGACTGCACCGTTTTTCCAAGACCCATCTCATCGGCCAGAATACCGTTGATACCCTGCTCGTACAAATTGACCAACCAGTTGAGACCCTTGAGTTGGTATTCCTTGAGCGTGCAACTGAGTAAGCCGGGCTGAGGTATCCAGTCTTCTCTGTTTTGCAGACCTGAGGGATTTTGGAAATTCAGTTCGCCGTCATCTTCGCCATCGCCACCCTTGTTAAAGGCCCGGGCTTTGTCCTGCGCCTCTTGAATGGCGTGTTGAGCGTTGGCCATGGCAGCAGCGTTGAGGGCACCCTCATCCTCGTTGTCGAAATCGAGATCTTCAAAGCTTGTGACCTTCGCGGCGCCTTCGGTAGAGATCTTGGAGAGGTCAAGGCCGCTTCCGAGCTCCTCGGCGGGTGCGCTTGCCGCAGTCTCTGCATCGTCTGTCGATCTCTCGATTTCCGCCGTCCTGGCTTTCTTGCCAATGAAATGGGAGTAAAGCTCGGTCTGAGAGATAAGGAAGTTGAGCTTGCGCTTTTGTCGGTTCGCTTCGCGGTCCGCTTCAGCCTTCTTTGCATTCTCAAGCTCCTGTCGCTCAGCGTTCTTCCGGGATTCACGCTCGTCACGCTCGTTCCTCTTCCAGAACGCCAACATTTCTCGCATTCCGCGCTTGGCTCTCGCTTGCATATCCTTGGTGTTCTTGTTGGTGCGCATCTGCCACCTACGAGCCTCCTTCGACGCCAGCTGTGCGGTCTTGCGGAGATTCGACTGCTTGGTCGATAGAGAGTTCTCTTTGATGCGAACCACTTTAGGAACATCTTTACGAGCGATATCCTTTACAATCTGGCTGTAGATATTTCGGTACGCCTGGGAATCATATGATGTGAGGACCACGGGCCCGATGTCCTCAGTCTGACTGCGGCTCTGAAGCAGACCCAGACGTGCTTCGTCGCGAGGTGCAATGGCAGGGAGGTCGTCGCCACGGTCGATGGCAGCTTGTCCAGCAGCAGCAGCGTCCTTCTCCGCCTGCTTCTGCTCCTTGCTCTTCTTGAGACGGCCTGTGCTACGACCGCCCTTGCGTTTCCCGCCGGCGACATCGTCAGATGCCTGGAAGGAGCTCATAGTTCCACCCTCCATGTTGGGGCCGTTGGGAGTAACGTCACGGATATCCTTGATCGGGGCGTTGCCCTGCAAGAGTTGCGAAGTGTTCTTGGCCTTGCGCTCTGCTTTCTGAGCGGCCAGAAGGTGCCTCTCCTTCTCTTCCTCGTTGTCAGCCTGTCCAGCTTTGGCCAGTGCTTCAGCACGCTTGGCCTCCTCGTTCTGGATGGTTTTCTCGCGCCGCCTCTTTCGCTGCATGTCCTTCTTGCGCTCCTTCTCTTCGGCGATTTCTTGACTCTGGACCTGCTGCCATGCATCGCCCTCGTGCTCCATGTTGTACGACTGCTTAGCGTAGTCGCGATGTGCGGCCAGGGTGTCGGTGAGTCGCCTCAAGTGAGCGTCTCGTCGGCGCTTGCGCTTGCTGTCTTCTGCGCTTGCAACATCCAGAGCGCGCTTCTTGCTGTTCTGGGCGTATTCCTCACGCTCGCGCGGCGCACCAGTCGCGCCCAGCTCGTTCATCTGGGTGGTCTCGATGTGCGCCAGCGCAGCCTGAACTTCGGCTTCGTCTGGCGGAGGTAGCTCGCGGGCAGCATACTGTTGCGGTGGCGGTGCGCTGCCGACGGGTGGCATGGCTTCGTACGCCTGGTGGCCGTTTGCGTGAGGCAGGTCGGCGGGTGCCGGAGAGGGCAACGCCTCCTGCTTGACGAACAGCGGTGGTTTTGAGGCGAAGGCGGGGGGCTGTGAGGGCTTGGAGGGTTCGTTGTCGGCGCCCGAGGACATGATGCTAGAGAGGGACATGGGGTCGGCGCGTGGTGGTGGTGGCGGTGCCTGTGGGAGATTAGTGACGCGACAGGACGCGAGGCCGACGCGAGCTTCACTCACCCCCTCCTCTTTCATCGACGGTCTCCTCGCGTAGGGCTGTGGGGGAGGCTGAACGGCGCCGCGGTTCATCGACTGATAGACCGTCGGCGAGACGGGCGAGTGGGACACGGCGTCCATGGCGGCTGGGTATGGGCCCTGCGACGGGCGACGCTGCAGCGGCGACGGGTGTGCGTACTGGACGACGGGCGAGTGACGGGCGCGCTCGTAGGGGCTGTGTGCTGGACGCGATTCTGGGTAGGCGTGTGGGTCTCGGGTCTGCTGGCGGTGGTTGTTAGCTTCCGCATCCCTGCATGTCACGTCTCATCATAGTCGACCGCTGATGGCATCGTGATGGACGGGCGAGTGTAGGGCGTGTAGGGCGAGTGTATACGCACCGGAGGAGGGTAGTGGCTCGGGTGGGGCGCCGCGTCTCGTCCTACGGGCCCATTGTCCTGCGTCGGGTCGTAGTACGTGTTGCGGTCGCGCGAGTAGAGGGCGGCGCTGATGGGCGGCAGCTCAGTGGCGCCCGGGGTGGTGGGCGAGCGGTGGTGTTGATGGGCGGCGGGAGGATGGGGGTGGTGGTTGTGCTGCTGGTGCGGCAAGGGCACGGCGTTGGGGGACTGATGTGGTTGTGGTCGGCCTGTGCCAAAAGCAGCTGGTGTTTGCGTTGGCGACTGGGACTGGTGGTAAGCTGCCTCCCCTTGGGGCCCTGCCATCATTCTTTCACGCGAGTAACCGTCCATGGTCGCGCAACATCAACAGCGAAGCCTCAGCGCGGGCCGGTCTGCTCAACCATCGGCGGAGGGCTGCAGAGGCTCGGGCCTGGAGGTGCGCGCGGCGGCCGGTGGACGCGGCGACGGTGATCTGCTGCGATGCGGCGTCGTCCTGCGCGCGAGCTCCCCGTTGGCGGTGGTGGTGCTGCTGCGACGGATGCTGGGGACGGCGACGATGAGGTGGGCAGCACGGGGGAACGCGGACGGAGAACGAGGGCTGGTGTGGAGGCTCTTGGATCACACGGATCTCTGTCAGTCAGCTTAGCGTGCGGTTCCTCGTTAACAAAGCCTGAACCCGATCCATCTTGCGTGAAGATACAGGCGCCGCTGTACCAGGGCCAATAACTGCACTGCGAATGGGCCGAGGATTGCAGCGCGCTGCAGCTATGTGTTCACGTCTGTCCGCATCATGTGCTCCGTCTTCCAATGCGCTCTCTGCACTGAGCGCTGGCCGCAATGCTGCTCCCCCCTCCGCTCTCAGGCCCTCTTCCACCTGCCCATCCTCCACGGTTTCCTGAGAGCTTCGGCTAGCGTATGTGCCAATGCCAATGCCAACGCGCAGCCATCACCAATCCATCACCAATCCATCACACACAAAACTGCCAGTCCTGCGCCTTCTTCTGCGCTCACCTGTCTTCGGCTGCGAGACCAGCAGAACAGCTGGGCAGCCCCAGAAGGGGGTCAACGAGCGTTGCAACGTCGCAGCTCATTGGATGAGACGATGATGGAAGGCGCGACCCGCAATCGTGCACTGGAGCAGTAGCGTGCTGCAAGGTCCACTTTATTTTCGTTGCTTGGCATCAAAGTTCTCGAACGCTGGTAAAAGGTGCGGCTCCGACCAGCACCGCAGCAACAGCAACATCAACCAGGTATCGCCATGGCCGCCGTTTACAAGCAACTGTCGGGCAATGACCGTGAGGAGGAGAAGTCGACGGGCGAGAAGAGGAACAAGCAGCGTGTGCTCATTCTGGTACGCCTTGCGCCTCAGACAGAGGGTTCACAGCTAATGCGGGACAGAGCTCGAGAGGTGTCACATTCCGCCATCGCCATCTGCTGCAGGATTTGTATTCGCTGATGTCAGTAGAGAGCTCAACCAGACATGATGATTTTTGGTGCTAATATTCCACAGGCCTCACAGCCGGAAAGAGGCAAAGTTCGACTCGAAAACCAAGCTGTACCAGCTGAACGAGATGGCAGGTAAGAACGGCGACGTTCATCAACTCCATTTCTGCTACATCGTCTTTGCATACGAAACGAATCGTTAGAGTTTCACGCAGACTGACACTACGCAGAACTCTACAACTGCAACAACATTCTCTTTTTTGAAGCAAGGAAAGGGAAGGACCTGTACTGCTGGATGAGCAAGCCGCCAAACGGACCCACAGTCAAGATGCACCTCCAAAACTTGCACACCATGGAGGAGCTCAACTTCATCGGCAACTGCCTCAAGGGATCCAGGCCAATCCTCTCGTTCGATGCAGCATTCGAGAAGCAGGCCCACCTCCGCGTCATCAAGGAGCTTTTCACCCAGATTTTCGGCGTCCCCAAGAACTCTCGCAAGACCAAGCCATTCGTAGACCACGTGATGGGCTTCACAGTCGCAGATGGCAAGATCTGGATTCGCGTCTACCAAATCAACGAGTCGGAGACAGGCAAGAAGAAGCCTGTTGACGGCGACGATATGGATGTTGACGAGTTGGTTGCCAAGAAGAAGGGGAAGAGCTCTGAATTCGACGTCAGCCTTGTAGAGATTGGCCCTCGTTTCGTCCTCACACCTATCGTTATCCAGGAGTCGAGTTTCGGAGGACCCATCATCTACGAGAACAAGGAGTTCGTGTCGCCCAACCAGATCCGTTCAGACCTGCTCAAGGCCAAGGCCGGCCGATTCAACACCCGCACAGACGCTCAAAGAGACACAAGGAACAGGCGCGCAGACCTCGGCCTCACAACCCACGGAGGTGTCAAGAAGGCGAAGGACCCGCTCAGCGACCAGGTGCTCTTCGCATAGTGTTTCCATCACGGTCCGGCAAAAGCATGGCGTTCACGGGTTTTCTCATCTTCTACTGGCGCAGGATGTACGGTCACCAGGCTGGGTGGGTGCGCGCATGGATGTTGCTGTACACCAATATACCCAAAAGATATCTTACGCATGTGCTGCTCCTCGCTGGGCAGCCATGCTTGTTTCCAACGCCTTCGCATACTCCTCGCTCACACCCGTGACCTGCACCTGCCTGACCCCGTACAGCGTCCTAAACGGATCCAACACCGTCTGCGTCTGTGTATAGTGGCTCTCGTCCTGCACCCTATGCACCCTTCCACTAGGAAATCTGTGCCTGCTTACATCCCCATCAATCAAATGCACCTCCAGCCTCCTCAACTCCCTTACCAGCACAAGCAGATCCACAAGCTCCCTCACCTTCGCCCGTATACCAGCAGGCAGTCCCCTGCCCCCGACATTGTACTTGATCATTCCCGTGTAATCATCCACACTCTCCACATTCACCACGTACTTCTTCACCCTCATCAGATTCCTCTGACTAAAATGCTCAAGCCAGTCAAACTGCCTGCTCGGCGTCAACCCATTTTCCGCGCGCCATCTATACCGAAACAGGATCTTGTCAAACGTCACATCCACCACGAACGTGTTCTCGCCGTACAGCATGTCTGCTGCCTCCTCATGGATCTGCTTGTTTACGGCTAAGAGCGAGGTGGAACCGCGCCGCCAAACTATGTCGTTGCCCGTCTCGCGGTCAGATTTGGGGGATGTTTTTTGCATCTTCCAGGACCCGGCGCTGGAGGAGGGCTGGCGCACGAAGGTCAGGTTGTATTCGGCGCGCGGGGTGGGGGAGGGCGGGCGCTGGTAGCGGAGGGCGAGGGCGAGGGTGTGGGGGAGGAGGGTGGTATAGATTTGGCGGCGGAGTTCGATGGGGAGGCGGAGGAGGGGTGAGAGGTCATTCGAGGACTTGGCCGGAGAATACATTGCTTTGCGATTTGGGCTGCGAGCCTCTACAGCTGTGAGCTCCGCGCGCGTTTTGTTCACATGCTGCTGTCGCGCGTCTGCGCTCGCACTGACGCCATCGGACGCGGAGGAGTTCCTGTGCGCCGATTGGACCACCAGAAATCCGGGGTGTGTTGTCTACCACCACGACGCGACGCTGACTCCTTTCCAACCTTAACCAACCCATCATGAGGCTCATCGCAACTGGCAGCCTGTCGAGGCTTGCAACGGGTTTCAACATGTCTGAACAGTCTGGCACGTTTCCCATCTATAGCCCCAACGGAGGGGTCTCTATCTCTTAAAACCTCACGAGCTTCCCCGGGTCGAGGTAAACAACAGCTTCGAGCCGACTACGGTAAATCGATACCCAAGCAAAAGGCCAGCAGAACCCAAAGAAGAGCAGTGCTTGACACACGGCAACCTGAACTCCAATTGACAACTCGATTCGCTGCATCTCGAACCCATCTTAGACCACCTCAAGTGTACATCCATTGCCCCACAGCCAACATGCTGTTCGAAGACCTCGCTACCGAACTGGTGATCCAGGTGTTGTTCTCCTGCAGTTCAGTCAACGACGTCCTCGCGCTGTCAATAACCTGTCGCCGCTTCCGCAACATCTCTCTTTCATCCCAACGCCTCGCCATCCTCGAGCACGCAGCCGAGGCCCAATACGGTCCTCTCCTCGACCTCACCCAGCTCCTCATCCACAACTCCAGCCAGCCAGCACACATCATCCGAACCGCCCCCTTCTCTCTCGCCCTACTCAGGCAGATAGTGCACGCTGGCCGCATCGCCGCGAAATGGTGCGACATTTACCCCTTCAAGAAATGGAAGCACAACTACGAATCGCGCCGCCTGCTCACCAGCAGCGAACGCTACCGTCTGCGACGCGCCATATATCGGACCTGGCTGTACTCACGAGCCTTCCACAACGCATCCCACCCTCGCGAATCCCGCGTCACACGCCCCGTGATCCAAAAACGCGCGGCGCTCCTGCACAACTGGACGACGCTCGAAATCGCCGAAATCGCAGACATCAACATGATCATCCGCGACGTCGTGCAGAACAACATCTGCCCCAGCAACGGCACGATCGCGCGGAAATTCAAGAAACGACATCCGCATAACGATCAGTCGCTACTCTTCAATATACACCTCAACTACCCGCCCCCCGCGCCGTCGCCCGCGGCTTACAACCCCTTCACCAACCAAACGCCCGCGACAAACCTCTGGACACACTTCAACACCACACCTACATACACTTCGCGCTACACCTCGCCCGCTTCGAAGTTCGCGCTGCACCAGACCCACAACGTTGGTGCGGAGGGCTGGGGCGACGATATAAGCCACTACTACGTGATTGAGGACTACATGAAACTGGACCCGGAGCAAGTCTTGTGGCTGAAGGAGAACGCGCCACTCAAGGGGATGGTGGAGGGGTATGTGAGGTTGCTTGGAGGGTGGTTTGAGAATAATGGGGCGACGCTGGGACAGACGGTAGATTGGGTGTTGGATGAGCGAGGGGAGAGTGTTGTGGAGTTTGCTGAGTTGATTGCCGAGGGACGGTTGGGTGTCGCGGTAGCTGGTGGAGAAGTGTAGGGGTAGTGTGATGGGGATGGAGACGGGGACAGATGGGGAAAGATGGGCCCAAGGCCGAGAACAACGTGATATACAACCGATACTTCGATGACCCTGCTGCGCTATCCTAACAAACATGTTTCATGCCTGGTTACGCTCTCAACGCTTCGCCAACACCTAGCCATACATATAATACAACACAATCTCCAACAACCATCTATTTCAGCCCCCTTATCTCCATTGCCCTCCCTTTCCATCCCCGCTCCTCTCCGCAGCCAAAACATCTCTCTTCAACGCCTTCGCTATCTGCTTCGGCGTTTCTGTCCCCGTCCTCTTCCCTCCTCTCCTCGCCGCATCCTCCAAGCCAACGCCAATCTTCCGCACATTGAGCTGTTCCACCTTCTTGATGTTAAGCTGCTTCTGTTTCGCCTCTCGTGTGCGTACCGCCGGCGACTTGTCCTGAGAGCCCGTCGCTTTGTGCATGCTCGCAAGAGGAAGTACGTGTTCAGGGCCATCAGACTCAATCTTTCGGACTCGAGTTTCGGAATCTGCGGAACCAGGTATATCGGCAGCTGAGTCCAGGGCGGTAAAGTCTGTGCATGTGGATTCCGTGGCCTGCTCGGATGCAGTGCCCTCGTTTCCTTCTTGATCGGACGCGGATCGTTCACGGAGGCTAACGGCCCAATCCGAGGTGGCTGCCGGTGCCGTGGTTTCCACGGTGCGGCTCTGGGGCACTTGCACCGGGGCGCTGGCAAGCAAGATTGCTCGCTGCTTTTGAGCTAAGCTCAGAGTCGACGATGGAGGGCTTGACGCGGGGGAAGTGGCTGCGTTGATGGCTGGATCCTGGCCTGAAGTGGAAGGGGATGTCGATGATGACTTTGCCTGCAGGGCTTTGAGGAACTTGGTTTCGGGACTGTCCGATTTTGTGACCCTGATTTTCGGCCCGTTTTTGGGATTCATGACGGTATGGATTTTGTTCTTGGCTTCGGCGCGAGCATGGAGAACTTCTGGCTTTGACGCCGCACTAGAGGCTGGGGCGGGAGCCGGAGCTGAGTCTGGCTGACGTGATACAACCGCCCGGTTGTAAAGAGCAGATGTTTGCCAAAGATAAAGATAGGGTAGAGCCTTCCCTACCCATCGTCGACGCCATATGTTCGAATACTCGACGTGCTCTCGCGAGGGTGTGGGGAGAGTTTTCTGTGCCCGTTGAGATTGTGGGTTTGTATTGCTTGGTGAGGATGCTGGAGGTCGTTCTGTCTGAACCTCTCGCCCAAGTTTGCGGCGTTCTTCTCGTGAGACTTGCGACAATTGACCCATGCTCGAATCTTTTGAATCAAGTGCTGGAGATTGTCCTAGTTGCAGAGCTTGTGAGGAATTCCGGACCATGAGAGGAGATGACGCCGAATACAGGTAGGACAAAGGTCGTGCTGCCCACTCTTTCCGCTCCTTGCGCGAAAACTGGCGTTGCTCGTCTCTCCAGAGTCTGCGACGTTCTTCCCGTGAGACGGGCGATAACTGCTCCATGCCCGAATCTTTTTGATCAAGCGCGTGAAGTTTGTCCTGAGCTTGACGGGCGACTGTCTGAACGTCCGGCAGATCTGTGCCTGTCTTCACCTCCACCGCACGCTCGGTGGGCGAAGCATGCCTTCCTCGATCAACCGTGCGTACGACCGCTTTAACAGCCATGCCGCCCGTAGGACCCTCGATCCAAACATCCCATAAGTTCCCTGTCTCTGTTCTCTTCTTGTTCTTGACGCAAACGCGCATTTCCTCGTCGCAGTATAGTGGTGCAAGATTGCGGTATTCGACCGAATCCACCAGTTCAAGCTTTGTACCAATGCGCGACGACCGAAGATGCGTGTTTAGAGTCTGAAGCATCAGAGTGAGCGTGAGCGGTCCATGTACGAGGAGGTTACGATGGCCTTCGACGTTTCGAGCGTATGTAGGATCGAGGTGTAGTAGATGAGCGTTGAACGTAAGAGCAGAATACCGGAAGAGGAGGGAGCGCGTTGGCGTCAAGACGTGTGAGAAGTCGGGTTCCGCAGGTGCTGAAGCGTGTCAATGGTGGAACAATGGCTGGCAGGACATACATACACTTCAAATACCTTGGGACAACTGTCTGACCAGCATATATGGCTATGAGCTCAGCTGCTGTCTTTGCCTTCAGGAACACCAGGTTACGCTCCTCCTTCAACAATGCATCACTCCAGTCATCGCCAGTGTCCGCTTGCTGGAAGATCTGCGCTCGTACATTGCCCTCAGGTCGACTCTTGGCAACATCTCTGAGTTGGTCGGCAAAGGCAAAGCGTCGCTCAACGGTCACGAAGACCTTGGCCTCATCGCCAGTTCCTTGTAACCGAACGTCCTTGATGCGCTCCACACATGCGACCTTTTGCAGCAGCCTAAACGGTGCTCCGGATTTGAGCTTCAGATCTGGATTGAGCTTGACAGCTCCACCTGCCCACATGCGTCGCATCCATGGCTCGCCTGGACTGTGTAGAGGATCAGTGCCATCAGGAAGGAGTGTGGACGATAGAACTCGAATGTTGAAGTGCGTCAAGAGTTCGGCCAATGAGATGTTCGGTTTGAGATCAGTGTCTAGCTTGCTTAGCCGTGGAACAAAGCCCCCAAGTGTCGTGTAGAGTTGCTCGTGGTGAAGTAGGTCGAGATCTTCGCATTGATAGTGTGGCTTTCGACTTATTAGTTCGGAGCGCACTTGCTGGAACCACTCAGGGTCATTCGCCGTATCTGAGGCATAGTCCCGGACACCTCGCTGCCGCCATACATTGCGGTGTGCGGCTGTGCTGGCTATCCGCCGTGGACATCGCGTGTGGAGTGACATTGAGTGGAAAAGCATCGGCGGCTTGTCTGAACGTCAGTTCCGAGCTTCTTGCTGTGCTCACGCTAAGCCTAACTCATGGCGCACACCGCGGAGGTGCTGCTCTCCTCCGCATCTCGCTCTGCGCTCACTCTGCATAGCCAAGTTGCTGTAAGCGTATGAAGCACATCACATCGCCCAGTTGATCCTCGTTTGCACGCAGTCTTGCACGATGTGGCGGTGAGCTGGTGTATCTTGGCACGTGGCTCACAGTGACTGCCGACTTGAGCCTCCCTCGTGCCATCAAAAGCACCGCCAACGGAACCTTTACAAACGATTTCTTTGCCTGGTACATCGCTGCTCAAGCATACGTACTATGTGTTGGTACCGGCAAGACAGCGTGTTCGCACCTTTCCTCTGCGTCTGACGGATCTTCGTCGCAGCAAGCCACGGTAGCATCAACAACGACTGTGGCAATCATCTAGGTCTTGAGCGTATGGTGACAAAGGATGCTAGAAAGCCATTCAAGAATCACCTGCCGGACTTGTATCAATCAAGAAACCACTTCTCGGCCAGTATTCACTGCGCACATTCACCAACATGACAGGCAAGATGGAACTTCTCGACTGTCCACTCTGCGACTTCACGGTCCTGCCGACCGATGATTATATTCTTCAATTGCATTTTGAGCAAGTGCACACAGAAGACAGCCCTTTCATCATCAAGGATGACCCAGAGCCCCTACCTCCTTCGCTTGGTTCCTCGTCCAAACGCAAGCACGTGCAGGACACGACTTCCTCAGACGAGGAAGAAAACACAGTCGCGTGCCCTGAGTCTGATTGCGGTGAGGTGGTCTTGCTTGACGACTTCAACGATCACCTTGATCTCCACGCCGCAGAAACATTATCATTTGACGAGACCACTGGAAAGTATCACTCTCATCATTCATCCAGCAATATGCATAAGTCAGCCACTACACACCATTCACACAGGCGCTCGTCGAAAGCTGCCACCTCGGATTCCCGATACGACACAGATTCATTAGACGGCTCGAAGAGCGACAGTCATGGCAAGTCCAAGAAGAAACACCAGCGCGAAAGGAGGGACACAAACAGCAGCGAAAAAAGCACGCTGACCAGGACTATCTTGAGTTTCAACCCGTTCATGAAGCTGGATAAGTCGGTGAAGCCGCCCAACAAGAGTGCTCGTCTTGGTGTAAGTTTTCTCTATGACTTCGCACATCTAATGCTGACAACCTAAGAAATCAGAACTCGGCCCCTATGCCTGGGAAGACCGCATGCCTAGGTGGCTCCACGACCAACTTGCGGCTGGTCCTAAGATTACTGTCGTCAACCGCATTGGCCGCGACGGTCGCCTCATCAAGCAGGAACAAGTGCAAAACGAGACGCCGGGGGTCATCCCTATCCTTGCGCAACTGTCAGCCTTGGACCGCACCGTCAAAGAAGCATACTACTGTCACCCGTCCACACTACATGTTGGCAAGACTCCCAAGGAGGGTAGCTTCTGCGGATACAGGAACATCCAGATGCTCATATCTTACATTCAAGGCGCGAAAGCACAGGGCCATGAAGAGTTCTCTGGTCGCCTACCTGGAATTCTCAAACTACAAGAGCTGATCGAGAGAGCCTGGGACAAAGGCATCAATCATATCGGCAGAATTCAGACAGGCGGTATTGAGGATACCAGAAAGTACATCGGTACCCCAGAAGTGCGTTTGTTACTTGATCGTGAGAGGTTGCAACGCTTACATACGTCAAGGCACAAGCTCTGTTCCTCAGCACCGAGATCAACTGCGCTGTCGAGATGTTCAGCGATCAAGACACACCACACGGAAAGATCCAGGCCCACGATCTACTCCTTCTCGCCGTCGAACGCTATTTCGCCCAAGCTGCGGTCAGCGATGGCTCTAGTGTACACAAGACTCTTTTGCCACCTATCTATCTCCAGCGACCTGGTCATTCGATCACTATCGTCGGTTTCGAACGTCGCAGTGACAGCTATTGCAACCTCGTAGTGCTCGATCCTGTCTATGCAACAAGTCCAGCCATGCATAAGTTAATTGGCCGGAAGAACATCAAAAGCGCAAGGCCTGAGGTCATGCATGCCTATCGAAGAGGCCCTGCACATCTCAGGAAGTTTGCTGCATTTGAGATCCTCATGTTAGTGTTGTCGAGTATGTTTCACGTGCCATACTGACCGCAACAGGCTCACCGCGACACCGCCTCTATTCCCCGCTTGGGATGTATGAGCTACCTTCCGTCCCCTTACCCGATCTGCTGCACTCTTCCACCCAGATATCCAGATGCCATATAAATCAAACACTACCTCAACAGCTATCTGAGACGCTGTTTTGTATCTCGCAACGATCCTCGCTGAATTTTTCTGTGTTAGGTACTTCGTCAATTTCCCGATTGCAGCTACGTGTACGCCTTTTTTCGTGCTCGCACGCTTGGCTACGACGTCTATCCAGAGGACTACTTTCTCCGCAACTTTCCATGGCAACAGTATGGCGGTCTCTGGATCGTCAACGAAGCTCGCTTCGCTCGAGCTGAACCGATCAACGCACTTACTGCTCAAGCTCTGCGACGAATCACCGGTGTGGGGGCATCATCCCAATCTAGCGACAGCAGCAGTCCAACTAGCTACTTCACCAACAGCTCGTTTGGACATCACCCTATCACGCCAGCAGACCCACAAAGCAACACTTGGAGCCAATATCCTGCAATCCCGGCGTTTGATGGTTCCGTCAGTGGTATACTCACCGCATCTGAATACGGAAACAATCAACCTGTGTTCAACATGGGCGGTTTGAACGCTGCACTACCCCAAACGGAAATGCTACGACCAAACTTGACCCTGTTGACGGATGTGGGCCGGAGGTATCCTGGTTTTCCGAGCCCACTGTCTCCGACCTTGAGCGCAAAGGAGTTGTATCCGACGCCAACAACAGACTCCGGAAGCAGGGCTGCTACGCCTCGTGTGCATAGCCCTACGGTCCGTTCTGTCAGCCCCATGAGCATTGATGGCTCCAACATGTGCGGCCCTTCGGCACGTTGCATATCTCACAGTTACGAGCATTTCGCTGGCCAGATGGGCAACATCGACAGCATCCTCGCTCGGAGCAACAGCAGATGCCAGATTCGATCACCTTCGCGTGCTCCGTCGACATCTTCTCTCAGACCTACAAGCCCCACAAGCCCGCAGCGAGCCTTGTCGCCTCGCGCAAGCATGCTCCGAAGTATGGCTACCAAGCAGGCTCTACGTGACATGCACGGTCCCGTTGACGCTCCCGGTCTTGGGCTGCAGTTCTCACCCAATGCTCGCAACATGCGTCGTGACAGTGTTCTCAGTTACAATAGTCCCGCTTCGACCTTCTGCTCACAGTCTGTGCGCTCTTTATCCCCACGACCTGTTCAACCTCAAGCTGCACCGCCAGTACTTCCATCTATACAGATCGCCAACGGTACAGAGGTCGAGACCGGATCGCCCATCTCTCCTACCGGTACTATGCTCTCATACACGTCCAACCGCGCAGTCGATTCCGGACTCTTGGCTGTCCCAGCTCTCAGCGAGCCCCAGGTGGCGGAGTATCGCTTTTGGGTCCCTTGTGGACGACGTGTCTGCGCGTTTGGGTGTGGAGGTGCGCATGAGGGCGAGAACACTGCGGCGAAGAAGCTGTTCAGAGAGGAAGAGAGTGTTGTGGAGCAGCAGGTTGTGAACGAGGGATATGGGTATGGGGGCGAGGAGGACTCTTTTGAGGAGGTGCGGTCGGACGTGTCTAAGCAGGAGACGTGGTGCAACTGCGGCAACGTGTGCTTCACTAAGCCGGTTGATGAGTGGAGGAAGTTTTTGAGGAATAAGGAGAGGGATGTGAGTGTTGCGAGGGTTTGAGTTGCGGTGATGGGAGGGAACGGGTTGCGACGCTATCACGACGTTACGACGCTGACGATCATCGCTCATAGAAGGCGCGTTTTGGGCACTTGGCGTTAGATTGGGTATTGGCTTTTGAGAACATACATACCATCATTACTTCACTTTTTACGACAAGAGAATGTTCAAGTCAGAAAGGGTATCAATTTTCGTGACGCCTGACCATGCAAGGGTTTCCACACCAATATGCTACAACTTCTCGATGACACGAATCTAATCACTGTCATCGTCACTGCCATACCCAGCTAGCAGCGGCCCTGACGGCGCTGGTCGCTTGTTGGATGCAGTCGCTGTATACCCCTTTAACGCTGCGAGCGTCGAGCCGGACAATATACCGTTCCCGCCAGTCTGTGCATTCTGCTGCGGCACAAGTGCAGCATACTCCTCTTCCTCCTCTCCACCAGCCTCGATCATCTTCCTGTTCTCCATGCCGCCCGACTCCAGCTCTCTAGCCTGTTCCCATTCTCCCTTCTCCTTTGCGTACCACACATCGTCCGGTGCTTCGTATCCCTGCAATCCGAAACTACCCTCCACTTTCCGCCGCTTCTTCTGCTCTGGATCGCGGCCCTCGATCTCGGCGACGTAGGCTGCGGGTAGAGCTTTACGGATTGCTTCAGCGGCTTGTTCTTCGATTCTATGTGCTTCTCGTTTCGCAGCTGCAGGGTTCGGGTCGACGGTCGCCCATCTCACATTCAAGATCTCATTGTGATCCAGGCTCTGATGCGCCATAGCTTCCTTTGCAAACTGACTATTCGCTTCATTCATGTACGTCACGAACGCCACGCCCCTCGCCGTCAAGACACGCGTGCGCTCTACCTGCCCCCATTCCTGAAAGTGCCGCGCAACAATCTCTTCGATGTCATCGGTTACGTGGATCCGCCCGATGTACAGCGTGCGGTTCTGTCGCTGAAAGGAGCCCACGCCGCCCATGTCGTCGCGGTAGTCGCTGTGCTTGTCGCGCCCAAAACAATCAATGTTGCTCGGAAAGATGTCTGTGACCGTCGGCAGGCGGTGCAGGTATTCGCAGTCGACGCCCTTGGGGCATATCCCGCGTGCGAAGAAGAGACAGAAGTAGGCGCCCGGTGTCTTGTCGGCTTTTGTGTACCCGCTGTCTTTGGCGACGTTGCAACGCCCCTGTGCGGCGGTTTTGGACAGGTATTTGTCTTCCCGGTCGCCGCCTGACCATTTGTTGTACCAGATGTTGAAGATTGTGCCCGTGGGTGGTGGCGCGTCGGTTTTGAATGTTGCTGGGTCGACTTGGGGGCGTGCTGGGCGTCGTTTGCGGCGGATTATCTTTTTGACTTTTTTGCCTTCGGCGTTGGTAGTGATTATTGTCTGTTCGGTCGTCATGGGCGCGAGTTCTGTCGATGTGGAGGGTTCGAGAGACGTTTGGGGGTTTGTAGGTGCAGACACTGTCTGTGCAGGTGGCGATTGTACTTCGGCCATGGTGTGTGGTGTTGTGGGTGTGAGGGCAGTGTGAGGAAGTTGAGGTTGGTGATGCAGTTGCGCTCGACCTCCAACTTCCTTAGCGCGAATGGGCTTGCAGGGGCCTGGCAGGCAGATCCCACGTGATTTGGTGCAGTTTGTAAATGCTTCCAACAGCCCATACGTTCACGACGCTATCAATAGTTCCGCGCACCTGCACTTCCCATAGGACAATATGAGAGAAGTATGCATGTTCATCCAATAGCAAAGAGCCAAGGACCAAGCCACCAGTTGAAGATAGGATCCGCGACGAATGGGAGGCACCATGACAAGATCCGCCCCTCTCCACATGCATCTACTCGGGCGCTTCGCTACAGTCTTACAACAAGCTATGGGTATAACGCGTCGGACTACCTGTAGGAGTCGAGTTCAGCTCCTCAGCCTCGACATAGCCCCCCCCCCCTCCCCAATATTTGTGACATTTCTCCCCAGCTTGCGGGCTATCGATATCTCGACATGCCATTGTTCTTCGGCAGCCGTGCAAACAACGGATCATCCAAATATGCTGCTATAGATAGCGAGACTACACTTGCAAATGACAGCATCGATGGTCCCAAAACGCTTAACGCTCTGCGCGACGACCGTAACATCAGTGAGCAAGATCCCAACAGTACAGACAAGGGTCCAGCAGTCAACTACCGCGTCGTCGAAACAAGCCATACATCGAGCGAGAAGAGGATGGGTAGCCATGTCGCTCCGACAATACCGGGCTGGCCGCAAGGGCCGCAACAACTGAAGGGCTTCACATGGACCTTTCTTATAGGCGATACGCTCCTCCTGCTGTTACCACTCGCATTCCTGGGTATTCTCACAGTATACATGGTTCATCGTGGACCACTCTGCTAATCAACTTCAGTACTAGGAGTTACTGCTTGGCGGCTGGACGGCAAAGAGCTGTCTGACACTGGGAAAATGGTCGAGCGCGCCATGAACCTCGGACCCACTATCTATCCCCTGGCGTTTGCTGCAATCGGCGGCCGCTGTCTGAGAAGCGTTGCAATTCGCCTTGCTGAGACAGGGACAACCATATCGGTACGGCCCTATTTCCTGAAGTTGAGCTTACATCGACGCTGACTACCACAGACTCTTGAAAAGTTGCTAGGTAGTCAGAGCCTAGTCTCCGCTATTGGGACTGCGTTCACCCTTCGATCTGCCAACCTTGTCTCAATAGCGCTCCTCTTGCTCTGGGCTCTCTCGCCCCTAGGTGGCCAAAGCTCTCTTCGCCTACTACACGAGACGAACTCCACAAGGACAGACGTGGACCTGATATACTACGCAGATCATGCGGCTCCTATGGATCTTGAAGGGAGCGGGTATGGGCTCTCGACCGCACCAACGGTACTTGGGGCAAGTCTTGCTGTGTCAGCAGAAGTCAAGAACAGACCTGCAGACTTATGGAGCCACCCCAAAATACCCCGGCTGAGCGAACTTGAGAAGAACGCTTTGACAAACCCAGACGCCGAGGGAGCATGGATGGAAGTCGACACCACTTCGGATCGGATATACTCTTCCTGGACCGGCATCAACGTTCAAGGTCTGTTGCCAAACAAACAGGCTACTTTTCAAGTTAAAAGTAACTACATGTTCCTCGACTGTCGGAAAGGCTATGGCGATACCTTCGACAGAGTTGTGAAGTATCTGAATTCATCGAAGATCATAATCAATCCAAGGCTGGGCCCTGAGATCAATACAACGAGCCAAATTGTCAACAACGGCACGGGGTTCGAGGAAAGCGGCCCAAGCGTTGATTTTCAAGCCACCCTTGAGACTGGGACTTTATACGGAATCGGACAGTACGGTACCGATCAGAGATCCAGTTTCTTCCTCCGAGCTGCCTGGGAACCCAGCGACCTCAGTAAGGACAGCAATGCAACTTTCAAGAGCAGCTTTCGCATGGATAAACCATTCGACTTCTTATATGGCGCCTCTTACAACAATTGGACGTTATTCCAGTTACACGCATGTACACCACACATCGTCACCGTGGAGGCCCAAGTAGAATGTCAAGCTAGGGATTGTCAGGTCATTCGAGTCCGCCATACCCCCAACGATGCTAATAGAGATTGCTTCAATGAGCGTGATCATGTCATAGGCTGTCTCACCAGAGGTACTCGTACTTTGCGCAATTTTCTACGATACTTTCCAACAGCAACGTATGCGCGGCATGCCTCCGGCTCAGTCAATGGCTCAGTCAATCCCTTCGACGATTTCATTGTTGGAAGCAAGCTGCCTTACGGGAATTACACTGGGATCAACAGCCGGAATCTGAGCCAAATATCAGACAAGACGATCTCCGACGGCCTGACTACAGTACTAAACACATATTGGCAAGCTGTAGCCTGGGGCGCACAGGTCACGAACGCGGCGTTGTTTGATAAACCGGCTTCGACTGCACCCGAAGGTTACATCAAAACTACCGAGGCTGTGTTTTCACATCTGGTTCCAGTGTATAAAGCTAATATCCGTTGGATCGTATCACTACTTCTTATCACGACCGTCCTACTCTTTCTTAGCATCGTCAACGTAGTTATGTCCTTCATAACTATTGCTCCAGACCTGTTCTATCACGCTTCGTCACTAGTACGCGAGAACCCATATACAAACACACCAGATGGCGGCACAGCGCTTGATGGTGCAGAGCGAAGTCGATTGCTGAAGGAAATAAGAGTTCAGGTTGCCGATGTGAGCCCACATAACAAGATCGGATATGTGATGGTGAAGAGCTTAGGCGATGACGAGGACTTTCAGGACGGACGACTCAGGAAAGGACGACTGTATTGGTAAGCATGATCTGTGACCGCTTCCGCGGACGCAATGAATCGGTGAAGGACAATAGCACAGCATTTACCGACCATGCACACTACATGTAGCAGCCACTGTGCGTCCGGTCTATGCAAGCCGTGCAACCCCGAATGCAGCCGTGCATTATGAGACATTCTGATAGGACAAGCCCAATCTGCCCACCAGGTACTACTGCAGTCTCCCCTCGTCGAACCGTACAACCACCTTTGATCAAAAGCAGCGGCCGAACACCACCATTATGCTTACGCATCTGGTGCCCATTTCCTTCAGCGACAGCCAAGATTCAACTCACGCACTTCTGAACTCTTGCAATATCGATCGCTCGACCTTAACACACTAGCATGGGGCCCAACTTCACAGCTTGCGGTATCCGCTACATGTCTGACCCCAGTCTGATCTCACAGTACAACTACAGTGGCCGCGTCCGCCTCATCGCCGCGAACCAGACCACACAGATTACTTACAAGGGGTGCGTAGCACTTTGCGGGAAAGGCAATGAACACTTTACATGGCCGGTGATCTCCGCAACATTGACGACATGGATATTACCAATCTTGGGCACATTGCTACAGGCACCTTTCGAGAGCAACGCTTTCTGGAGGACAGTGAAGGCATGCAACAGATGGATTGGAAGCCCACTTAGTAGTCTTGCGGCAATACTGTGGGATATAAGGATCAGTGGGAAATGTGCGCTTTTTGGTAAGTGGAACTAAATCGTATACAGGTATAGGAAGAAAGCCATTGACGGTAGCAACAGTGGACATGGCAGTTCCCTACAACGATACTCCAGACCAGTACAGCGAGTTCGCAAGCATGCGCGACTCATTTTACATCCTGATGAACCTGAATCAGTACAAGATGAAGCCAGTCATCTCGATGACTCGGGAAGCGGAAGGTCTACTGCGCATCGCACTCTTTAGTAAAGAACTCAAGCTTATAGGCACACACAAGACGCTTAGCCAGAAGCGACTGAAGCTAGCCCACGACCTACGGAGCAACAGACGTAAAGGCGTTGTGCCAATCTTTCTTTCCACGTTGTGGTTCATACTTGCCTTAGGGATCTCAGTTGAAGCAGGTTCGTGCCTCGTCATTGCTTTCGGCCTCTCACACTAAGCACCTTCCAGCTTTTGGTGATCTCGGCAGTAACCTCCAAGCACACAACCTCGCAATGGGCCTTTTCGTGTCTTGGCTACCGATCCTCATTCTCTGCTCTATCCTTGACCGCAACCCAGTTGCATCAGACGACATCCAACGCAAGCTCAACAAGCTGGTCGACTTGGTGTGCGCCTCAATTAACGACACCGACACCAGACATGCGTATATAGCATCCTTCCAGGACCTGCCTCAATCGCAGCAGATGGCATATTGGGTTGAGAAGATAGCTACTAAGGCTGATTATATCAAGGGTAACTACTTTCGTGGTTTTGCTGGTCAAGCTCGAACCAGGTTCCATTACGGTGCTGCTTATGCTATCCTCATCGATATCGAGAAAGCGTACATCGCTGAACGGGGAAGGAACTGGCTTAGTGACGCACGAGAAGCAAGAGCCGCACTAGTTCTGGGTCAACTTGATCATGGTTTCACTTGGTTGTACGTATGATGTAACCCCACTTGACGGCCACTCTGACAACTCTCCAGCGATGGTCGCCAGCTGTGGACCGTACTTGCTTCCATCCTTCTTGTGGGCGGTACCAGCGTCGGCGCATTCGTCCTATCCTTCAACACACCTACAGTTGGTTTGGGCTGTCGCACAGGTGGCTACCTCATCTTCTTTGTTATTGCGCTCGTTTTAATCATTGCTGAGATCTTGGTATGGTGGCTCACATCGCCACTGCGGAAGCAAGATCAGTTCCATTTGCATCTCGAAGAATACACTCGACACACCAGGTCTCGCAGAAAGACGGTATTCGCAGTGCTTCCTGGATTAGCTGCATCCAAGACGGTATTAGCACGACTCCTCAATTTCATCGAGAACGTGGTGCTTCATATCGCCTCACTGCCGATCCGTATAGTACCATCGAAGCACAGAGTGCAAAGACGAGAAGCAACAAAAGCTGCGATCCGTACGTACTTTTTGACTCTGCGAGGTTTGACCACTCGCAACTGGCTTCAACGTGCTTTTTTCACACCTTTGGAATTTGCGAATCTGGTCTGGGCATGTTATCTTCTTACCGCGCAGACAATCGGTGCATTTAACAATTGTGCTTGCATGACCTCAACTTGGGGCGGATTTGGCGGTTATTTGGACTTCACGCAGATCAACGTAGCCAACAGTGCGGCTGTGAAGGAGTACTGGATTATTGGTACAATAACTACCTACGTGGTGATGGGCCTGGGTATGGGTTACATTGTTCTCGAGGTACTGCTCCTACTTCACCATACGATCAAGTATGTGCCAGCGCTGACGGTACGTTGCAGTGGCTCTTGCAAGCACACCTCAGCACCGAAGATTACAGCGACGCCATGAATGGGCTTCGACGCGTCAGGGGATTCCGCCATGCAACACTCTGGATCAAGTATCCACTTGATTTTTTCGTCCAGCTCTTCACCAACACGCTAAACGCATTCCAAGTTCGCGGAATCCGAGATCGTCGGAGGATCATATGGACGAGAGCCATGACCTTCAGACCGAGTGTTGGGCAAGCAATGGTACGACTTGCAACCGATGCGCAGCATTTACCTTTCCAGGAAGCCCGCTCGCAAGAATCCGCAGTCAGCGATGGGGTTGCATGAAGACGTCGTGAAGTGCCCATTCACAGCTCAGAGTTGGCTCAGTGAAGCAGCGGAAGCATCACCTACCCTGAACCCAATCCTCAACAGGTCCTCATCTTCTACCTGCCCTCTCTTCTCCAGCAAGTCGTCGACATTCCAAGTGGCGCTGATGGGCCTACCATTCAACCACATTCTCTTCTCACGACTCAGCCATACACAGAATGTACCGCATAGGCCAGCATCGTCAGTGAGATCTATATCTGTCAGCAAACACGCTCCAAAATCAACATAGGTGGACGTACAAGGCATCATACTCTCTGCCCCGCCATCTCCGTCAACACAGCCCCTGGATGCACCGCAATCGCCAACACTCCTTCTTTGCCACACTACTCGGCGACATACTCCATTAGCCTCGCTTGCGCAAGCTTCGATACGCAGTACGCCGTATTCGCGATGTGCCCTGAGGTGATCAGGGCAGCAAAAGAGTTCACGGCGATGAACGTTTTCGTACCATCGCTCTTCCTCAGCAAAGGTATGAAGTGGTGCCCAACAAGGTATGTTCCTTGTACATCGAAGTCAAAAATGTCTTTGGAGTCTTGCAGATCGCCTTAGTCGATCTTGAGGACCACAGGGCGGAATACCCAGAGTTCAGGATTACGATGTCGATTTTACCAAGTGTCTCTTTTACCTCCTGCGCAAGTCGCTACCCTTGAGGGAGAGGTTATGTTGACTGGTACATAAGATATTGGGACTGAAGGGTTGAGGCAACTGGCTTGCTGTACGACAGCGTATAGCTCCTTCGATGAGGATGCGCGTGCGGCTAGAATGAGCTTTGCGGTGCCTGCTCTGGCGTATGCATAGGCGATGCTGGCTCCTATACCGCGAGATGCATCGATTATCAGGACATTGAGAGGAGCTTTGAGTTTGTAGGTGGACGGGTCGAGTGCTGGGGTGGGATGGCTGTGGGTTATTTGTATGAAGCAGTCGGCTAATAAGACGTCTTTCTTTCGATTGGACATGATAGTATAATGTGAATCTTCTCGATAAAGTATAATTGCGCACAGCTACATATACTTGTACTTTTTATTGTCATGTCCGTTACTCGAGGTTGGACCCCCCTCTCTCTGGTATACCGGATTAGGAAGGTCTATTGATCGTTCAGAATGTGTCGTTTTAACTATCTTGCTTTCGCAGAATGTCGACATAGCCCCAACAGTAGTGTCCGAAAGCCTAATTTCAACATCGTGATGTACCTAGACGTTGTGTAAGGCTGTTGGCGCACGGATGTATATAACACGCATAACTCTCAAGAATCATTCAGTCGCATTATCATTACTTGCAAGCTATGCATCATCTCCGAAACCGGACTATGCCTAACCTAAACTCCAAGACTATGCAAAAAATCCTCGTTCAACTCTCGTTGGCAATCCATCCTCACGTTATTTCCATCTATTTCGCAGCAAACCTGCTCCTAGCCCTCAACTTCTCGCCGTAGAAGTACAACACATACACACCCACACTACATCCCACCGTCAATCCTGCCAGCAGCGTGATTCCCTTGTCCACACCGAGGTTGTGAAACATGGGGTAGCTGAAGTGTATGCTGCCCGCTGCCAGAGCCGAGCGCGTGAAGTCGTTGCCGGCGAACAGACTCGCAGCATACTGCGGGTACGACAACGGGAGGTAGAGGAATATACACTGGATAATAAGGAAGATACCGATAGTCGTGATCACAATACCGATACAAGACACGATCCAATGGACATCTTCGCGCGCCGTCCAGCCGAAAATAAACAGCCCGACAGGCACGAAAAACGTCACCACCAGCGCGGGAATGAGACGCCGTTCCGGCGCACCGAGACCATGGGCCAGGATGCTAGGGTTCACAAAGTGGTAGATGTAGAACCAGTACCAAGCGATCGACAGGATGACGCCGATTGTGACGGACAGGAATGTGAGGCCCATCTCGCCGAGATTGAAATGGTACACATCGATGTACACGAGCGGGAAGGCTTCGAAAAACGAGTAAAATATCCCGTAGATGATGGCTGTATACACGGCGGTGAATGCGATGCTGGGATCCAAGAGCATTAACTCAAATGGGCGCCACAGCGCTTCGGTCGCGATTGCGCGAGGCGTGAGATTCGCCTGGTCGATCTCGCTCTGCGCTCTGAGGTGAAGGTTGCCAGTCAGTTTTCGCAGGCGCTGGGCGCGCCGGAGGAGGATCGTAGAGGAGGAGGTTTCGGGTAGGAGGAAGAAGAGCGAGAGGAAGATGGGGCCGTTGAGCCAGAGTATTTCCCAGAGCGACCAGCGCCAATTCTTGGCTGTGACGCTGAAGCCGCTGATTATGGGGCCCAGCGCGGGTCCGCATGTGGCGGCGAAGGCCCAGAGGGAGAGAACGTAGGGCAGTTGCAGCAGCGAGTAGATGTCCTGGAGTGTCGCGCCGCCGGTCGCGAGACACGGTGAGCCGAAGAAGCCTTGCAGGAAGCGGAGCGCGATGAGTGTGTTGAAGTCCTCCGCGAGTGCGGTTGGGACGAGTAGGACGACGAAGATCGCATACGAAATGATGTATGGTGGATTACGGCCGATGATGGGGATCTCGCTCAACGGAGAGAAGAGTAGCGGACCGATGCCGTAGGCCAGCACATATATCGACAGACCGAGCGAAGCGGCTCCGATCTCGACACCGAAACGCTCCATCACGCCCGGTATGCTGGGAGAGTAGATAGCTGAGCCCATGTAGACGCCCATGGTGTACATGAGGATCTGGAGGAGCACCACCAACTTCTTGCCGAACAGCCAGTTTTGCGGATTCTCTGGATCGTCTGTTGTGTACCAGTCGACGAGGATTGTACCATCATCCCTTGTCTCGGGAGCTATTGGGCGACTGGGTCCGCGTTCGACTGATGCTAAGCTGAACTGCTGCTCAAGATCGGCGCGCGAGATGGACTTCGAAAGTGCTGTTCGTGTGCCAACACGGGAAATTTGCGTGCGCACTGTGCGCTCTGTGCGTATCGTCTGGAGCTTCTCAAGGTCTGATATGTTCTCATCCTCGCTGTGCGTGTCGACCTTCTCGAGCACAGTCTCTGGATCGGGATAAACGACTTCTTCCACAGCGGGGCCTTCAGACTCGGTGATGGATTCGGGCTTTGTGTTGCTGTCGAATTGTTTTGCTTCTAGCTTTGTATGTCGCGTGTATGCAGCCGGAATCTGGAAGTCCGATCGCTCTTCTGGGTATTGAAACACGTGGTTGTTGGTGATGTATCGGACTATTTGCCCGAAGGGAGCGTCTCGAACGAGAGCAGACATCTTGTTTGATAGGCAATCGCGATGCAGACAATCAAATTTCTTGGGTTTGATATGTCTAGCTTGGAAGGTGTCGAACCGTTAGCAACGGAGGGGTGCAACTGCAGATCGTCTGGATGGTGAATGTAAAGCTGATAATGAGCACTCTCCCAAGGACATCAAGCCATATTTATCCCTTCCCCCACTTCTCACCTTACAAACTGCTGGGCAAAGCTCTGCGGAGGTTACTGAACACTTCATCGCGCTTACCCCCAACAGCGACTCATCGGTCAGCAAGCATCTCACAAAGCAGCTGCGGAGTTACAAAGCAGGTGCAAACCCCAACGGCAAGGCTGAAACAAGCGGACACTATTGGTCAATCAATTTGAACTATGTTTCGAAACTTTGTAATAGCAGAGTCAACCAATCGAGCACGCAAGGTTATAGAACCGGAGAGAAAGAGTGGTCGTTGAGGTTGCTCAGTAAGCTGCGTGAGTAATCCCAATGCTCGCTCCGATTGCCAATCAGCACTTTGGACACAAGGGTCAATCTGCATGACCCTCCTTTGTCGTTTTGCTATTGGGAGTTAGCGTCACCCTTGAACCGGTATGGTCGAAGACTTGCTTTTAAATCCATGTCGCAACTCCGTGCTACGTCATCACAGTTGCTTATCTACGAACATCGGATCTTGGAGCTGCTATTTCGTCCGTAGGTGCGTTTTCGACTCACCGCAGCCAACCCGGACTGACCTGCTACCAAAACTCATTCTGGAGCAGGCATGATCGAAATCAACATGATCGCGCAGACCTCACGAGTATCATTTAGCCTGGCGTATTGTGTCTATTCATTACAACCTCCACTTGATACTTTTGTACAGATATAATCGTTCACTGAGCTGATTCTTGCCGCACTTTGCTCAAGGTATCTCGAAGAAGTGTCAAGTTGAGTCCATGCCAAATACTGCCCAATATTATGCATTCCATCGCAATGTTCGGGGTATCGTGATGCCAAAACTCCACGCAATGCAGTACTCCTCCCAGTTCCAACAGATAAAGAAACGATGTGGATCTAGATGTTGATGTCGAAGGTGATGGTCTTGATGTAAAGGTGATGTTGATGCTGGTGTATGTCTATCGTCTGCGCTTCATGTCGCCATGCGGCTGGTCCGCAGGATCACGAACCCGCTTTCGTCCATCGTCTCCGGCGCTGCCACCTCCGCCTCTGCTGCGTCGGTCGCGTTCTTCCCGTCCTGATCCTGACGGCCGACCCTCGTCGCGAGAGCTGCGGTAAGGCTTGCTTTCGCGGGGTTCACGCGGTTCGCCCCTTTCACGTGGTTCACGAGGCTCACGGCCAGATCGTTCTCCTCCCCCTTCGCGACTTGAACGTTCGCCTTCTCGTTCACCATGTCGTCTGCTGCTCTCCCTGTCGCTCCCTCTCTTTTCGCGACGCTCGCGGTCAGATCCTCGCTCTTGCTCCTGACCTGGCTCGCCTCGTTGACTCGCGCCATTTCGACTGCTTCGGTCCTCTGATCGCTTCTCGTGATCCCGTTCGCGTCCCGAACGCTCCTCACGTCTACCTTCACCGCGGCGACTGCGCGACTCCGATCGCTCATCCTGGTGTTCACCACTCATCTGGCTTGGTAGACCTTGCCTATCGCTCCTAGAGTGCTGGCCCTCGGTACGAGAACCGGGTGTCGCTGCGTGTTGCGGTGGCGGCATAGGACTATTCATACCGCCCTGTCCGTCACCAGGTCCATTGGCGCGATTGGCGCCCCGACCACGCACTGTAACAGGAGTATTCTGACCATGAACAGGTGCATTCCGTTCTGTTGGTGAGGGTGCGTTCTGATTCAACACGTTGTTGATAGCTCGCAGCGGGTTCGAGTTGCGTGGTCCTCGGTCATTGTTGAATGCAGGCCCTGTCGGTGGCCCTCTGCCACTTGGTGAAGGTAATGGTCCTTGGGGTGTCCTGCCCCCACGGGGTCCACTCGGCGCACTGGACATATCTGTCTGGATAGGCGGTGCGTTCGGTCTGCTACCGCCAAAGTTTGCTTGCAATCGACTAGGATGTATACCCGTGGGGGTCGAGTTCGCCGCTGCTGGACCTGAAGGCGCACTTGATGGTGCTGGTTGAGAAGGCGTCTCGTGGCGATCGCCTGCATGTGTCAGTAGAAGCCAACGAATTTTGGGCATGAACACTTACTACGCGGCCCAGAAGGAGCTGGCTCGGAAGGCGCGTTAAGCCTACCGTAGTTGGGGTCCTGTGCTTGACTATTCGATTGACGTGAAGACTGCGAAGGCTGGAACATCTCGCGAGAACCGCGTGAGGAGCTTGGGTTCTCAGGTCGCGCAGGCTCGTTTCGTGGACCGCGAGGACCTGTAGGCATACTGTTGACGCTCATCTCCTCTCGACGCTCACGATTGGAAGGTGGCCCTTGCGGAGGCATACGCTCTTCCCTGTGATCGCGAGGCGCCTCACTGCGACCGTGTTGAGGTAGCGGGCCACGTTCTTCACCGCGACGGTCATCTCCTCGCGGTTCGTTACCTCGTCTGTCCTCTCCCCTTCTTGGTGATTGCGGACGTGATCCTCTCTCGCGGCGGCTGTCACGATCGGATCGAGGTGACTCGTGCCGCGGAGGTCCAGGTTCGTTGATGAGAGCTGCGCGCGCCGGGTTGACTGCAGGGTCAATTAAAGCAGCACGAGCTGGGTTGATCGCCGGCCCATCGGTGGCCGTCGACAGATTGGCAGGCGGTGGTCGCGAGGGTGCAGCGTCTGTCCTATCTGGCCCTTGGTGCCTTGATGGCGTCAAGTCGCGTTGATGTGAATTGTACTCTTGTGACATACTCGAGCTCGAAGGTGCCCTTCTAGGCTCCACAGCAGGTGGTATAGGGTGCCCTCGATGGTCGAGTCGCTCACGGTGATCTCTGGCATCCCTAGTATCTCTAGGATCTCTGGGCTCCCTAGGCTCCCACTGAGGAGGTCCACGAATGGGCGGTCCCCTCGCGTCTCTTGGAGGCGCTCGCATAGACCGGTCGTCATATTCCCTAGGATCTCCTCTGCCATAGTCACGGCGGTCCATAGGACCAGACCCTCTCTCTGGGGTTCTGCCACCAGGAACGGGACGGTCACGGGGGTCGATGGGACGCTCAAGTCGCCCATAGTCGCTGGGAGGCGGTCGACTGTCGTGTCGACTATGAGGGGGACCGTAGTCGGATTGACGGTCGGAGGGCCGAGACCTTGGAGGTTGTGAGTCTGGCCTGATGGGCAAGGCATGAGAGGGCCTGCCCATGGGTGGACCCTGACTCGGCGTAGATCTGTTGTCAGGTCGAGGAGGTACGGATGAGGCATGACCAGATGGAGCAGGTGTACCCCGAGCGGGGGTGTTGCCGCCTCGCTCTTGCTGCGATGGTGTTGAGTCCCTGGCACCAGACTCCCTTGTACTTGCCTTTGAAGATTCGCGGTCGTTCGAATGGACTGCCGGAGTGGCAGGTGTTGACCCGCGCTTCTGTACATTATCGTCGGCACGCTCTGTTGGTTTCGGTGTCCCATTGCTGTGTTGGGTATGAGCGATTGATGGTTTGTATCGATGGGCTGACTTACGATTCGTTTCTGGACTTGAACACAGGTGCATTGGCATTGAGTTTCGTCGCAGGAGCGTCTTTTGGTTGCGGTGTCTGAGAGCCAGTTTTGCTGGCTCCGTTGGTGACCTCCGTTGGTGCGGGGATCTTCGATTCATCAGTATGCGAGAATTGTCGGTTATTGCTGTCGCGACTCACATTGCGGTACTGCCACTCGGTGCGCCAATGTAATTTGCCTTGCTTGAAGATCCTGAATGTAGATTGCGCAGATATCTTGAGATCATCTCTCTCGTCGTTCTCTGCAATGTGCTCCAGCGGTGCTTGCAGCTCGTCGCGCATGGTGTCGACCTTGGGAAAGCTTGAAGAGATCGCATTCAATATACTGATTGCATTGCGGATCTCCGAAAACTTTCCACTTTCGATGCAAGCCTTGAGTGCAGTAAACAGAGCCTTGTGCCATTTGAAGGAGACTTGGCAGAAGTCATTGTAGTCGAGATGCGTCTCGGGGTTGCGGTCCGCGTCAAACTTCCTACCAAATCCGGGCAATTTTCTATCTATACCGCATGCAAACTTGGCGTAGGCATCGTTCTTATTCTCATGCCACTTTTGAAGCTCTCGAAGAACGTCGTTGAGGAAACGGCCGAAGTTTTTCGACTCCTCCTCCGAGTACATGCCAATGATACACCTCAGCTTGTTGGCGGAGAAGAGTAGGTCAAGCAACTTGATCGTGCGAAACCCGGGTACTCCAGAGCTATGCATAAAATGCAGCATAGCAGAGGTGTATTGTGCATCGTGGAGAGACATGCGGCTGCGCGGAATGAAACAGTCCTGTAGCAGAGCCAAGTGAACAGCATCAGACTGCGGGCCCACCATGGGCACGTCCGCGAACCATCTGCTCATCTCGACTCGCAGCTGATCTTGCGTAGCCTGAGCGACCTTGGCAACAGAGTCTCGTTCCTTGTTCAGCTTAGCAATCTCTTCCTTCGCACGTCGCTGTTCCGGCGTATCCTGCTTAGGGATACGGGAGTTGTATCGGCGGTCGGTATGCACAGGGGCTGCTTGTCGTTGGAAGTTCTGAATCATCTCACGATATCGTTCTTTGATGCCATTTTGGTCCACGTCAGGAAGGGAGAGTTGCCAGAATGTGACATAGAAAGACAGACAAAGATGGTCGGCGAAAGATTCGGGCAATACTGCTCGAAGCTGCTCGGCCACCTTCTCGATCTGGGCATTTGTCAGGTCAACGGCAGTATCTTCTGGTGAAGCACCTTCAGGTCCAGTCTTGGCTGCCTCATTCATCTCAACGTCTTTGGTCGTAGTAGCTGCGTCGCCTGCAGCCTGAGAGGAAGTAGCATTGCCGTTGACCGCCGATGTGCTCTCTACTCCTCCCATTGCGACGTCCCCATCGCTTAGCTTATCCTTCTTCTTCGAGGCTTTACTTTGCTGCTCAATCCTGAAAGCATTTGCCTTTACTGCTATGCTTGCACGGCAGATGGTGAAAGCGATAGTTGGATCCACACCATAATCGGAGATCATCTCGATCAATCCTGGAAAGGCGGTATCAAAGTCTTCCTCCGAGATGTAGGCGCGGAGGAACTCGAGGTATTGAAAAAGGTTGGAGTAAAGTTTGTCAGCGTTGAAGAACACTACTTTGTCCGGCGCATCGAGCATATCATCGCGATGGATGAAAGCCTCAACGTGCTGTGCCAGCGCAACAAGGATCTGTGGCGCTAGATTTTTGTCTTTGAGACACTTCGCCAAGCGCTTGGCCGAAGAGACAGCCTGGTGTCGGGTATCCGCGAGGTTGTGTTGTAAAGTGTATGCACGAAGAACCGGTCCTGCACTCAACGACAAGACTGTAGATTCTGAGAGCGAGCCAGTAGGCCCGATACCGCCCATCCACTTGATCATCTGCCCAAGGACGTCGAGCATGTACAACTCACCCGAGGATTGCAGAAGCTGATGTGTAGTGTATTGCAGGACTGGCGTCGGATCCAGCAGGGCGTACCTCTGATACGCTCTGCCAATGAACAACGACAGGTTGGTGAGCCAACCTTGAGCAAACATGCCGTCGCCCTTTTTCCCTTCCTTGCTAGGGTTCGTGAGGGTGGTGACGAGAGTCCAGGTCAGGACGTCGTATCCAAGAAGAGTAATGTACTTGCTGCACTCTACGAGAGCGTCGATCATGTTTGGATAACCAATGAGTCGCGTGACGATGCTTTTGAAGACAATCCCTGGGTTCGAGTACGAGATCTTGGCAATCTTGCGTCCGGACTCTTTGACGTTTGTGGTAGTGACCTTGTTCAGCTCCTTGCTGGTTGCAGTTTGTATTTTCTTGAACAGCAGTCGAAAGGCAGGTTTGCTTGACCCCTTGACTTGCCACTGGTCGTAGATTGTGAATCTTGTTGCGGTGTCGAATTGCTTGATGAGCTCCCAGACTTCGTTCACGACACCAGGGTTTTGGCCAGTGAAGGAAAGCGTCGGGGTAAGGAAGGTCGTCGAGAATTTGATCCAACGCTGTCGATTTGCATCTGATGGGTCATTCGCGAAGTCCTCTCTTGCGATACGCGTAATCTTGGTCAGCAGAACGGTGTCTTGGCCACATTCTGGGCCTACCAGACCAAGGAGAGTGGTACACAGCTTGATGACATCATCGACGTTTTGACAGACGGGTACGTTATCGGCCCAGTCTTCCCAGTAGAATCGATAGTCGACCCCATCGCCTGCGTCCTTTTGATCTGGTTTGGGCCATCGAAGTGTTCGTCGAGGTACAAAGTCGCTTGGGCGAAGAGTGTTTGGAGAAGCGGCGCCTTTAGATACGACTGGGATTTGCTCAAGAGAGATGGGCCTTGCTGATTCGTAAACCTTGCTGAGCGAGTGATGCGCTAAACGAGACGTAAGTTCCAAAAGATCCGGGTAGACTTCCAGCAACCAGGGGTGAAGTCCGAGGATGAAGAAGGCTTCAGGCAAAGCGCCAATGCAAAGCAAGCTTTTAAGAAGTTGATACTTCTGGTCAGCGGGCTCTGGTAATGATGGTTTGGCATCTGTTGCTTCAGTTGATTTTGCGGAGGCTCCACTTTCAGATTCGGATCTTGTGGACTTCTCGGTTTCTCGAAGGCGGCTTACAGCTGGTGGTCCTGGTGCAGCATCGTCCGTCAGCACTGACATTGTCAATGCGTTGTCTTTTCCGCTCTCCTTCTCTTCTTTTTCCCTCTTAGCTTGCATCAGCTTCCGTTGGTGAGCGGACATCTCGTTCTCCGGGGGATACAGATGTGGATACAGATCCAAAATAGAGATGAACCCCACTTTGACCAGAAGTGCAGCCAGATGAATGAGGTTGTCCGGGAGGAAGTCCGATGCGTCGCGGGCATCAGATGCGTAGAATTGCAGCTTGAAGCCAAGCAGCTGGGCGGCAGTATCGTTACCAGAAGGCGGCAATGTCCCGGTTTGCGACATCCAGTCATCTGCCCATTTACGCGCAGCTTGCTGGTCCGAAAGCACAGCACCCTCGGCATGTATCTTCTCGTCTCTCGGCCTGTTGTTTGCTGTGATGCGCCGAGCGCCAAGTTCAAAGAATGCCTCGATGCCTTTGCCTTTTCGCGAAGCTTCGAGCTCTCCCACGCGATCCCAAAACTTGCGGTCTCGGCGTTCGCGTAGCTGCAGTTGTTCGAGCTTCTCTTCGTCTGAGTAGTACCACAAGGGAGATTTCGGTTGGGCCCAGTTTGGAAGTGTCGACACCTCTGGCTCCTCCCACTCAATTCCTTCCAGGCCGCGCTGCTCTGGCCACCATGCGCTTGAGCGGAGCAACTTGACGAAGAACTTCCCATGTTTGACCAGAAGGTTGGCGAAAACGTCGAGTGTTACGTCAAGAACTCTGCCAATGTCCAGATCGAAAGCACCGATGAGTGCATTCACTCGCTGGTATGTCTCGCTGACGACTTCGTGGCTTGGCGGCTCGCTGTTCACCGTGGTGAAGTATTCGGTCATGAGCTTCGAGTAGCCCTCGGTTTCTTCGCGGAGGAGATTGTAGTTCGATTGACGATACAGGGCGTGTGTGGCTTTGCGGACTGCCATCTTGCTGAAGCTAGCTCGGACTAGTTCGAGTGATTTCAGCAGAGGGGCGTCAAGCTCCATGCGCATTCGCTCGACATCGATTTCCGTTGCCATGAGCATATGCCGTACCAGCTTTTGCTTGCCTTCGTCTTCTGTCAAGGAGCTGAGTGTGTCGAGGAAGGTGGACACTGGGTCTATCGACTCATTGGGAGGTGCAGCGACAATGTCTCGTACCAATGATCCCAGCTCACCTGAGCTTAATTGGCGGTCTGTGGAGGCCTCGATGATTTCGTGGAAGACTATGGACAGCGTGAAGACATCACCCTCACGCTGAGCCGCCAACGCAGCCTCGACAACTGCTTGCCGTGCTTCATTGTTCCACTTGGCGACGCGCTGGGGTGTGAGGTACTCGTTGCTCTCTGGCACCTCGCGGGTGGGCGCTGCGGGTATCGAGACAGGTTCTTTGGGCGGCGCTAGAGCAGCAGGTGCGGCCTGAGCTGGCCTGGGCGGCGGTTGAGGTGCGCTCGCTGCGGGAGACCTGACCTGTGGTGAAGCATGCGCGACATTAGGGCTTTGCGGAACACTAGAGCCTCCACGACCTCCTCCGCCTCCCATGCCCCCTCCCCCTCTGCTTTGCCGCCTGTCCCCCCCTCCTCGTCCGCCGCGTGGGCTGTTCTGGTATTGGGTATGCGCAAGCGGTAGGTTCTGCGGTCGATGCGGCGATGGTCGCGGGCCGTCGTCCTGGGAGTAGGTGCGATCACCGCGCTTTCGTTTTGGTCCGGGAGCCATTGTGAAGGTCTCTGGTGGTCGCAAGACCGGCGAAGGAAAAGGTCCAGATTAATATGGGCAGCACATGCGCGGATGCTCGTGAGGCTGGGTGAGCTTTGTTCAGTACGAGGGCGCAAGCGCACGGCTAGTCCGGCAGGGAATGTTAACAGTGGACACGCACGAAACCGCGAAGGGATGGAGCCAGTAACGTGACAAAGAAAAGTCGCGATGCGGTGGGCGGCTGAGTTTGCGGTCTTTGACACGGCTGCCTTTGCGGATGCTCAAGCACTGGACGCTATGACGCTCTGACTAGCGCGGTTAATGCCAAGTCCGCCCCACAGAACGCTCCGTTCATGCGGCTCACAGCAGAAGGCAGGAAACGTGTCTCACATCTTGATTGTTGTCACAGGGTAAACACTAATCACGTCTAGTACAAGTGGGAGAATGTGTTTGGCAGGAAGATAGAGAATCAATTCGACTGCCAGAATCGCGAAACTATCCTAGGTCTCAAAAGTGAAGGAGCGACCAGACCCAACCCAATGTTGACTACTCAGCTGTGCACGCTTAAGCAGCAGCACTGACAGCCTGAGCTGTGGCCTTGCGCTCGTTCTCAAGAACAGCCTCCAGGACACCAACAGCACCCTGGCCAGCCTTCATCTCCTTCAGGACAGTATCAATGCCGAGCTGCTCGTCAGTCCACAGAGGGAGCTCCTCGGCCTTACCAGCCTCGCCAACGCCGATGAAGCCACCCTCAGCAGCCCACTCACTGGTGCGCTTGATGCCCAGCTGCTTCCAGACGGCATCGAAAGCCTCGACCAGATGCTCGCGGTACTCGCGTACGTGACCGGGAGTAGGCGTGACACGGAGACGCTCCTGGCCGACAGGAACGGTGGGGTAGTTGATCGCCTGAACGTAAATGCCCCAATCCTCGAGGAGCAGATCAGATGCCTTCTTCGCAATCTCGGCGTTTCCAACCAAAACGGGCACGATGTGGCTAGGGTTGGGAATAACCGGAATATCGCGAGCGTTCAACTCGTCCTTGACCGCACGGGTGTGCAGCTGCTGGAGGCGCCTGTCACCCGGGTAGTTCGATTGGTACTCGATCGCAGCCTTTGCGCCGGCCATGGTCGCAGGTGGGAGCGAGGTGGTGAAGATGAAGCCAGGCGCAAGGGACCTGATAGTGTCGACAAACTTGGCAGAACCGGCAATGTAGCCGCCAACACAGCCGTAAGCCTTTGCAAGCGTCCCGGTGATTATATCAATGCGGTCCATGATTGTGCCTTGGGGCTTGCCGGCCTTGTGGGCTTCATAATCGAGGTGCTCTGCGACACCGGCACCGTGAGATCCGTACATGCCAACGGCGTGCACCTCATCTAAGAACGTGATTGCGCCGTACTTCTCTGCAAGGTCGCAAATCTCCTCAATGGGGCCGATAGAGCCGCACATGCTGTATACACTCTCGAAAGCAATGATCTTGGGATATTCGGCGGGGATCGAAGCCAGCTTAGCCTCGAGATCAGCGACATCGTTGTGCTTGAAAACCATCCTCTTTGCACCAGAGTGACGGATACCCTGGATCATCGAGGCGTGGTTCAGGCTGTCCGACAGAAAGACGCAGTTGGGCATCTTGCTGCCGAGGGTTGCAAGAGTGGTGTCGTTCGCGACATAGCACGAAGAGAAAACTAGAGCAGCCTCCTTCGAGTGCAGCTTCGCAATGGTGTCTTCCAACCCCACCGCATGCTGGTTGTGACCGGAAATGTTTCTGGTACCTCCAGCGCCAGCTCCGTAGTTGTCCAAGGTCTCGTGCATCGACTTCAGCACGGCCGGGTTACGGCCCATGCCGAGGTAGTCATTCGAGCACCATACGGTGACCTTGTCCTCCAGCGATTCCTTGTGAGCGCGAGGGAATTCCTTGGCCAGTCGGTTGATGTTGTTGAAATAGCGGTATGATTTGTCCTTGTGCTTCTTGTCTAATTCGCTCTGGTAGTACGCCTCGTAATTGAAGTGTGCGGCCTTAGCACCCTGAGCCTTGCCGACATTTGCAGGTCTGTCGGTCGCTAGCTTCTGCGCTGCAGGAGGGAAGGGGATCGAGCCTGCGGTTTACGTCAGCGATTTGCGACTTTGACGTTGGTGTTCGTCGGAATTTCTAGGTAGCAGGGATGACGTATAGAACTCCGACACCTTCCAAGGGTTAATTCGTACCTTGCTGGCCACGAACACGCTCAGTCTCAACGTGAGCCTCCTTGTGCGCAGTCGTATGCAACTTGGCGCGGTTGACACGGGTGTGGTAGGCGCGCACTCCACCGAAAGCACCAGCGAGGGCGCTGTTGCCGGTACGAGCGCTCTGGACGGCAAGTGCCTTTCCCATGATGGGGCAGCGCTTGCCGAGCACCTGGAGGCTCGACATGCTTCCAGCACCGGGGGAGACATCGTGGCTGGCGGCGGTAGTGGAGAGCGAGCGAAGTGTGGCGGGGGACGTCTTATGAAGGAACGGGCACATGGTCCTCGACTGACGGAGAAGGGCCTCCATGATGGTCAATGGTCCGAGAAGGCAAAATTTGGGGATGAACGGGTATGTCAGGTGCGTGGAGGTGTCACTGTGAAAGTGAGAAAGGAAAAGAGGAAAGATGGTTGGAGCGGTGTCAGGATGCGCGAACAAATCATTTCATATGCGGAATTGAGAGACTAAGCGGCCGGCGTCGGCATCAAATGGATGAAACATGATTGGCTCTCTGCCGCTCTAGTATGCCGACACTACCTTCGATCTTGGTTTGATTGCTCTGACGGCTCATGGCTGGCACGATCCGTGTGAGGGGTACCGAAATCTATCTCTCAGCTCGTGGTTGTGCTAAAAACAAAGGTGTTGTCAGCCCTGAAGACGTTGTCCGGCAGGGCTCACCGCTCGAACATCAACATCAGTCTCCATGCACCAACAATCGCTTCGGACAATGCGAACATTGTCGTTGAGCAACTTTAGCTCAATTTTGCCATTATCTGCAACTTGCACCTTCATAACAAACGGGAACAAGGCCCTGTTTGCCAAAGTTCTGGTAGACAACCTCGGAATCTACGCTGCCCGTATTCAAGCTGAACACAGTTATGATCGGCGCAACTCTAGATCAGCTCCAAAGTTGAGGATACATCCCCACAATGCACGCTGACTCAGGCCTAGCCACGGTTGTTGACTTTGCCTTGTGTTTACATTGTCACACCACTTCTCGAAATTTTGCGGCATCTTTTTCAAGCGTCGGCATCTTGCCGATACATGCCGCATAGTTGTAGAATTTATTTGTTGGATTTGTTTCGCAAAGTACTTCAAGTTTCGAAGGCATCTCTGTGACTTGATGAGAGTACTACTAATGACCGGAGGCAGGTACGATGCCAAAAGCGGAAGAACGAGCGCCAGTACCGTCCGTGGTTTGTAGCCTCTCCAGCCAATGACAGTGGTCTTACACCTGCAGGTTGACTTAATTGAGGGGATTGCTCTCATCAAAATGGTAAGTCGTATAATCGATTCGCCATCCCTAGATTTTAGTCGAGCTATCTACGAGTATCAGTCAATGACAATCGTTGGACCTTTCTGCAAGCTTCCAGGTTTGTCGACATTGCTCTTTCGCTGTTTGTGAAGCGGTGGAAGGGGTTCATCGTCGTCAGAAATTTCGATGATTTCTGCCTGTGAGGGCTTTGTTGGATTGCTCAAAGCTTCGAGGCTGAACGTCGTGTTTAGGACCGTGTCGAGGTAGTCGCAAAAAGTCGTGGGGTCTGGCGAGTTCTGTTTTAGGCAACTTGCCAGTTCTTCGAGGCACTCTCCAGATGGTTCTTCCACAAAGTAGTTGCCGCACAGCCACCAGCACAGGAACAATCTCATAAGAGTAACAATCTTTGGTTGGTCTTGTGGTAAGATTCCTGGCATCTTCTTGTCGCCGCGCAGAAGCAGGGCGACGCACATTGGGATCTCTCGAGCCACATTCGCTCTGCCGACTTTCTGCAGTCTCTGCCTGATCATCTCTCTATCTGTCGAGCTCAGCTCATGGATTACTTTGGACACAATTCGTTTTCGATCTTGCGTGTCCTTCAGCTGGGACCAATTCCAACGACTCACTGTGGACATAGACGCATGCTCAGGCGCATCTCCAAGCGGTGCTCGCGAGCGCACAGCAGTGGGCGTAGTCGCTGCTACCGCAGGGCCTGGGGTCTCTATGGTATTGACAACAACGGGATCTGACGATAACAAGTGAGTTTGAATACTCGGTGCTAGCTTGTTGTTGCTTTTTGCAGGCGTTATGGGTGGGTCACTGAGTGGAGTAACGTCATCCTCGGAATCCGACGTATCTGGAGGCGTACCAAGATCCATGAATCCGCCCATTGAACTTGGTGGGATTGTAGAGCCAACTGGTTGTGCAGTTGATGGAGCCGTCCCAATGGAAGTGGCATGATCTTCTTCCCGCGAGTCATCGTCAGTGGCGTCTTTCGGCGGTTCTTTGTATATCAGTGCGAGCCATCCTGCACGTTCGAGTAACTCTACGGTAACCTCGAGGTTTCGACATTTCTGCAACAGTCAGCACGGTTCTATTGACGCAGAAAAGTGCCCCTACCATCTTGACGCCAGCTACTGTGTCACCAGGGTCTCTGAAGATCTCATCGCAGAGTTTGTCGAGGCGTTGCCGGTAGTATTCTGCTTCCATGTCGTACTTTTCAGCAAGCTCTTCCCGCTGTCCAGCGGCCTCTGCCTCTTCCCATAATGCGACTGGATCGTACACAACAGGGACTTCGCCTTTTCCTTTCTCATCCTTGGGCTTCGTTTTGTCTTTTCCAGGCCTCCAAGCTTGGGCATACATCTCAATGCACTCATTGATGATCTCGGTAACTCGGCTTGTCCCAAGCTTGCTAGGTCTATTCATGGGAGCTTCTTGAAGCAAGTCGTCTCCCTCCTCGAGCTCCAACCCTGCCTTTTCCATGGCATCTGGAGAACCGTTGCTCACATCAGAGTAGTATTCTTCTTCTTCCGGTAAATCCTCGACGATGGTGGAATCTTCTGCCTCCTGTTTCGCTGTAGAGCCCCAAGTACCTGACGTAGCTATTGATCCCATATCAAGCGCATGACCTGGTCCTGCACTTTCCCGCTCCAGCTGTCTGGTCCATGGGTCTGGCGCGGAAACGATTGGGGTTATTCTTATTCGTTTGCGGCCATCACGGTCGGGTCCATCAACTCTGCTGTATGGCTGAGTGGAGTACTCGCTGGCGATTTGAGGGGCTTGCACGCCAACAGTTGGAGTCCGCCAGGGCTGATTAACAGGCGGCATGATTTAATAGTTTTGGTGGCAGGAACATAATCAGTGATGAGGCAACACCGTTGGATCTGTGCAAAGATAGAGCACCAAAGTGTAGCGATTCAGACACAGTACGGCCGAGCAGTCAGTCTTAGCAAGTCTCAGTCGCATATGGCCACAAAGTTGGTGGTAACCGTTAGCATCAAGTCAAGCGAGGGCTGGCAAGTAAATGCGGGCGCGTGGTCAGGTGAAATCGCGTTGCGGGGTCGGAATCAACGCGTTCCTCGGACAACAGAAATAGTGTTCATAGACGCAAGCCATTAATTCAACCAGCGCATGTAAACATCACTGCTGGCTTGCCGAGCGATGCAGATGAGGCGCAGGCAGTTGGTCGATGTCGTTGGCGACGGTCGCACTGACGTTGAAGGTCGCGCGAGCTTCGGCAGCGACGATGAGGCAATGCGTCGAATTCGTTAGCGCGGGGAATGTGCATTTGTCAGGTACCATCACAAACTTCCGTCCTCACAGTGGTGCCAGCAACAGCGAAGGAAACGCCTATCAGCAGTCATGGCTTCAACTTCACATGCAGACTATCCTCCCGAACTATCTGCGGAAGAGCAGGATTTCATCTTCACGGAGCTCAAAGACTGGTCGATAGCTCACGGCCTTGCGGTTCGCCCGGCTCCTTCCTTTGTTCAGCAATCTCAGGATCCTTCAGGTGTACTCGCAACAACAGCACCAGTCACAGTCTTTCCCAGCTTGTTCCCACGAAAATGCTTCGAAGATGGCCTTTCGATACAAAAGGCCTACAATGAACTGTACTCCGCCATAGCACGAGACGAGCAATGGCTGCAGGGCATCGTGGAAGAGCTAGTCGACGTTGACGATTTCGTCGCAAAGCTGTGGCAAACTCACTTGGCCGTGAAGAAAGAAGGCTATATCCAGGACATATCGCTTGGTCTTTTCCGTTCGGACTACATGGTTCATGGGGACCCGTCTAAGAGCAACTCATCCCCTGGCTTGAAGCAAGTCGAGTTCAATACCATTGCGTCTTCATTCGGTGGTTTGTCTTCGCAAGTGTCCGCATTGCACAGATACCTCCTCTCTCTTGGTGCATACCCGTCATCAACCTCTTCCATCATTAAGGCCGATGCTCTTAGACAAAGCCAGTCCACATCGCAGCTGGCAAAGGGACTCGCTGCTGGGCACAAGGCGTACGGTGAATCCAAGACTAGGCGTCCCTTGTGTGTCCTGTTTGTCGTGCAAGATCCAGAAAGGAATGTTTTCGACCAGAGACATCTGGAGTACGCATTGCTGGAGCAAAATGGTGTACGATCGTTCCGATTGCCTTTTGGGAAGATCCTGGCACACACCAAGCTTGATGGCGATCGAACTTTGCTATACATTCCACCTCACTCTCCATCAACATCGTACGAGGTCACCACCATCTACTTCCGGGCAGGATACTCACCTGATGACTACGTGAAGGAGGAGGACTGGGAAGCACGGTTACATCTCGAGAAGAGCAGAGCTATCAAGTGTCCAAGTGTGCTGACCCAACTTGCCGGGTGCAAGAAGGTTCAGCAAGTCCTGGCAACACCTCACTCACCGCATCTCAAACGCTTCCTGCCTGACGACGATGTTGCCTCGCGGCTGCTGAAGACCTTTGCTCCCATCTACCCGCTTGACAAGAGCAACGCAGGTGAGGAAGCGAAGAAGCTTGCAATTGATCCATCGTCAGCGGCTCGATACGTCCTGAAACCCCAACGCGAAGGCGGTGGTAACAATATCTACCGTAAGGCAATCCCTCCGTTCCTGCAAGAGCTTCCTGAGACACAATGGCCGGCATACATCCTGATGGAGATGATTGAGCCGCCGCCTCTGAGAAATGCTATCATTCGCAATGGAGTGCTGGAAAGCGGCGGCGTTATATGCGAGCTGGGCGTATATGGAGTGTGTCTCTGGCGAGAGGGCTCTGAAAAAGGGCAAAAGGGCGAGATCTTGGAGAACTTTGAGGCAGGGTACCTTCTCCGCACGAAGGGAGACCAGAGCGAAGAAGGAGGCGTGGCCGCAGGGTTCGGAGCGGTAGACAGCTGCTGCTTGGTTGGGTAAGGACTGAGACTGTTGGCGGTCACAGGGCGGCTCGGTTGCAACTCCGAAGCTGCTGCGCGTTAGGCATTCGCAAAGTCAATATACAAAGTTCAAGGTACACCTTGTCCTGCGGCGGATTGCTGACCAGCCAAATGTTCTCGACTCGGTCTTTCTTTCACCCACTACAGCGTCAGTTAAGTTCTTCTCTGAAAAGCCAATCGAGGCTGCACCGTGCTTCGATGTATGGACGATGACAAACCCGTATCTATCGGTTCGTGGTATGAAAAGGAATGGGTCATTAGTGTACAGCCTCTGCGGAGTGCTACTCCACAGCCATGCGCCACCTGCAGCCAGTGCCTGTGCGCCCCGCGATGTCAAACGCTCCCTGCATTCAACGCCGAGGGCTTCCTTGAAGACCACCCCATCACCACTGTAGCAGACAGACGATTTCAAAGGGGCACATCGTGTGACGTACGGAAATGCTCGCGAGTTGTTCGTTTCTACTTTTTTCATTGATTGCCCGTGCCAATCTACTGGTATCCACTCTCATGAAACCGGAATAGGGAGAACGTGCCATCGAAATCCAATTGGTACGACCATCGCCAAAACGCTGCCAGAGAACTTGACAGCGGCATGCAAGGTGCAGTGAGACAGTGACAGCGAACAAGACGTGGATTCAATCATGTTTACATAGACTGCGAATCCCACAGCAGCAAGTCGAAGGAAGCCAGATGTGCACCAAGTCACCAAGCACACCATCGCGAACGTCTGCCACCGGTTCGTCTGCGGGCGTAAGCAGAGCCAGGATTGGATCCTCGGTCTTCGGAACGAGCAGATCAGTGCGTGCATGCCGCGGCGATCCGTCTGTGCTGGTCAAGTCCTCCTCTTCCGGACGACAAGAAGCAGGATTTGCGATATCGAGTCAGACAGGCAGGGTGCTTTTCTTCTTGACGCAGCAAAGCCATCATATATGCGTGATCGCTGTGGATGTCGAGTCTTACGGTTTTATTGCGAGGGTGTTGAGTGTTATAATTCAGGAGTTATGCTTCCTGGGACTTTTATGCAGCGGGTCGCCTGTCAGCCCTACGCGAAGCAGAAAGTTGCCGTACCTGATTGGCGCAAAGCTAATAATTCGCGTGTCAACTCCAATAACAATGCGACTCCCTCCAGTCTCCCATCTCACGTCCGCGTAATCGTGCATCAGGCAGAGTGATCATGGCGCGTTATACATGGATGCGCTGGCTCAGCGCATGTCACTCAACTTTGTGTTGGAGCACCCCGAAGATAGCCAAGCGGTTCCATTGAGGATGACCGTTGCCACTTTCGCATCGCTGCTCCCTTTTTGTCTCATCGCTACTCGAGTAATTGGATGGCGGCCTTTCCTTTTCCACTATAGCCTCCCTCCCGGCGCTCATCGCGAGAACGTGGACTAGCTGATGGCTGACATTGGGAGGACTGCAATTTCCTAGTAGCCTCCAAGGACTGGTCGATACCACTCCCAGAATGGAGTGATCTCAAAGCAGCGCGCCGTTTGATGCCGCCATGCCGCAAAAGACCTTCACGGTTCATCTCGTTAGACTTCAGCCGGGGCCAAAGCTCTTCGTTTCTGGGCCTTCCGGGCAAAAATTGCTGATCTCTTGTCGAGGGCGTTCTAATGCCTTTATGGCTGCAGGCACCCTTGGTGCCTTCCCACTCTTGCTGCACCTCTTCTGCACCTCAACACCACGTCGACTTGACTGGCTGCGTGTCTGCACCGACTCACTTTCATTCGTTCCTTACCCTGCAGGCTCACTAATACTTGGCTTTGCCTACACTCTTTTACACACTCACTTAGATCGGTCTTCACCTTCTTCCTTCGCTCTTTCTTGTTACGCGCGCGTCACTTCAGCTCAGCACACTTTCAACTTCGAATTCGCGCCTTCTCCGTTCAGATCGCGATTGCCTCCAGGTTCACCTCTAGTATTAATCCGATGGCCATTACTACTCCATACTAACCCACGCCTACTCCACACCTTTGCCATGCGCTCCTACCGCTTCCTCCTCGTGTGCATCGCGTTGATCTTCTGCCTACACTCCGTCACAGCTGTACCTCAATCTGCAGTCCGCCGTCAGGATGACAGCCCTTCAGACCGTTCACAGGCGCCTACCGTCACTTCATCTTCGCGCCCATCGGCTACTGTAACGTCGTCCGATGATGATGCTTTCACTTCAACAACCGAATCCAGACGTGCCTCTTCCACTCCAGCTACCTCAACAAGCTCGGCAGAGACAAGCATGTTCATGCAAGTACCGGTCACTGCGTCGACTGCACCCCAGTCAACGAGCTCAGCAGGTCAGTTACCTAGTGACGGGTACAATACGCAATCGACTAATGATGTGCAGAAGTGAATCCTGAGAACCCTTTGCCCTTCCAACCCAGTTTGACGCCGGCGATGGGTATCAGCGGTGTAATTCTGTTGCTATCAGGCTTGGCTTTCGCTGTCATCGGTATCAAGAACAAGTGGTGAGTCCCATGAATGCCTCTCCACCAACCTCTCTAACATTGAGTAGGGTCTACGTCTTTGGCTCTGCTGCATACTTGACCGCATTAGCTGTCACTGTTCTCATTGTCTACCTCATGAACCCTCCGGTCTCCAATGGTGTTCAAGGTGCCTTCTTCGTCGCCGCTTTCTTTACTGGTGTCATCTTTGGTGCCGTGTCGTTGGTATTCCCAGACATCACTGAAGGCTTCGGATGCCTCCTTGGTGGCTTCTGTCTGAGCATGTGGTTCCTCTGTCTTAAGTCAGGTGGTCTCATCACTTCAGTAACCGGCCGCGCGATCTTCATCGGGTGCATGAGCGCCGGCGGATACTGCCTTTCTTTCAGCCATCACACCCGCAACTACGGTTTGATCGCATCAATTGCGTTTTCAGGTGCGACTGCCACTATACTGGGTATCGATTGCCTCAGCCGTGCAGGCATGAAGGAGTTCTGGCTATATCTATGGGGTAAGTTGCATTCACTGCGATGTATGATCAATCTGACATGTGAAGCGCTCAACGATGATGTATTCCCGCTGAATACCAATACTTACCCTGTCACCAAGAACATAAAGGCAGAACTCGCCGGTATCGTAATTATAGCAGTACTCGGAGTCGTCTCACAATTACGCGTCTGGAAGTTAGTCAAGGAGCATCGCGAGAAGAGTGCAGCTCAGCAGCTCGAGAAACAGCAAGATCAAGAACGGGAAGAGGAGGCGCTCGGTCGTCAAATCGAAGACAGCTTCCAACGAGAGCGCGCACAGTGGGAGGCAGCATATGGCGACAAGAGTGTCCAGGAGTCCAGTGTCGCATCTTCTATCCTGAGTCCAGAACACTCGACCAGCATCCGCGAGAAGGAAGTCCTCGCCACAGACAGCCTGGAGCTTGTGAACATGCAGAAGAGCGGCGTCATGCTCTCACCCAACCCCGATACCCCAGCCGGCACCACGGTTACCGTAAGCGTTCTTAAAGACGATATCCAGCAGATCAACGCGCAAGGCAACCCGATCACATACTGGAAGGTTGAATCAGTAACAGGATCTGATGGCGATCACAAGGACTTGCCTGCCACACCCGAAGTCGCGCTTGCCGACAATGTTACAAAAGGCAGTAGCCTTCGCCCGTCTTCAGTACCACCACCTCCAGTAATCGTCCCACTTCCCTTCAAGGTACCAGAAGAGGAGGATGCAAAGAGTGAAGAAGGAGATAATGCCTCTGTGTCGGCTGTCGCTGAGACTGAAAGCGTATCTTTGAGCGGTCACAGACCCATGTCGAAGCGCGTATCGGACATGTCAAACCTGCGTCAGGTGTCTGGTCAGAGAAGCTCACATAACGTCTCAGAACCCCAGGAGGACTCGATCAATGTACCACACATCGAGGACGACCGCGCATCGTCAATCGCCGCTACCCTGGACGACGAACACGACGATGTCTCTTTGCGCCAACTTTCCCCACCCCACTCGCCAATCGGCACAGAACATGATAATACTCGCGTAGGATCTCCAGTCGCCTCCACGAAAGGAGCAGAAGTCATCTCCCAGGACGAAGTACAGGGTTCGAGCGATGCCGAAGCCAAGGAGTCAGATTCAACTGCCGAAGAAGCAGTTGCAGATGCGCCAGCACGACTGACCATGCGTCAATCCCTTACCAGCAGTACTGATCCCAAGCCAAGCGATGCAAGTGCGAAGCGCTCACCTCGTCGCAATTCACGCTTCAGAGCTGATACCCTAGTATCCAGCGCGAAGGGGAACAGTGAGGGTGAGCAGTCGAAATCGAGCAGCGAGAAGGCACTGTCACAAAGTTCACAGACCGAACACGAGGCATCACATGTCGGTAGCCTAAAGGAGAGCACTCTTCCCGGTCGATTCTCTAAGGTCGCCTTGTCCTATCGCACTAACGAGTGGGCCAAGCACCTCGAGACCGCAGATTTGCCAGCGCTCGATGACTTGCCTGTACCATCATCGCCTGGTGCAGCTCTTCACCATGGCTCGGAAGAAGCACCAGTACCCGTCAGCGACGAGATCGCGGCTCCTTTGATCGGGAGTCAACGCAACTCGAAAAGGATGTCAACCGAAAGCAGGAACAAACCTAGCCTCAACCGCTCGACTTCGACCTCGCAGCAATCGCTGACCAAACAGCAGCCGATGTCACGGTCTCCTTCCGTCCTGTCACCGCCTGCGTTATCACGGTCGAACTCCGGAACTCAACTCGATGCTTTGTCACCACTACCCACTAACACGCTGATGGGCCAGCGCGAGAGCTTGATTCGCAACCGCGTCTCGTCACAATCCTTCTCGCCACTACCATCGCCTAGACAGACATTGCTCGAACAAAGCGAGCAAGACGATATGACCCTCGCCCAAAGGCGACAGCTTCTTAAGCAGAGCCCGACCTCGCCTCTGCTGCAACATCAACCTCCTATAACCTCTCCACGAAGGCCTCCTCCTTCTACCGCGCAGAAGTGGCAGAAGAAGGGTTGGGCTGGCCAGGGTATAGCTCCAGGCTTCGACTCCCATCAACCCCAGCGCACGCCTAGCTCACAGTCGAACCGCAAGAGGGAAGATCTATATGCTGACTGGAGGGAGAACATCCGGGATGTCACTCCACCACAGACAGCAGCGTACGTCGCGGAGCAGCAGCGTGCGGCTCTTCTCAACGATCGACGACAGAAAGAAATAGAGCGACAGCAACGTGAAGCAGTCCAGCAGCAACGAGCGTCGATGATGGACAACATGATGCGAAGCGGGCAGATGCTTGACGCGCACCGCGAGGCCATGCGCAAGATGCAAGCCAATGCCAACAAAAGAGCAGCGTAGATTTATTGATTCCCCACATAGTTATTTTCTCGTACATAGGTTATGATCGGATCGCCACGGAAGCAAACATATAGGTATGACGGACGTATAAACGGGCAAGGTATGTTGTGGATATGATCTGGGAGCTACGTGGGATGAGGACAGTACGAGGTAGCACCATGGACGCTCATTTTCAATATGTACATAGCCCTACTGCCGACCAGAAGGTAGATCGATACCCTAGCTATACATGCAATAATATCTAGTGCCATCTACGACACCCTCGTGATCAGTCTTTAGGTCCACCTGCGAAGGATGATGGTGTACCCGAGCCCAGGCCAGCTCTGCCTCACATGGGCAGCGACTGTGCCCTGCGCGATGCAGGAGCGACTCAGGTACTTGAAGCCTCACGACGTGCCTCCTATCGATTTGCCGGAAAGAGGCTGCGAGATGGGACATCTGTGCGCGGGGAAGTTGGTGACAGGCGGAGCACAGCGGGAAAAGGGGTTAGGGTTAGCTAAATTCACGCGAACACGGACGAACACTTCTCGATGCAGTGATGATTGCTGGCTTGATGGGTCCGGCACAGCGGATGGTGGGAAGATGGGCAAGTGTGAGGCGTCGATGGAGAATGGAGCTAGTTGTGAGATTGGTGCTAGAGGTTGTGGTGCTGGTTTTGTGGGTGAAGTTGGGAATGCACGTCAGGACACATGTTGAAGTGTGACAGCACTCTTGCTTGCTTCTGAGGGAACATCCAATGACGATGGAGACCGACTCATGAACTGCGTGCTTTTCTGCTTCAGCTCAAGGGACAGCTTGCTTGTTCCTCATGCCACGAAATGAAGCGCTCGCCGAAGTTGGCTGGCCTGGGATGAGGCGGCGGCGCAACTTCACCATCGCTAGAGCCAGGAGCGCCCGCAGCACAGGCGGGCCAGCAAGCCGCGTTCCTGAGCTAGGCTGGGCAACAACAGACGCTCCAGCGTCACCGTTGGGAGGCGATGGCAACGGCACGAGAAGTGACATGGGAGATTGACGGGAATGCAGTGCTGTATATGCAGGGCAACCAATGTCTGAAGTTGGAGATTGAGCAGCCCTCACAATCCCTGTCGCGCTCATGCATCGATCCGTGTGTATGCGCCTGCATCGAGTCCTGGCCTCTCTCGGCAGCACTGGAACAGGCGATGACCATAGCACGCCGGGGATGCAGGAACAGGGCTTCCTGTGCCCAGTTTACGGGTGGTGGACTGCTCTGCTGGCGTCAGGACCCAGCAGCGTCAGGACCCAGCAGGTACAAGAGATGGAGGGCCCCCGCGCGGCGTGCAGCGGACTGTCTGATTGCTCGACTGATCTCTGAGACGCATTGAACTAACTCTGGTCTATCGTTGATGGCGCACCTGCCGCGACTGAGTGTGAGACACAAGAGCTACTGAACGCACACGGCCGAGGAGCGTCGTGCGAGACACTGGACCCTTCTCCTTTGGCTGTCTTCAACTGCAATACACACGCCGGTCACGATTCCAGCAGCTCGCGACCTGCAGCGTTGGTGTCTGTCTCCTAGCTCCTCTGGCCAGCCCTGACGCCAATCTTGTCGAATCTGGCCGTCCCTGCCGCCTGTCAGGACCACTGCCGCTCATGCAGCGCGCACGGTGCTCACCTCCAACCTCGCAAACATACACCCAGTCACAATTACTTCACGCACCCCCCAACCCGCGACGGCGCCGCCTGCTGCGACCGCGACTGAAGAAACAACCGCGCCCGCCCGCTGGTCGCTCACGAACCGCATCTTCAGCCTCAGCCTGCGCGGCCTGTATCCTGCGAGTGCCGGCCCCCCTCGACCCTCGGCCTCACGCCTCTGGAACCCGCAGAACAGCTCTCCGCGCGCGCCGCCCACCGCCTCTCGCCAGCACCAGCACCAGCACCAGTACCAGCACCAGCAACTGCGCCAGCACCAGACGCCGCCCAAGTCTGCGCCGCGAGAGCCCAACGTCCCTGTCGAGCGGCCTCGCTCCGAGCGCGACGAGTACCCGCTGCTGACCCTCCCGCAGCGGCACCAGAGCCGCCAGAGCCCTGCGCCGAGCTCGCTGCTTGTCGAACGTCCCACCGGCGGGGAAGACGGCATCGGAAGCGGGCGCACCAGCATCGGCCTGCCGCGTGACCAAGCCCGCGGCCGCACCAGCCTGCAGCACGACTACGAATCGCGCTCGCCGACCCCAGGGCCCTCCATGGCCGCTGCACCCGGCGTGCCACCGACCAGCGCACCACAGCATGCAGAGACCCACGACATGGAAGCCGGCGTTCGTCCGCCGACGAGTCCGAGTGGCAGAGCGAGCCTGCCGGGCAGTGGGCGGACCAGTCTGAGCAGGAGTCGCAGTCAGAGGACGAACGGCGAGGGCGATGATGCTTCCGAGTTCCCCTGGGGCCCTTCGCATCCCTGCTTTCCGCACCCGAATTCGCACGTCCCGCTCAACAGCGCGCTGTACGAGACAACGCGTATTATCCGCATAAAGCGTGACTGGATGGTTAAGGGTGATCTGGCGCCGACGTTTGCGAACTTGTATCCGGAGATCTTGGATCCGCTGGTGACTGAAGACGAATTCCGGGACCTGGTCAAGAAGATCAACGACTCGCTCGTTGCAGCATTCGACCCCTTTACTTTGCGTGCCTGGCTCGACGCAGTTATGGGCGTGGCGACGTTCTGGCTATGGGACGACGTAGGCATGTCTGGCGTGAAAAGGCAATTGAACGAGCTCGAGAGCTGGATAGAGCGGTGGAACAGAGAGGTTGGAGAGAAAGACGCGGTCAAGATAATCCCGTTACGGCGGACCGGATACCTTACCGTAAGTTCCTACTGCTCATGCTTATTATGCATCTCACCTCGAAGAAACGTGCGCTGACGATTTCGTAGCTCGACATACAGATCCCAGACCCGCATCTCGGACCCGACAACGGCACAATATCAAGACCGGATACACGAGAAGATGAGTTCGGACACGACGTCCGACAGAAAAACGAAGACTATGGGAACTATACCGTTCCGACACCCACATTACAGGTCAATTCCATGCCGCCGGCGATCGAGAGCCAGTCGTAGTACACACTGGCCCGGCGGGAGTCTGGAGGCGGTACCTCTCTCGACATTCCACGTTCGCATCCGTGTCAAGAGACCGTGCACTGAGGGCGTGGAGAAGAGACTCTACATTCTTGTTTGTTGCGCTGCACCATGGTCATGATTAGACTACACATCCGCCTCGCGGCTTAATGTTTCCTTCCTGTTTCTGTTCTGATTGATTGCATGTTCTCGTCGATACCCAGACACCGCATTGTGTCTAGCAAGTATGCATCGTATGTAGTACACTTAGCAAATGTCTAATACGCATCACCATCACATAGGAGAAACACTATCACGCTACTGGCCTTCCTTGATGACTGCGTGTAGACTTGGACTTCGAAGCCACACACCCTTTTGAACACACAGCACCCGCTCCCTCTCGACCTCCGCTTCACTTCGCCACAATACTCACAACGTCCTCATCCGCAACCACATGACTCAACCCCACCCGCTGCGGCACATGCCTCGCACTTGCGCCCCACACCATCGCATACTTGAACGTCTCCTTCAGCGTCCTATGCACCTGATCACACACATCCTCAATCGTGCTCCCCCTCCTCACAATCAGCGCCTCGCTAAAATCCGGGTCATACCCCTTCCTCTTCGTATAAATCCGCATCAACTGCAGTTCCTCCCAGCACCGATCGACCACATCCTGGAGACCCAGATCCAACTCACAGCTCATGATGACCGTGTGCGGTTCTCTGGCGAGTTGGTCCAAGTGCGGCAGGCTGATGGCGTCGATTTTGTTGTAGACGTACAGGCATTTTATGTACTTGCGGTGGTTGATCATGATGGTGTCGATGAAGTCGTCCACCGTGGCGTACTCGTCGCGGATGAGCACTTCGGCGTTGAGCATCTTGTAGTCTTTGAGGATTTGGTAGATGAGCTTTTCGTCGAGGCCGCCTTTTGGGGGGGTTTGGAAGTTGATTTTCATCCCGCCGGCTTTTTTGGGCTTGAGGTAGATGTTGCTGGGGAGAGTTAGTCGGGCGATGGGAGAGGGGGATGGGGTGGATTACGGTGGCTCGCGGTTCAGGCGGATGCCGACTGCTTCCAGTTCGGCTTCGAGCAATCTCCTCTGCTCGGCCTTCTTCGTGGCGTCGAGGATCATCAGAATCAGATCACTCGTCTTAGCTGCACTGATGACCTGGCGTCCTCGTCCCTTGCCCTCAGCGGCACCTTCGATGATACCAGGAAGATCGAGGACCTGGATTTCAGCACCGCCATACTCCAGCACACCGGGGATGGCAGTCAGTGTGGTGAAAGCATATGATGCTGCTTCAGACTTTGTCTTAGTGACTCGTGACAAGAAGGTCGATTTTCCAACTGAAGGGAACCCAACGAGGGCTATGCGTGCATCGCCAGATTTGGAGACATCGAATCCTGTTCCGCCGCCGCCGCCGGCACCTGGGGCGGGCTCGAGTAGCTGAGCACGGAGACGAGCGAGCTTTCTAATAGTCGTCAGTCATGGAAGCTGGTGTCTGATAGGTTCGATTGTACCCTTTCAAGAGACCAAGATGGTATTCTGAGTGACGGTGTTAGCACGTGATAGAAAACGGTCCGGTCGTCGAAGTTGTTGGCCGCGAGAAGTCGTACCTGTGGCCTTATTCTCTGCAGTTGGTTAGCATACACCTCTCCTCATACAATGAATGAACTTACTCTGCGTCCTCTTCATCTCATCCTCAATCCTAGCGGGGCGTTAGGCTTGGCATCAAAACTTTTGGAGGGGTTCCATACTCCTTGATCTTCTCTGTAATGTTCACCATGTTTGAGGTATTGCCTGCTCTTTCTGTGCTGCTGAAGGGAACGACTGGTGTGAGGCCGTATGGTTGGACCGTACGGTAGCTTTACCGGTCGCCGAAGAGTCGTGATACAGACCTCTGGTGTTTCTCGACCCACCTATACCACTACTGCGGATCGGTACTAGTTTTCCGCTTAGCGAGACGCATCGACGACTGCGTCATCCATCTCAGAGAGTGGCGCACGTCACTGCATGCTTGTTTTCGTTTGAGTTTCTTGTGCTTTTCCCTTTCTCATATATCCCTGCGTTTGTTTGCATGTCGCGTCTGCCGTTCGATCAAATATGGAGTTTGTACTGGGCTCTGATCCCTGGCCTCGGTCTCACCACGAGCTGATACAACATTACTATCAACAGTACGACGCGCAAATAACATCTGGCGAATTCAGCCCTTTTGTCTATCCTTACGGAGCATATGGAGCTTTCTTGGTCATTGTTTACTTATGTACACCGCACCAAAATAGGCCATGGCTCAAGAAGTGTCGCCTTCTAGTCTGGGGTGTGTTGCTTGCGTTTGCAGCATACAGTATCCGATATCAAAGAGCTAGGGGAATGGCACCGGCACTAGGCTTAGGACTCGTGCACGCGTGGAGTGTGGTCTACCTTGCCGCAATTTTAGTGTTCAACGATGCCCAAACGGATTTTCAGCGGATCGAGAGAACTGAAGGCGCATTTGGCAGTGACCAAATTTCGCAGCAAGAGAAGGAAAAGATGGCGAAGGAAAGTACAGATTCGAACGGTCACATCCCACAAAGATCCAAAGCTGGTCCTCGCGACCGCCACGGCGAGTTCGCATGGCAACCCTATCCCCTCTCACCTTTCATCGAGCGCCTGGACTGGGTCTGCGATCTTTTCTGCAACTTCCGTGGCGCAGGTTGGAACTGGCGCACCTCTGCACTCCCACCACCCCCGAAATGGCTACAAGAGCAACTCCACCGCAACTCGGGCGACGTACCAAAGCACACCTACCGCATCCATGCCGGTCAAGTAACCAACTACCCCGACCGGCGCTCCCTGCTCGTCTCGAACGCTAAAACCCTCATCAAAGGCTACCTGATCCTTGACGCCCTAAAAACCATCATGATGCACGACCCGTACTTCTGGGGCCTCCTTACACGCTCTCCACCATCATACTTCCCTTTCACCCTGTTAACACAGCCCTGGATGATCCACACGTACCGTCTCTTCCTGTCCATGATCGCGGTCAAATATGCACTGCAAACAATCTTCTCCCTCGCGCCCCTCGTCTTTGTCGGGCTCTTCGGATCCTACATCGGCGCGCGGTCCGAGCCCTGGATATACCCCGAGACATGGGGCTCGTTCACCATCGTACTCGATAAGGGGTTGGCGGGGTGGTGGAGCAGCTGGTGGCACCAGACATTCCGGTTTGCGTTTGAGCAGCCGAGTCTGCGGATATGCGAGTTCTTCAACCTGGACCGCCGGAGTGTGCTGGCGAAGGGGATTCAGCTGCTGACTGCGTTTGGATTGAGTGGGGTGCTGCATGCGTGTGGCACGTATACAGCTGCCGGCCCAACACACCCATTGTCTAACTCCTTCGCGTTCTTCCTGCTACAAGCGCTTGGCATCTTCCTCGAAGTCGTCATCTCCTCTGCCCTACGCAAGACGGGAATTCAGAAGCATGTGCCGCAGTGGGCGATGCGAACGTGGACGTTCATTTACGTACACGTATGGTTCTACAACACCGCACACTTGTTGTGCAACGACTTTGCCTTGGGTGGTGTGTGGCTCTTCGAGCCGATTCCTATTTCGTTGTTCCGAGGGTTAGGGTTTGGGCCCACGAAGCAAGATGGCTGCTGGTGTTGGGGTGGAAGCGCAGTTGTGAGATGGCATACTGGGAAGTACTGGTGGCAGAGTGGTCTTGCTTTTTGAGCGGATAGCATAGTCTTGTAGCATCGCATAGCGTAGGCGCAGTTGAATGTCAGTGTTCGAATATTAGGAACCTTGGCTGAGAGCATGAACAAGCTCTGCAAAGCTGGAGCCAGTGACTATGGATACAACAATCAACGTTGAGATGTGATTGTCACTCTTCGTAATTACAATTATACTGCATGTCTTGCCAACCTCGACCTTGGCAGCTCCAATGCGCATATTACAAGTGAGCCGCATCAAGCAGCCACATCAAACTCCAAGCTTTTCGTACGCGGTACGCTGAACGGTATGATTACACAGAAGTCGCTGAGGCCTTCCTCACTTTTGTTGCCGCCTCAAAGCGGCTCGGCATTTACTTGCCGGGTGATGTGATTGTACACGTCTCCTTCAGTCCGGTCTCTTCCATCGTCGTGTCATTCTGTATACTGGGAGCTCGATTGAAGTCTTCACCTAGCGGACCTTCTTAGGCTCCATATCAGGTTCGTACTTGCGGTCGTCCTCGCCCTCAACTTCCTCAACCATCTTGTCGACAGCCTTGGCCTGCTTTGCCCACTCGCTCTGGCACATCTTGAGCTCCTTCTGAAACAGCTCATCGTTCGGCTTCCTGTAGCTGCCACCCATGCGGTCCCACAGCGTTGTGAACTGTCCGTAGTTGTAGTTGAAATATAAGTGATGCATCGTATGGCAAGCGGCACCGTTGATGATAGGTGAGTTGTGCGCGTACTCTCCGTCATGAATGAGGACTGTCCAGATGTTGACGAAGATGAAGAGCGCAACGTATGCGAATTTCTGAAGCGGGAAAATGAAGGGGAAGATGTGGTATGGCAGACCCTGCGCATAGCCGTCCATGGGGTGGAAAGCGTGCGAGGCGAAGGGCGTAGGCATAATCCACTTGTGGTGGGGCTTGTGCAGCGTCTTGTAGATGCTCTTGTGGTGCAGACCGCGGTGGATCCAATAGATGCAGAAATCGGTGAAGCAGACAAACAGTGGGAACTGCAACCAGTTGTACCAAGCTCCAGGACCCTCCTCTGTAGCATCGTAGAGCTTTGAGTAGCCGCGCACTTCAGCCAGGAACCATGGCGCGGTGAAGATGGCCATGATAGGGAAGGCGATGTTGGCTTGTTTCATCTCGAGTCTGATCTGGTTCTTGAGGTATCGTGGGTGGGCGAAGGTCGCCTTGTCGAAGATGAAGAAGTAGGATGCGGACGCGAAGACATAGTAGACAAGGACACCGAACAGCCTGTGATTGATGTGTTAGATATGTGCCTACCGCAATTGTGGTGGTCTGATATACCATGTAATCAGGTACAATGTCAACACCTGTCTGCGCCAATCGTCACGCGGCCATGCACTCTCATACGCAGCTTGCGAGGGCTGCACTGAGAAGTACTTGGACGCCGGCTCATACTGCCATGTTGCTGCGGGCAGGGCAAAGCCGGTTGGCTCTTCCCTTATGCTCGAGAACGTCACATTTGCGGTGGGCGGTGAGGCTGATGCCGGCAGGAGGCTCGAGTAGATATGATCAAAGATGAAGGTGTCTGCGACTTCGAGGACAATATCCATGTTCGTTGTGGCCGTGGAATATCAGCCCGGTGGCCCAGGGTCGCGGTAGTCAGGTACGAGAGTGACGCGATTCGTGATGTTTTGGAGGGAAGGTGGTACCTGACAGGGGCAGCAACGTCACTGCTGGCTGGAAATGCACCGCGAAAGAACGAGTGTATCAATTGGCGCAAAAGAAGGACAGATTGAAGCACGAAAGATGAGGGCAATGCGTCCTCTTTCAGGCTGCTGAAATTATCGTCCGATGCGCCCTCCTGGGGACTGCTGCCGTGTCCCTGAACCCTTGCGATTTGAGATCAACGGCGGTCCAGTCCAATCACCGCGACGCCTCCCAGCGCAGGGCGCGCGGAAACGGGCGCCCGTTGAATCCGCGAGTGGACTGACGGGGGAGCTGCTGGTGCTTAATCAGATCACTCGTGCCAGCCTCGCCTGGTCATCGGCTGTTTCGCTGCCGTGCATCACTCCACAACATCAGCACGCCTGTGCCGCGATTGCGCGACACTGCCGTCGACGCGTCGTAACCGGACAACACGACCCAATTCGTTCGTTTCGTCTCTTGTCGCCCTTCATATGGCCTGGAGCTGCCATGACGCTGTTCTCAGCTTTCTAATCTTGTGAGGTTGATTTCGTCTCGCTATCCACGTTGGCTAGCAGACCTGAGCGCCATCGAATGATATGGCTGTCTTATATGACAAGATTAATTGTCCTATACTATGAGCTCTTTACCAACTAGAGAAGACTTCCTGACTCGCTATGCAAGCTAAAATGGCAACGTCAACACGTCGAACAGCTGCCAGGCGTGCAACACTCCATGACCCAGATGATCCAACAACACGATGTACAGACTTCGCATTCACCTAGGGTCGACGTGCTTTCGATACCTCACAATGTCTTATTCACCTCGATTGACAACACACCAGGCCTCAGATCGACGTGGCAAGGCTCTGACCATCGACTCGGCCAGCGTCGCATGTCCAGCTTGCTGTTCGAGCCACCAAGGCCCTTGGCTTTCGATAGCTATGGAATAAAGAGCTGTGCATTGTGCAAGCTTCGACCGAGGATATGGCGCACGAGTAGCTTGATATCGGGCGTATCCACGCCAGTAGCTGGATCACGATCGCCGCCGCTTCTCTGCCTTCCATGTTCAAGGCCTGCAGGGCATCCGCAGCCAAAGGTATAATCAGTCTTTCAGGCTCAATCTGATGCACAACAGAGCCTTTGGCTGTTCGTCCAGACCATACATGGTTGTACCAGGCAATGTGTGGGCATCGGAGCTCTTTGAGTCCAACTTCGCCCGCAGTGGCAACTACTTCACGAAACAGTATACTCTGCAGCGAAACTTGCACTTCGGAGAGGCGCAGCTCTACTGGAAATGCGGGAGCTTAGTCACCTGCGAAACTTCCCCAGATGGAGACCCTCGCGGCATGCAGAGAAGTCGTATTTTGACGCAGGGAAGCCTAGCCGTGGCATTTGATGATACCATATGGTATCGACCCGTCGAGAACTATACACGGCAGCATCCCGAAGATCCTGGCTCCATGTTGGCCCGAACTTCATGTTAGGCTGAAGACGTAGCCAGAGAGTATGATCTATGGCACGAGGCGCTGGTAGCCGATCTGCTCTGGTACGTAGATGGGACGTTCTCTTCTCGACCTGACAAGTATTGCAGACCTACTTGGAGCTGGGCTTCCGTTACAGGAACTGTCACCTTCGTACCATCTTCTGATTTCGTCGGCACATGCTTTGTCACGATTGAGGGCGCACAGGTTAACCTTGACAATCGAGACTTCAGCACAGGTTTGGAGGGTGCGTTCACCTCAACGGTCACCTCATTGAAATATCCAAACCAACATTCTTCGGCATCCTCGGCCACCACGTGACCGGCTGCTTCTACCCAGACGATTCTAATGACATGACTGAGGAGAAGTACTTCTGTCTGCCTGTGCGCAAGCAGCTGACTCAGCAGGGCATTTGGCTGTGAGGTCTAGAACTGCACAGGAGGGCGATATACGAGTCGCATGAAAGCAAATCATTGGAGGAAATCGTTGCTGGTTATGAAAACGTTTGGCGAACATTTTCTCGGTGGTCAGTTATTCATTGTCATCTCAATGCAATCTATGAGCTACATCTAAACGAGAAATTTCATTTACATGAGCATATCTGTTCCTCCTGCTCTTCTACATATTCCTGGTTCTCTTCCTCCAGAACTTCTAGGCCACTTTCCAGGTCACTTTCACCTCAGCTCGCCACTGGAGGTTCTGCTTACTTGTCGATTTCACAAAGAAGCGGTCAAACTGCTCAAAGCACCGCTGCATTACTTCTATGAAGAGGAAGAAGGGACGCCGAGCGCGTAAAAAGCTGTACTGGGAACCTCGACTTATCGTTCGCGTATCCAACACCGATCAGACCTCGATAGACAATGGTCTCCGAGCAGCTCATCAGGTGCTTGGCCATGTACTTGAGTTCGGGACAACTCAGAATACACGCCTGTATACGCACCCGGCCATGCAGAACTGGGGTTCGACAAGCCCCACGGCATTCACCAGCAGCCACCTGGTGGAACGAGTTACACAATGTTGATATAGCCATCAAATTCGCGCCACCCGCACGATACAAGATCAAGTGATGCAACACAACTTCAAATATCAACAACCTCCGCAGCTGTCGGATTTCACTTCAGAAGTCTATTCGCAGTGCTTGGAACAGGGATGATGGCAAACTTCAAGTTGACGTTACAATCCTTCCCAGGAAGCTTGATTTCGAGGCCGATGAGCAGCCACGTGCTGCTGTAAATCATGTTCTACGCTTTGAAGGAAGCTCTGGCTTACAGAAGTTCGTCATGGGCAATGAGGAGTGGGAGGAGTTTTGGGCGTTTGATGGGGTATTGGAACCTTTGTGAGCGCAGGAGGCGTGGGTATCTCTTACTGTGTGGGTATGACGGCAAAGAAGGGGATCGGCAGTACAACCACGGTTGTGTGGGGCTTGCATGAGAGGGCAGGAGCGGAACATTTGCCTAGCACGTGATGACTCGACCTCGTGTCAACTTCTGCATCTATCACAGTATTGTCCTTCTCCTTCTTTCTTTTCTTTTCGCAGATTGTCAGGCAACACACATCAGTCCTTTCTCGTCGTTGCGAACACGGCGCTTACAAGCTCGCATTACGACCTCATCTCTCCCTATCAAGATGGATCTAGTTGCCGACCACACTTCACCCTATCTTGGCATGTCAGAGACGGCACATAATACCATGGCGGTAAGCGACTATTTCTTCAGCGCACACAAGACGTTTCGCATCCTCAATCTGCCAACTGAGCTCCGGCTGATGATCTACGAAAACATTCCGTGTACGCTGGCACGAACAAACGTCGACTTAGAGTTGCCACCCATAACGTTCAAGCTAGCTCCGACTCGAAACCACGCCCAGCTCTCCCTCGTGACTGTTTGGTAACCAACGGAGGTTTTACTTACATATCGACAGACTTATAACGAGGCGTTCCAATCGCTCGGTCACTCATGTATCCATGCTTTGAAGCATTACAGTCCCAACGGTGCGCGCGGAATGCTGGAGCACTTGGAGTTACATCCTCAACTGATTATCCATGTTGACAACACTAACAGCACGGCAGTAGGCAATGGTCTAGAAACTGCTCATCACCTGCTCAGTAGCATTGCCAATCCGTATATTGATGGACATCCATTCGATACAAGTCCCACTGTGCGAAGGTGGGCCCCTCAAACTATCTGGCGCTTGGACGCGATGCAAATCAAGAGCAACGAGATGCGTATGAAAGACCCTCACAAGCAACGTGGTTTCTCAACAGCTTCCAGCGAGCTACAGGAAATCGACATCGCTATCGACATAAGCACTGCCGCACGAACCGAGATCAGCGAAGACGGTATCGTCTGTGCGACGCTTCGATAAACTCGACAAGACTTCAGAGCCTCCGTGAGCAAGATCTGGCGAAGTCGAAGAGAGAAGATCCGAACCAACTTAGCCGTACTACCACAAGACTTCGGCTTCGTGGAGAATGATGAGCTCCGGAAAGACGTTTGGGCTACTTTTTGTATCCCGTCACGTCTGGGCATGCGATGTTACAGGATGGGGAGGAAAGAGTAGGGAGAGCTTTGGAAAACAGTACGAGTGCAATTAGTGTTGAAATTCGATCGCAGAGTCCGTAGTCAAGAAATTCTGGTGGCTGGTCATTTCGAGCTGGTCGAATCCGCAATCTCTCTGCACATTCATTGCAAACTGCGCCCCGCCGAATTTGGCTTTTTGGGCGTTGATGGGCTGAGAGGAGCATCTGGTCGAGTGGCTTCGAGGTGGTTTGGTCGTCAAAAACAAAGACAAGATGGAGCTAAGAAAACTGTCGAATCCCGTCAACTCTACAGGCCGTTTGGAGCCGTGGAGGCTCAGCGCATCGCGCCTTTCCAAAATGGAGCATGAACTCGGGAAAGCGGGGCGTGACGTCACCTATAGAAAAGTTACAGTACGCCATGTGTGCTCAGACTTTGCATGGAAATTCTTTGTGGGGAGGTTCCCAGGAGGGTTCTGGGACTTTCTCAGCGTCGTTGACGGAGGCTGAGGTCTAGAACGCATCATGCACGGAGTGGCGTCTTTCTTCCAACGGCCCGATTAGTATTTGGATTTTCTGTTGATTTGGGAAAGCATTCCCAGACATTTCTCTTGTGAAAGTTCCTGAAAAGTGCTTCTTTGTATAGCTCACTGGCCGGGAGAGGTCTCAGTCGAGTCGCAATGTGAAGAACAATGAAAATACTGTGCCTGTGAATCCCTCCGAAACTTCCCACGTGTGGCTCAAAGTTCTGGACCCTTAACCACTCTAACGGCGCAGACCGGCGCATCCGTAACGCCGCACGAGCCAACTAGCCACGGGGAACACTTGAGGAGGAACTTGGCTAACAGCCCAATCTGTTAATGAGAGGATGCCCTCGATTTTCTGCCAAGGAACGAGGGTTCAGCTCCCACACACTTACCGCGAGCATGGTGGATTGCTCATTCGCGAGTCGCCCTTATGTGGGTTTGCCTCAAAACACCGCCGACGACCGAGAACGAGCGCGGGAGCTTTACAAGTACTTTCGCCCACCAGTGGCTGCGGAACCAATAGACACTGTCCTTACAGCGCACGCGCAACTTACAGCATGGAGATTGAACGCAGAGCGCGCAATGATCTCGCTGATTGACGAGGAGACCCAATATTTTGTCGCTGAGAGTACCAAGACAGTCCATCTGGACGATGCTGCACAGTATGACAACCCTGAGGACGCAATTTGGGCTGGAGTGAGTGCCCCTCCTCTTTGTCTAGCTTTTTATTTGCATGGACTATCACAACTGACATATTACGTAGTGCGTCAGAGTCCCTAAGGCAGGCAGACTTTGTGAACACACAATCTCAACACTACCGCCGCCAGAGGGTGGACCGGCCTTGTTTGAGGTGCTTGACCTGAGTAAAGATGAACGTTTCGACCAACTCAGCTTCATAGCAGGACCACCGCATTTCCGATACTATGCCGGTGTGCCCTTGCGTACAAGCTGCGGCATCAACATTGGGTCTCTCTACGTTCTTGATTCCAAAGTAAGACCAGCACTCACGCGCAACGAGAAAGGCTTCCTCGGTGTCATGGCAGACAACGTGATGCAGCACCTCGAGATGACCAGGGACAAGAAAGATCGCCGACGTACTTTCAGGATGAACGAGTGCTTGTCAGCATATGTTGATCCAACACCAGAGAATGCGAAGAACAGGCGGCGCTATAGTCATCATAGCGAGAGCGAATCGATTGACCCCGATTCGGATGCCGATTCTCGGCGCACTGCTGATGGCTCTGAGCGTATTGAAGTGATTACACGAGCTGCAGAGTTGCTACGAGAAGCAGTGGACATTGAAGAAGGCGGAGGTGGTGTGCTTTTCCTCGACACATCGTTAGCGGCTGTGCCGTCACAACACCCTTTCCTCGGAGATGACCACACAAACGAAAATACGACCGCTGAAGGCTCAAGACGAAAAGATCTACGGCAACCTAATCAGCCGCTAGACGGCTCTGACTCTCCAACTACAACTAAACCGAGTACCCGATCTTCAAGTCCAGAGATACGGAGGAAGCGTAACGGTAGTACCGAGGTTCTCGCTCACACCTATCGCTCCGTCAGCAAATCACCGGATCAGCCAGAGTTCACGTCTTTCACTCCCGAGGAGCTTTTGAAGATCATCAAGCGGTATCCACGAGGGAAGATGTTCACATTCGACCATGAAGGGCAAGAGTTGTCTGATGCTTCAGACAACGGAAGTGTACTTTCTGGACGACCGAACTCCAGGCGACGTCGAGAGCGGGCTTCCGCGGACTTTGCGAACCTACATGCCTGTTTCCCGAAAGCCCGTCAGATTATGTTCATACCTTTATGGGATTCAACCACGAGTCGTTCAGCCGCTTGCTTTGTGTACAACTGCTCGGAATACCGTAATTTCTCGCACAATTTGGAGTTTCTGCATTGTATTACATTTAACAACTGTGTCGACACGGAGCTCCTTAGACTCGCGAACTCCAAGGCAAACGAACAGAAGAGCGATTTCATCGGCTCAATTTCTCACGAACTTCGATCGCCACTTCACGGAATCTTGGCTTCGTGCGAGTTCCTGCAGGATACTACCTGTACTTCGTTTCAACAGTCATTGGTCAATACTGCCGAAAGTTGTGCGAGGACGCTACTTGACACAGTCAACATGGTGCTAGATTACAGCAAGATCAACGCTTTTGAGAAGAGCAAACCTGGCAGTGCCATGCCGGCTCTAGCAGATGAAATACGATCGGAACCTTCCGACGCCCTCCAAACGAATTTGAGCGCGCATCGCAACATCGACCTTGCTGTACTGATCGAGGAGGTTGTCGAGGGCGTAGCAGTAGGACACGCATTCAGCGATCTCCAAAATCGAGCATTGCGTCACGAGACTGGAGATATTAGGTCTCGTATCAGTACATCAAGCGATCTGACAAAACTTTCTCCCTGCAAGCCGGACGTGGAGCTTATTGTTGAAATCTCGGAACAGAACTGGACGTACTGGTGCGAACCTGGATCCTTGAGACGTATTGTGATGAATCTGGTCGGCAACTCACTCAAGTACACCAAAGCTGGTTTCGTACACGTTAAGCTCGAGACGCAGACCTCCGAAGCGGATGCTAATGAGTACTGTGTTTTGGCAGTCATAGACTCTGGTCAGGGCATATCTCCTGCGTACCTCAGGGATAAGCTCTTCACGCCCTTCGCTCAAGAGTCGAACCAAGCGCCTGGTATTGGGCTCGGGCTGTCACTTGTCAAGTCGATCGTTGGCAAGCTCGGCGGCCACATCGATATTGAGTCCACAGTTGGGGTTGGTACCAAAGCCACCGTCAGCATCCCTTTGGTTAGGAACCCAGCATCCGGTTCCAGAATCGGTTCCGCTGTGAACTCGAACTCACCTGAGGTCAGTAACAGCTCCGCTGATGAAAACAGCAGCATGCGACAGATCATGACTCAGGCGAGCGGCAAATCAGTTGCTGTCTACTGGCATGAAGGAGGGGAGGGAACAAGTATTCAACAAGAAGCGTCTCGACTGATGCGTGAGAGCTTAACAGCATACCTCAGTGCATGGTGTGGGGTTTCAGTCAGCCAATGGCACAAAGACAGCCCGGTCGACATCATTGTTGTTGAGGAAGCAGGTCTCGATTCTCTGTTGCGCGAGTCTCCCCAGCTCTCTGCTCCTGACTGCCAAACCATGATCATGGTGCTTCGTAGCACAGGCTCAGTGCAAAATCGGAAGGCAGACGTAATCAGCCACAACATCGAGGACATTCGCCGTCCCTTTGGACCACATAAGCTCGCGCGAGCTCTGCAAGCTTGCCTGGACCGCTCCCACTCGGAAGATACAGACCTTGCAAACAACGATATTACGGAAGACTTAGGGAAATCACCGATTGACAGCATCACAGCCGCAGCCGGAGATCTCAGTATTTCTGGTGTTGTACCAGCGTCTTTCCAGGCTCCCATTGTCATACAGGACAGTCTCGATCTTTATCAAGACCAATCCAAATCCAACTCCAATCTCCTTCCCTCCGATCCCGGAAGCACCACCACTCGTTCAGTTTCCTTGTCAGCGAAACTCACAGACTCCGATGAGAACCAGATTACCCCAACGCCCACCAAAGCGCCCTCAGTTATCAACTCAGCAGCAAAGCTTACTCCAGTCTTAAATCCAGACCCCTCAAATCCGAGCCACCGCGTTCTCCTCGTCGACGACAACGCAATTAACCTCCGCCTCCTCCAAGTCGGCATGAAGAAGCGCGGCTACACATCCATTTCCAGCGCCTCCGATGGTCTTCAAGCCGTAAACACATACCGCACGCTCCTCTACTCCCCTCCATCCTCTCCGCCAGACATCATCTTGATGGATCTCTCGATGCCCATCATGAATGGTTTCGAAGCTACACGGCAGATCCGCGAGATCGAAGCGGAATACAATGCGAGGTTGCAGGAAGGGGGATTGGCACATCACAGTTTGATTATTGCGCTTACGGGACTGGCAAGCGTGACCGATCAGAAGAAAGCGTATACGGCTGGGGTGGATTCGTACATTATGAAACCGGTCAGCCTTGCTAAGTTGACGAAATTGTTGGAAGATTGGTCCGTGGATGGGAGAGCGAGTGTAGAAGTGGTGGTGCCGGACACTGCTGTGGTCGCAAGGTGATTTTTGGATGCAGAGGCTTTTGAGGATTGGAATTGGAATTGGGTTATGAAGGAAGGCGTTGTGGCTAGCCGGCAGACTGCATGCGCAGACGACTTCGTTGGTTTACTTTATGGCATAGTATGGCGTTTGGAAGTGCTCTCCAGGTTATTATGGCATTGTTACGATATTTAGATAGTCTAACGAGATCACGTTCTTTGGTGGCGCATTTGAATATGTGTTGCGTTGCACCGCACTCACTTCCTGTTCATTCTGCTGTTTCGGTCAGATGCTAAGAACCAGTACAAGTACAGCAGGAACCGATCTCCAGCCTAGTGCACAACCATCACCTTCCCATCCATCGCCTCAATCGCATGTTCCGGACCGTACCTCGGCGTCCACGCGAGCTCCTTCCCATGCTTAGCCACAAACACCGCATACCCTCAACACGTTCGTTCAGCACACCCAGCACCTTCCCTATCTTCTCTAGCGCCTGGCGGGTTCGAAGAGATTCCAGAGGTTCGCTCGTACTGGTCGCCAAATAGGATGATCGTTTTGGTCGGTTGGGGCTTACTCCACATAGAGGAGAGTGCGGTATATGTTGGAGCATACTTGAGCAAGACATTGTGGATCTCGACCGTGGTGCCTTTTGTACGTTTTTTTGGGGCGGTCTTTGAAAGTATGCTGATGACTTTATAGCTTCCAAGTCAACAGTCAGTGCGCAATGAAGGGCAACTTTACCTTGAAGACAATATTTCTGTATTGATGTATTAGATGCACTTATGTTGCTATTGGTGACTTCGACCTGATCCTGCGGCCTCAGACCGCGACCATGGTACCTTTGTGCCCCCAAACACCCAACAGTAGAGATATCCAAATTGGACGCCATAACATCGCTATGCAAAATCCAAACAATCAAGCTGCGTCCCAGAAGCTTACAATCTTCGTTCCTTCTCTTCACTGCGTCCTTCCCCTTTCCCATGATCATGACAACGCAGAGTCATGCCTATTCTTTGTCCTGTATGTGGCTCATAGGAAGACCGGCGTCAACACCGTTCTTTCTCCGAGCAGCATACTCATAGTCGAGTCGCTCAAACGTTCGATCATAGCAGAGTCGGTCATCGAACGCTTAAGCCAGGGGTTCTCGGGATTCTATCCACCGTTCACCTGCTGCTCCTCACGTTTCGCGTTCATGTACCGCTCCATGTAGGTGATGTAATCGTACTTGGGAAGATCACGATCTTCTTGCATATCTGGTCCTTTGTGCTCGGGCATCGTAGAGATAAGATCTTCGATGACCTCGTCAGGGACGAGAGAGTGGCGGAGATCGAGTTCAGTAACGTATGGCTGTATCACGTCAGTACTTGGTCAGTGGTAGGCGGGGAGCTAATGGACGAACCTTGCCGTCCGCGACCTCCTTGAACGACTCGAAGACCTGCTCAGCTGTATTTTGATCCTCCGTCTCATCGACCATGAAGCGAATGAACTGCTCGAAGGTAACATAGTCACGGCCACCGCTCGTTTCACGGAACTTCTGGTGCATCTCCTCGTCGTCGTACACAAGCCCCAGACTTGCCAGGGCTGCCGAGAACTCCAGTTCGGCCAGCGAATTCGACAAGTCGCGGTCGAAGTGTCGAAACACTGATTCGAACTCTTCCAGTTGTATCGGTGTCAGATTCGTCATGTTACGAGCAACCATCTGGTTTTCTAAGAAGGCGAGTTTCTTCGAGACTGAGTTGCGTACCAGACTCAGCTCGTACTCGAGTTCATCGTAAGTATATGTTGTGAAGTCGTTCTCTTCGATATTTGCTTCGGCGCATTGCTCGTCGATAGAAGCAATGAGGTTCAGATACTCGTCAAGTGGCGCGAGCGACTTGCTGATCTCCTTGGTGTGTTCCAGTTGGTCTTCGACTTCACCCTCCAGCGCTGATATCGAGGTTCCAAGTGTGTTCAGTGCGAGAGCGAAGTCGTTAGCTTTGTCTGCAAACGACTTGCGGAGAGCGTTCTTGATGTCACGGATCGTTTCATTGATGACTTGTGAGCGGTCACGCTCCGCTTTCATCAGACCTGCCCATGCTGCATCCAACGTCTCCAAGCTCAGCTCTGCTGGAGGATCGTATGGCCGCAGGCGATAGGTCGCCAGCTTCGTCTTTATGTTTCCTAATAACCCAGCCAAATCCGACTTCTCTGCGACCCAATTGCGCTTGCTCTTGCGTTTCCATGCCGTGAACTCGGTTGATTGATTCCTGGCGTCCGTGTATGTCCCGTCGAACTTGGCCTCCTCCCATTGCGTTCGCTGTGCGGCGATCGCTGCAAGAAGTTTCCGCATGCGTTCTTCGAAGTCGTTCTGCATCTGCCATGCACCCTGCATGTTCTGCACGAACTTCTCTACTCGTCGACCGGCGTTTTCGACTCGCTCCATTTGGGAGAAAGCGTGGAACCAGTAGGCGATGTACGTCATGAGGGAGCGCTCGTCAGGCTTCGCGACGTCGCAAACGTCTTCTACATCGAGAAGGTCTGGGATGCCAATCTCCTTGGAGGCGATGTCGAAAGCAAGCTGCATGTTGCCGCGGTGGTCACTCTTGTCGAGACTATCGTAGTCGATCAGGTCGGGGCGGTGGATGTCCAGAAGGGCGCAAAAGGCCAGGCCATCGTTCCAGCTTGTGGAGAAGTCGCGCACTTCGACCTCATCGTAGCACGCTGTCTTGCGCTGACACCACAGTAACAGGCCCTCCTTCGCACTCAGACCCTCTTCGTTGATGTCGCTGATTGTGAAGCGCAGAATCAGGGTCCATATCAGACCCAGAATGATCTTGCTGTTGCCATCTACCACATCTTCAGCACCAATGTTGGTCATCTGAATGCCGCGGCTGCGGATGTAGTCCAGTGATTTGTTGACATTTTCGAACTTCTGCACTCGCAGCTTCGGTCGGGAGGCATAACGGCCGAGCGATTCGTTACTGAGGATCTCGAGGAGGTGGATGAGGTTGATCTGAGCATGCCTGTTAGAGGGCGGTCAACGCAACGAGGGGAGTCAGAGAGGGACACGCACGCCGTCAGACAGGTCTGTAATGAGATCCTGGATTTCGACATCTCGGTTCTTCAGCTTACTGTTCAGCCTGCGTTGAGTGGTTAGCACATGGCCTCAGGGCTGCGACCCATCGTTGTGACTGCGGGGCTGCGCACCACTTTGTGAAGGTCTTCTGCTGGACCTTGACCCATTGCTGCTCAAGCGGAGCCATGGCGGTCTGTGTGCATTAGGATCGCCTTATCCAGGGCGCCTGCGGGTAGGAATAGCGGTGCAAGACTCCAAAAATGCTTGCTGCGAGGCGTCGAGTGCTGTTGCTGCCTGCTCGCTGCGTGGTTGTTGGCACCCAAACAATGCCAGGCGGGCGCCGACTCGGCTGTTGCGGGGGCCCCTGAACCCTTCCAAGGGATCGTCGAAGCTTTGTGGCTTGTGCCTGCTATCAGCCGCTGGGCACGTCAGTCGACTCTATCAAAATCTTCTCTAGTCACCGTTGAGAACGTCAAAGGCCGATGGCACACGCAGATTGCACGGAAACTGCTGCACACTCTGCCACTTTTGAATTCACCGCTCGCACTCAGAGCCGCCTGTCGTGTGGGGCGCATAACTCTTGCACCTACCCGCATTGGCTGTCTATTCGCCCTTGCCTGCATTATCCACCATGGCCGTCGCGTCTGAGAATGCCGCGTCGTTGCCCTATCACGAGCCTGGCATCGTGCTAATCCTTGTGTTCTCGTCTTTTCTGTTACTGCTCAACGTCATCAATGCCATACTCGACGGGGTTTTGTACTGCGGATTGCTGGGTCAGGTCTTGATTGGCATCGCTTGGGGAACCCCGGGTGCCAAATGGCTGTCAGCCGAAGTTGAAGAAAATCTTGTCCAATTGGGCTATCTTGGCCTGATCTTGCTCGTATATGAGGGTTTGTCAAGAACTACACACTATTCGTACAACAATAGCTAATACTTGCTAGGTGGCCTACATACTTCTTTCCAATCTTTGAAGGCCAACCTACTGCTCTCATCTGGAGTCGCTCTCACTGGCATTTGCATCCCCATTGGTCTTTCATACACACTCCAAGGTCTCCTCGATGCCACTCCAGTGCAAGCCTTCGCTGCAGGTGCTGCATTATGTTCAACCAGCCTAGGAACTACATTCACCGTGCTAGGCTCCAGTGGCCTCTCATCCTCTCGTCTCGGTGTTGTCCTCACCAGTGCAGCTATGATGGACGACGTCGTTGGGCTGGTGATGGTACAGGTCATCTCCAACCTTGGCGGTGAGAACTTCAACGCTATCACCATCATTCGCCCCGTTCTAGTGTCAATTGCCTTTGCTGTCGTGGCCCCGGTTGCATGCTTGTTCGTTCTTAAGCCCGTTACCTTGTGGCTCAACCGGTATCGCGAGACTCACCCGAGTGCAGCACTAAATGATCTCCTGCGCAAGACACAGACCGCCTTCACGTTCCATACGGCGCTCCTCGTTGCTCTCGTCGCTGGCGCTAGTTATGCTGGCACATCGAACCTGTTCGCAGCGTACATTGCCGGCGCAACGATCAGTTGGTGGGATTCTGAGGTACCTCATACTGACACCGTGACCAAAGCAAGGTCAGCACCTCCCAAAGGGAAGTCAGAGGCAACCACCAGTTCTAGCGATGCTTCTTCAGGTTATATTGCAGGTCCTAGCAATCGAAAGGATGCAACTGCCTCTAGGACACCTGCCGAGAGCGCTCAGGCGGCACAGCCCACCCAAGCAGCAGACCTACATGAAGAGATAGACAAATTGTGCGGCGCGGCCATCTACGAGCAGTACTACTACCAAGCTGTGTCAAAAATACTGCAGCCGCTCTTCTTCGCATCGATTGGTTTCTCAATTCCAATCACACGCATGTTCCGCGGAGCAATCGTCTGGCGAGGCATCGTCTATACGATTCTCATGGCGTTCGCAAAGATAGTGTGCGGCCTATGGCTTGTCAGACTATCAGTCGCCCCAATGAAAACTGTTCGCCGCCTGCTGAAAGAATTCAAATTTCCATCTATCCCTCACCTCTGGGGCAAGTCTAAAGCAGAGGTCACAGCGAGTCAAGTATCTACTACCACCCCTATTGGGCCGCCCACAGCTGAAACTGTTGCTGCTCCTTCAGCGCCGACATCTAGTTGCGAACGAAGAAGCTCACCGAGCCCAGCAAAGCCCCTCTCCATACATCCGCCGCTCATTCTTGCACTGGCAATGTGTGCTCGTGGTGAAATCGGCTTCTTGATATCTGCTGTCGCCGAGTCAAACGGCATCTTCTCGCCATCGGGAGTCACCTCAAGCGACCCGTCAGACATATTCCTCGTTGTCACCTGGGCAATCGTGCTCTGCACTATCATTGGTCCTCTTGGTGTTGGACTGTCAGTGCGAAGGGTTAAGAAGCTTCAAGACCGGAAGAATAAGCAGCAAGAAGGTGCTGGCAGGGATGTACTTGGAGTATGGGGCGTAGAGTAGGCTGCTCAGTCTACAGGGCAGACTTCACGAGTGTGAGCATCCCTCTATAGAAATGAGGCGGATTCCTTGTCTTGTTTCTACGGAAGTGGTTTCGTCCGGTTTGTTTGTCGTCCCTGCACCCAGTAAATCCTCTTTCTTTGGCCTGGTCAATTGCACTCAAGGTGCCTTTGAGCAAGTCATTGAAGGCTCAAAGCGTTGATCCATTGCGCTCGTCCGTGGTCTGTGAGTATCACAGAGACCACCAGCGTGGTTAAATCATTGACAGAGAGGTCATATGTCGAATTCAGAAGTCGTGGCGGGGCGGCGGAGCTTGAAACGAGATGTCACAGCGTTGTGAGAGTTGATGGTCGCAGCCAGGCAGCACGAGCAAAACCAACTGCAAGATGCAGCAGCACATCCACCATTGCAACAGCAGGGCGATGCATGCAACGACAATGACAGCTTTGTTGTTATAGCCAATTTTGACATCATAACCCCTTCATTGTCTATTTCTGGCCAAAGAGTCGCGCGGTGGAAATAAACTGGTCAGGAGAACCTTCCACATGTGCTGTGGCGGCGGCTATGGAAGGTTTGCTGTGCGACCCTAGAAGCGTTTCAAAGGCACGCCTAGCCCAACCCACAGCGGCTCTGAAACGCTGACCCCGTTGGCGGCGATCGTGTTGCGGGCGCGCAGCCGGCCCGTCGCTGAGAGATGCTCGTCGCCGTCAACGCGCCGTAGTTGACAGCAAGCAGCATTTTCGAATATTTTCCCGCACGCTGCACACAAATTTTCGTCCAGCTTGCTGCCAGCAATTCAGTGGCGATCACACCCCGGTTCTTCGTAGGCGGGCACTTACAAACTGCTTGTCGATTGGCTGGACGTGCAAGTCAAGAGTCAGCATCTCCTTCCGCCGCTTTAGCGCTTAACCCTCGACGCTGCTAACCCTAGTAGACAGCAGACGGGGCTCCACCAAGTCACGACTCCAACCACTTCGCTGCCGCGCGAAGACGCTCACCGCGCGCCTACTGCTCCCGTCCTCCTCCTTGCTTCCTGTCATATACAGATGCAGCGCTGAGCCCTCGCTTTCGGCGTGACATCGACCTCCACGCATTCCCCACTCACGGCAGGCCAGGACTGTTCGACCGGTGCAGTGCAGCCCGACGGACACCGCCTGCGAGGACTACCGCCAACCCAGCTGCACCAAGACTCTATAGCCTTCGACGATCTTCAAATACCTGGAGCAGGCAGAGCAGTGTTTGGCAACTCTCCAGCTGCATCACGCCCCGCCTGCCCGCTGTTCAACTTGTCAGCCTCGTTGAACCCCGCCATTCACCGCCGTTCGCTATTGTAGAGCTCCCACGCTTCCTGTTGTTGACAGCGTGACTGTGTTTTCATGTAAGCAAGCCTACGCTGTCTTGCCCACAATGAAAGACATTCGTGGTCTCTCTGCTACAAAAGTCAATACCCCCTACTAACCTTACTACAGCATGTATTCGAATAACCAATTCATGGACGCCCGTCCAGCGCCGCAACCACCGACGGGTCGTCCCCGCCTTGCTCTTACACCCAACACCAGCAGCACACTGCCTGGTAACATGGCTGGTCTGAGCATGCAGTCGCCTGCTTACGGCCATAGCTCGTCGATGTCGCTGTCTCGCACACAAACGGAGAGAAGCGTCTCATCATCAGCTGTGGTCAAAGAGGGCATGGTTAAGGTGAAGGATGAGGGTCTGTTCAAGTCGTTTGTCTGGGCCGATCGGTGGCTGGTCTTGAAGGAATTTGAGCTGAACTTCTTCAAGAGCGCAAACGCATCCAAGGTGTCCAACACAATTCAATTGCGAGATATTCTAGGCGTAGAGAGGTCCGACACACAGCCCCTCTCGTTCGAGATTACACGGTCACTTAATCCCAGTAAAGGCTCGTCACCGCCTCGCGACGGACCGACAAAGGTTATCACATGCAAAGTCGAAACAGATGACGATGTCTACTCCTGGATCGACAGCATATACCAACGCTGTCCCAGCATGGGCGGTGTCAGCAACCCTACAAACTTCACTCATAGAGTTCACGTTGGCTTCGACCCAACAAGCGGCGCCTTCGTTGGTTTGCCTGTCGAATGGGAGAAGCTGCTTACAGCCTCTGCATTGACCAAGGATGACTACGCAAAGAACCCCAAAGCCGTGCTCGAGGTGCTGGAATTCTACACCGAGAAGCTTGTCAAGCGATCCGAAGATTCCCAGCAATACTCAAGCCTCACGCCTACCCCTGGCATCAACACTGGATCAGAGAAGCAACTTGGCTATGGCGGCAGTGGAAACTCGGTCGCACCTCCTCGCCCTGCTCCTCCGGCTCAGTATCAGCGCAAGGACAGCTACAGCATGGGGTCGCAGCAGAACACACCACCCACAGCTGGCTATGCAGCTCCGCAACAGAACAGCGTTTCCTCCGCAGACCGCTACGATCAAGAACGACGCAGACAGGAGGAACAGGCACGAATGCAACGTGAGCGAGAGAGGGAGAGGCAAAGGCAAGAACAAGAACGACGAGAGCGTGAGGAATTGGCTGCGTATAATGCTTCAATCCCACAAAAGAAGGTACCAATGGCTCAGCAAGAGTTTGGCGGAGGCGGCTACGATGAACGAGATCCGAGTCCTTCAAGCGCATCGCGCTACAACCCCTCTCGCCCAGCTCCTTCGACCCCAGGATCCCAAAGAGCCCCAGCAGCTCAAGCGCCAGGATCACTCCGCCAGATGGCAGCTCAACGCCCTGCTCCTTCTGCTCCAAGGCAACAGCAGAATGGTTCTGGATACAGCACTTCGCCACAGTCTAAGATCCCAACTTCACAGCAACGCCCACCAATACAACCAAGCCCGAGCTACTCAGGTTCCCAGAACCAGGTTCCTCAAGTTCGTGCCCAGGCACAGCAACAGAAGCAATACCAGGGTTCATCTGCGGCACCGAAGCCACTGAACGTCGCAAAGCCTACAGGAGCGCCCGTCAACGATGCCGTCAAGAAGGCCGAGGCAGCCCTTACCAGCAAGCCCAAGGAAGAAACGCCGCGAAAGGATGTTCGCATGTCCAGCATGTCCGAGACCGAAGTCATGGCGAAGCTCCGAGAAGTTGTCTCGAAAGAAAAGCCACTGGAGTCCTACAACAAGCAGAAGAAGATTGGTCAAGGTGCCAGTGGTTCCGTCTACGTTGCACGCATCCGCGAAGGTGCGAGCTCGCCCATGGCACGTCGCATTCTGCAGGAGAATGGACCACGTGCTCAGGTCGCTATCAAGCAGATGGACCTCCGCAACCAGCCTCGCAAAGAGCTGATCGTCAACGAAATCATCGTTATGAAAGACAGCAAGCACCCCAACATTGTCAACTTCCTTGACGCTTTCCTACAAGAAGAGCAGTCAGAGCTCTGGGTAGTCATGGAATTTATGGAGGGCGGTGCTTTGACCGATGTCATTGACAACAACCCAACTATCACCGAAGACCAGATTGCCACCATTTGCTTCGAGGTAAGGAATTTTACGCTGAGAACGATGGGTTTTGCTAACTTTTGGCGTAGACTTGCAAGGGTCTGGAGCACCTGCACAATCAGAACATCATCCACCGAGATATCAAGAGTGACAATGTTCTGCTCGATGGACGTGGTAATGTCAAGATCAGTACGCTTCTCAGACACTCGCTTTTACTTGGTCGATGCTAACTATACTGTAGCCGATTTCGGATTCTGCGCCAAGCTCACAGAACAACGATCCAAGCGTGCAACAATGGTCGGCACACCCTACTGGATGGCACCCGAAGTCGTCAAGCAAAAAGAGTACGGCAACAAGGTCGACATCTGGTCACTAGGCATCATGGCCATCGAGATGATTGAATCCGAGCCACCCTACCTCAACGAAGAGCCCTTGAAAGCCCTCTACCTTATCGCCACAAACGGGACGCCTCGCCTCAAGAAGCCAGACAAGTTGTCCAAGGAGCTAAAGGCCTTCCTCTCCGTCTGCCTCTGCGTCGATGTTAAGAGCCGAGCTAGCGCATCTGAGCTCATGAGCCACGACTTCCTTAAGAGCGGATGCAGTCTCAACAGCCTCAGCCAGTTGCTCAACTTCAGAAAGAACGGAAGCCACTAAATGCTGAGCTGAGCTGAGCTGGAAAGAGGCGGAGAGGCAGCGCAACGTATTTATCTTTTCTGGGCCTTGCAAATCTTGATCGATACCCTTTCCATATATTTTCATCGATACTTGTCAGTGATAAACGTGCGCCTGCAGCGTACGAGCGAGCAAGCGGAGCGGAGCGAGGTGAAGATAAGGGGACACAGCTTCTGTGCATAGGAAGAGAACGAGTCACGAGTTGGATAACGGCAACTACAGCCCTCTTTTCACAAGAGAATGGCAGTAGCATTTCTTGCTGCACTAAAGACGTAGCTTGGACTGCACATAAAGTAGATATAGCAGTCGAGGGCACGATATATGTTGGAGCATGACCTTATCACGATTTGGGCGCATTACGATAGCGGGATAATTTATTGGAGTTTCGAGATTTCATGCGAGTTTACTACGAGGCATGTTGCACCTTGCGTCCCGATTGGATGTTCTTAGGAGCTTCAAGTTCCGAAGTAGAGGGCGAACATATGTTAACTGGACGGTTCAATGCGAAGACCTGGGGTATGTTGGTTCATTGTGTGCTTCCATGCTACAATGTAGATGTGATATGAAATTCCTCCTCTAAATGCAATGTCCCGGTAATGAACGAGGAGGGCAAGTCCCTGAACGCCTCCCAATGCAATGCGAAATAACGCCGTAACCGAGACAGATACTAGTCTGACTCTCCCCAGCCCTGTGAGACACCTGTAAGACCAGACGCCGCGCTGTTGAAATCCATAAGATGCAGAAACCGAATTCGAAGGAAATGAGCGAAGACAGAGCCAGTGAGCAGGCTACTTGTCATCTTCGTCTTCGTCCTCCTCACCTTCGAAGTCGGAGTCCATCTCCTCGTCGAAGTCGCTCTCGCTGCCGCCAAAGCTCTCGACGTCACTGTCCTCCCAGCTCATTTCGAAGTCACCTTCCTCTTCCTTGCGCTTCCAAGCTGTCTCGTGTGTAGGCATCACGAAGCCTGCAGGGACATCCGCTTTCGAGGCCTCGGTGTCCTTCTTGACCATCTCCTTGTACTGCTCTGGTTGGTTGCGCAGCATTACACTAGCGTCGACATTGGCAGGCGAGGAGGTCTCGGCATCATCGAGGAGCGAGAGGATAGAGAGGAGCACCGTCTCGGCGCGCTGTACTGGCGACCAGCGCTCTGCGGCGAGCTCGCCGGACATCTCGTCATCGCCAGGTGGATGCAGGATTGAAATGCAGAGGCGGCCGTCGGGGTAGATGTTGGGGTGGTAGAGCGGTCGCACGAACTTGAAGTCTGGGCTTGGTGTTAGTCATGCGTCCACCATACGAAAGAGACCGTTCCTGCCATTCCTGGTTCAGGGTGTTGAGGTGACGTACCTGGCGGGGAATGAGGGTAATTGCGGGGGAAGGTCATCTTGGCCTTAAAGTAGCCACCATAGTAGAAGGAGTCGGGATTGAGTACGATGAGGGCCACGCTCCACTCAAAGACGTTGTCGTTCATAAGCTGCAACGCAGTCAGTCATCATCATTGGCGGCCGCCACTCTAGGATCGACATGGAGATTACAAGGCAGCGTACCTCGATGTTGGTCCATGTCTCCTTGCTGAGCGCCTTGAACTCATTCAGGAGTACTCGCTGGGCCGCGTCCGCCATGGTGCCTTCTCTTTCGATATCTGAGTGACCGGTGCTCTAGTCTTCGTGATGGGGCAAGGAAGGGTAGAGCGTCGGTGGGGGTAGATTGGGTGTAATATGGCGGTTGAGAGCACAGAAATTGGTGAAGAGGGTCGGTCAAGTGGTGGGAAGAGCAAAAGGAGCGTTTTAGTGCAGTGAGAGTGGTGTGAAATAAGAGGCGTAGTTAACGCTGAGTGACCAAGCGCACTCGCCGAAGTCAGGGTTCACAGTGGTCTCGCCGGCCGGGTGCTGCTCGTGCTTCACCGCCTGCCCTTTCCAATCGCCCAACAAGCCGATGAATGAACCTGCGTCGACGCTTCCGTTGCAGAACGCCGTTGCCTCTTGTCTCGACCGTTTCAGACTCTTCTGCTCGGGATTTGTTGCATCTTTATTTGGCGACTTGAAAGGTACGCTATTGTTCACTCGCCGATTTCGGCACATGACGCCTGAGGATGATGAGCACCATGTTCACGTCACCTGCGCTAAGGCGCAGTCCGGTGCCCAAGGTGATGGTGAGAATGACATCGTGCTTGTGCATGACAATTTCCGGTGTACAAGGAAAACTATGGCCAAGGAATCTTTATTAGACTCGCACGCTGGACTGTATGGTTGAGCTCATATTCCTCGACACGGGGGTATCTTAAACCTTTGCTCAATCCACAACATCGAAATCTTTTGTAGTGTCAAGCTTGTTGATGGACGGATATATCTCATAAGCTATACATGCACCTGAAATCCAGTATCAAACAACCCATCCCATCCAACGCCGTGTGCTGTGTTGTAGAAAGCAGAATATCTAGTTCTTTCGGCTCAACCATGTCTGCTTGAGGATCGCGGCATCTATCATCGTCTCGTATCCCTCCCTCGAATTACTCAACTCTACCATGCCATAATGATTCGCCAGAGTAGCTGGTCAAGTATGCGTTTAGGACAGGCTTATCGCGCCGCGACGGCTTTCGCGGATGTGAAGGAAGGCCTGGAAGCCGCAGAAGACGAAGAAGCCCTGCGAAGTGTTAGCATCTATACTTGCGATATATCCTGTGGTTCCATATACGATGTAGATGAACACTGCTCCAAAGACTGCGCCAGCTACAGCGTTGCCGTCCTCGGGGTCCTCTTCCCCACCCAATACTGTGTGACTACCCGACTTGAATAGCGCTCCAATGATGGATAAAATGACGATGGCGAACACGGACAGGACAATGCAGGTCCATGCATTCATGGCAGAAACGACTGGCTTGACCATGGTGGGCGACTTCGAGCTCTGAGGCTATTCAGAGGCGGGAAGCTTATCGGCGGCGGTGGCGCTTCGAGCGCAGATCGTGAGGTATGTGCTATTGGGGGCTGGGCCGACGGAAGGGCCTGTAGGCGATCGAAATGCGGTATCGTGAGCGATGAATATGTGTGAAGGTGGTCGATGTTGAATGTGAAGGGCTGCACCGCCGCCGCGGTTGAGCCTGGAAGCTGAGTTCGTCATGGCCTTGGCACCGCCGCACGCACTAAGAGCTCTATGCAGCAGGCATCTTCAAACATCAACACTCACTCCAGGCCTTTTATTCATCACTTTGTTATGTGGTTTCATTTCATCGGAGGAAGTCAATTGTCTTGTAAGCCAAAGGCTTTTCAAATGGTGAACGCATACGACCCAAACTAGTCATGATGACCGCAACCGAGGAAAACTTCGCGCCTCTGCTGAACCCAAAAGTCAAACGCAGATAGCGAAGTAGACCCCTCGACCTCCGCAGCTTCATACCAAGGTGATACGATAATCTCGCGAAACGTTCGCCTGTGTTTTACCCAAAGACCAGGAAAGGACCCGAGTGAGACTACCTTTGCGCATCGACCCAAAAAGCAGATGCATGTCCACCCTGCCAGACAGCTATCCAAGCTTAGTTCGATGCTCGGCCGTGCGTAAGATCAGTTGTCGACAGCCACATGGAGCTCTCGGTATGTCAAGCGACCCTTGCCTCCACCTGGGTAAACCTTCGATACCCATGTATCAGCACTTCGAAAATCTCCTCTGGGACTATCGATCGATGGGAGCATCCAATTCTTGCGGTCTTCTTCAGCACGTCGTACTTCACGAAGCTGTCCAGTGGTGAGCTTGACCCAACAGAGTTCGGCGATCTCAGAACATATCTCATTGAATAGCTTGAGCTTCTCCTCCCAAACAGTGACATCTTCACCCTTCAACTTCAACAGTACCGGTGTTGTACACGATGTTGCATCCGATCGATCGATTTACTCGTGAACCTTCCGCCGGTGAAGGAGGCAAAACGTCGCTTGGTCATTACGTTTGCACCGCGAGCAATAAGGAGCTGTTCTGGAGCATGGCATGTCAGCAAGAATGCATTGCATACACGATGTGATCCAGGTGATGCGTGGTTTGTCGGGGTCGAAGGGCGGTGCTACCGTGTCCCTCAAAGTCCGTTGTAGAGTGTTGGTGTCTCCTCCATATCTTTGTCGACTTCAGTTGGCGGATCATGGGAGGCTACGCTGTAAACATACGAGTCGTTGGGGGCAAGATCTGTCTGGACGAATGCTGTATTGTGTTGTTCTGGCTTGCCCCCTGGGCTCCATCCTTGGCTGTGGGCATTGGGGACGTCCTGAACATCATCGAGGAGACGAAAGGGAGCAACTGCTGAGTCGGTCATGACGCTGCACACTTCGAAATTAGAAGAGAATCGTTCACTGCAGGTCTCCAAACTCTAAGGTTTGCTCTAATACAAAGAACTCATTTGTCTAGAGATGATTGGCAAACGGAGCGTTGCTTGGAAATCATCAATCGCTTACAGACTATATGAAAGATCAACAGTGAAGTCAGGGAGGCAGGGTGATAGAAGTAGGGTCGCACAAATAGCTTTTGATGCTAGTGTGAGATTGTAAGGTCAGCTCCATTCTTCCTCACTCACACTTTCCTCTGATGAACAGTGACTCGTTACCATCGTCCAAGGTTGTGACACGCTAGAACACTCTTGCGATTACGAACATGCGTCATTAATCGATAGGCTACCACGAGGCGGACTCAAGCGACATTCCCTTTGCTGCCAGCGCAACGGTTAGCTCATCATGCTTCATGCGACGGTATTATGAACAGACTTTGCTGTTGAAGCGTCACGACCTTCCGCGGGATCCTACACAGATCATGGTGTTGCTCGGTCAACGGCTACGATAAGACACCTGAAACAGCCTCTCGAGCGAAAGTCGCCAGCCATTGACTGGATACGATACGACTCGTATTGTGACTACCACTTCGACATCTGAACCAACCACGTTGCCAACGACGGTTGTACAAGGGCAGACGAACAGATTTCATGTAGCAAAGCGGGTCTCCTACAAAAGGTGGAGGCGCAGCTGCTCCTACTGGCTTGGCAAGGCAGTATTGCTGTAAGGCATCCACGCCAACATTACTAGGCGTACTAAGTCTCCACGAACATCAACACACAATATGGTCCCTTATATACCTACAATATGCACGGTTTGTAAAATCAATATTCAGAGAAGTTTCTTCACTACCACATAATGGCACTTACCTGGCCACGCCTCCTTACCATTCTCAACGGCGGCGCGCTGTTCGTCTCTCTAGCGCTCGTCGGCATCTCTCCTGCTATTCTGTATCTAACGAGCCATGGCATGCGCTGGATGAACAAAGCATACCCGCAAGGCTACTACGAGTGGTATCGTGGCCCGAGCTACGATATGGACACAAAGCACAAGGTCAGGCTGATGTACGAGTCAACAAACGAGTACATGATCTTCACAGCAGCTGCTGTGAGTGCTATAGCTGGACTTGTCGGTATCATTGGGTTCTTCCTCACCCGAAAGGTCCGTTTCAAAACCCCCTATATCCTGGGAGGATGTCAACTAATCCACACTTCAGACCTCAAAACCCACCAGTAGCAAGTCCACGCTCTTTCTCCTCGTCCTCCCCGGATCCGTGACCTTTGTCATCACATTAATCGCCTTCATGTTCACACAAATCGTCTACGACACCGACAACAAAGGAAAATGCAACTGGGAGCAAGGCTACAACCCTGGCAACGTCTTCAAGTGCACCCGTGAGCAGGCAGCCTGCAACATCGTGGGCTACTTCACCATGGAGAACTCCAAGATACAGCAGATCTTCGACACTAAGCGAGGTATATGTGGTGAGACGCAGACTGGAAGGCACTTGGTTGCCCCGCTTTTTGTTGCGAGCTTGTTGATGTGCGGGCTCACTGTTGCGAAGTTTCTGGTAGAGAAGAAGGAGAGTAGGTTTGTGGAGAGTGCGGATGAGAGGGTTGAGAGATTGGAGGGGCAGGAGGAATAAGCATGGGTTGAAGAGGAGGGAGGAGCTGGATGGTCCATGGGGACTCTTTAAATAGTGGAGTGAAGGCGGAGGTTGAGGCAACGCTTGTGTTAGTAGTTCGAGAAAGGGAAGCTATGATTGATGGACAACGATGATGTAGATAGTATGTATGTATGATTGTATGAATTAGTATCGCCTGAATAGCTGTTGATTAGCGGTCGAGCAACGGTAAAGCATCGAGAGATCTGCAGGATGACGACGCTGTGAAGAATGCTGTACAGCACATCAAGGAGAATCAGAGGCGAGTTCAGACGCTAGCCGAGTACTTCAAAGACCGCCTCTCGGTATGGTGATCACCCAAAGTCTTTCCGATTGGCACCGTACAACAGTTGATGATCAGTCATTCGTGCAAGATTACCGAATTTTTCGGCAAGAGTGTCTTCGAAATTAAGCTGGTTGCACAGCGCACCACGCAAACACAGTCGACTTCCTCCAGGAAACCATGGTTCCAGAAACTACCCATTCATGGAAGAGAAACACTGCTTCAAACTAGTATACCGGTAAGTATAAGTCAAATCTGTCGGCATGGCTTCAATTTTTCCTTGCCCTCTTATTTCGTCTTGATGCTGAGCTGATTTGACGTACCAGATTGAGTATCACTGAACGAAAGGATCGGCACAAAGCAAGCTGGAACAATTCAGTCTTGCTAGTTCTGCCTAGATGTGCAGCCAACGTTGCGTGCGGTGTCAAGACGTTGAGCTGTGGCCAAGTAAACAAACGTGCACTTTTCTCACAATGATGATTGATCGGAAAATAGTGTTGAAACACACCCACAGACATTGGTCGTCTTGATGCCATGGACAGAGGTTAGCTTGGTGAATTCCTCATAAGTAACGCCTTCGCCCACACGCAGCCCGCACTCTCTCATACACGAAATGGTACACTGAACCATTTCTCTATGAAATTACAATTATACTACTTTGTAAGTCCTCTCCAACTCCCAGTGATGAGAGCGTGTCTGACTGAATTTCGGTGCTGATGAAGTCTATTTGAAATCGAGTGTCCGACAAATGTCCATTCAACATCCATGCAAATGCAGCTCCTACTGCAAGACCTGCGGCACCAGCCCCACCAAATACCCATCCTACACACTCATTAGCCTTCACCTTCCCTTGCATCCAAACTCAACAAGGAAGAGGCACTCACCGGATCCCTAATAAACCCAACTGCGCAAATAATGTTGCAAAACCCTCACTCAACGCCTTCCCACTCGTAACTTCTTCCTGCCTCTCCCACTTCGTAATCGGCACAACCTCATTCGGCCCCTCGCCCACATCTTTAACAATAGTAACCCCGGCCATGGCAGAACTTCAACAGCCCCAAAGTGCTCGTGAGAACAGTGTACGGACTCGTGTCTCTTGCGTAGGCTTCTGGATCAGCGCAGTGTTCAGGTGTCTGCGGATACCCGGGATAATACACTATCATGGGACCGCGGTCGCGGGTAAAAATGAGGCGCATGCCCATTAGCTCGATGTAGAAGTGTAGGGTACGCGCGAGGTTGGTGATGCGGAGCATGAAGTGGTTTAGGCGATAGCCTATTGTGAGGTCAGAGTCTAATATAGGCGCTGTGTCAATGGGTGAAATGTGTAGTCATGGTCTTGTATCTGGTGGGCGAAGGAAGCTCACATATAGAAGCTGCTAGTACTATCACGTGGTGGCTATCGGGGAATCCTTCACCTCCGACACTGTGCTCATATTGGAGGTTGGTGCAGTGATAGAAGTCTATTCTCTTGGGCGGTTGTATAGCGAGGGGGGGGGGGGTGATCTTGTTCTAAGGAAGTTCTCCAATAGATTTAAAAGACAAAGACAAGTATTATCAGTGCCATGATGCAGTAGTTACATGCCGTGCAGGACTTTCCGTCTGATGCCGGGACCTCCTTCGGGACCACTTGGGGTCCGCATCTCGATATAATGCAAGCCTCATGTGGGCATATATAGGGAACATATCAGTACTTCAGTAGTATTCAAGATGCTCATCGTACAGTGACAGCAATAGGATATCCAAGTCAGATTACTGATCGACTGCACCTGGGCTTGTCCTTCACCACAGATCCTATCTTGCCCTCACTTTACCATACTACAACACAAACCCACCCAAAGCCACGCTTCTCCAGTTTCGTACAGGGTGTGTATCTTCAAGTTCCACACACCACCAGAGCACCTCCTTTGCCTTCTCAATCTGGCCGCTCTCTTCGTACGCCCTCGCAAGCGCATACCATGCTTCTGAGTAATCCCACCCAGCACCAAGCTTTGTCAGCGTAGAGAGCAGCCCGAATGCACGATCACGAGCAGCGAGACGGCTGAGCTCAGGCGGCGAGAGCTGGTTTTCAGCAGAGGGAATGTGGGAGGTGAGGTGGTGTCTCTTCGGCTCTGGCTCCGATGATGTCTGAGACGGAGTAGGTGCATGTGCTGGTGAAAGCAGTGTGATTTCTGTGGACTTTGTGGGTTCCATCGGGATGTCTCGGCTGTAAATGTCGAGCAGTATGTTGGACAAGCCCACGATGCCTTGCGGGTGATCTGGGAAATGTAGGAGTGCGCGCTCGAAGTCTGTGCGAGCTTCGTGTTTCAAAGACTGGGCTACGAGAAGTTCACCGCGCTAGGTTTATTAGTGATACATTGTGAGAGAGGGCCATGTGTGAACTTACTGCGGTGTAGGCATCGGCCCACAGCTCCTCAACACTCTTGCCACCTCCCCAGCCTTTGTCGGCAAGCGCCTTGGCTGTGGAGAACTCCAATGTGAGCTCGTTCTCGAAGGTCTCTACCAACTTCAGAGCCTCGATGATAGCTTCACTAGCGTCCTCGAAAGCCTGGGCTCTAGCGTAGAGGCCGGAGGTGAAGAGCCAGATATCAACCAACAACGATACTTTCTGCCGTCGGTCTTGAAGCTTGGAAAAGCGAGGATCCGGAGGTATATAGTTGACGTCGGGCAGCGGAGCTGGAAGTCGGGTGTCTTGTCTCGGAGGCTGATGTTCATGGCCTTGCGGGGGTGAGGCGAGGGGTAGATTGTGGGCAATGGGCCGAAGCGGTGTCTCGCTGCTCTCGACTGACTTCCTAGGTGAGCTTGCTGCGGATAAGGGTCGAGGAGCGTTGGTTCGGACTGGTGTTCCATTTGATGCGTTTTCTGGCAAGGGTGGTACTTCTGCAGCTTGGCTGTTCCCTGTCACAGATTGTTGACTGAGACTCGCGCTACGTTTTCTCAGCTTGCTTGAACTCCGGCCGACACCTGGCTGGCCATCTTCGTGTTTGTGATGGTGAAATACATGAGGGAGGTGGTGATGACCGTTTGCATGTGGATTTGCGCCATCTTCAGTCACCTGAATGGCAGGGGCTGATCCTGCTGCAGGGTTCAGGATTGAGGAGCTGCGTGCCGAGGCGTCTTTCTGTATCCGGACGGAGCCACGCCCACGGAAGATGCTTCCTTTCGTTGTCCCAGCACTGCTCTTCGGTGGCGCTACTGTAGCTGGAACTTGTAACTTGACCTTCTCGATGGCTGGCGAACCGAAGAGCCTTCCATAGAGCGCCAGAAGCTCATCGCATCCATCCACAGCAGCAAGCGCGCCATCGGTAACTTCAATGAGTGCCAGCTGGGTCATCTTGATCTGAAGTATACCACTCTTCTCGAAACTGCCCATACGATTCACAATACCATCTGTGCTCACATTGTGACCACTGGCGTCCTTCAGGTGTTCACTGTGGAACGTCCCAGTGTCCGTTCCAAACAGAATTGTTGGATCTCCAAATTGCGCAAAAGCTGCCTCGCAAGCCTTTTCCGCCGCAGTATACTCGGAACGCGATGTCAGTAATAGGGCGAGGAGGTGCCACAACGGAATCAATTTTCGCTCGCGGCCAAATTCAGTGGCTGATCCACTCGAAAGGACACCATCGGTACTGTAGGCAGCCTGTGTCTTCGTAGCTGAAGAAAGAGCACGCTTGGCGACCTTGATCGCTCCAACTATGTCCCGCGTCTCGGCCAGTACAACAGCCAGAGCATACAACGCATCGATGTTGCTCGAGTCTTCTAGAGTCGGCGAAAGAGACTTGCGCAGTAGCTGAATGGCTTTGGCCTGTATTCCCGCTCTTGTATCTGCCTCATAAGTGAACTGTGCCCAATGTGCTTGTTCGACACCAATAGCGCAATATGCAACAGCTAACGCAGTGGGCTCGACCAGTGCCTTTTTCGATGGTACTTCGTTGGCACCGGTAGTTGGCTTAGTATCTTCGTAGTGGTTCAGCCATTTTTCGAGGTTGCGCCCGATCTCGACAGCCTTCTCGGCCTCTTTGCGACACCCAAATCGGCACAACAATCGAATTGCTTCCGCTGATGTTCGAAGAACGGTGCTGTCATTATCGACGCCTTCGTCGGTCTTGCCTTCCTGTTCCGCTCGGTCCTTGCCTCGTGTCACGATCTCGATGTATGAGTCGTAAGCCTTGAATGCCAACTCGAACTCGGCCAAGGACGCGTGTACGATAAACAGGTACCGCAAGATCTGTGTAGAATGGAAGGTCTTGGTTGCAGCTCGATACAGGATCTGAGACGCCGAGTAAGTATTGCTGACAGTCTGTGTTCAGCAGCAGAACACTTACATCGATCACACTGCGCCCCACACCCTCTTTTCCACCTTCGCCAAGATCACTGTCAGTCCACGATGCGCCACAAAGCAAGCGCCAGTTGTCAATCACGGAGTCTACCCAAACGTCGATCTCGTGGTTGCTTTCACTGGCCTTGGGGAAGCGGGTCTCTTTAATCAGCAAGTTCTCGTATATTGTCTGCACGCGCTTCAGTTCGGCGCTTTGTTGCAACCGTACGCTGGTTTGACTTTGTATTGCGGGCTTCTCAGATGTAGCTTGCGCTGCACCTGCATCGTAGGGCAGATCGTGACGAATGATGGTCGAAAGAGTGTCGTAGTAGGACTTCCAAGCGAGGCGACGAGATTTGGCGGAATCCGCAGTATCTGTGCCAGTGTTTCGTCCTGCACCCTCGGAGAACTTGTCGAAAGCACGGAATATTTGCAGAGCCTCGGAAGACCCGATGAGGCCACTGCTGCCCTCACTCTGATCTGATAGCTGACACAATCGGCCGAGCAGGCATTCGGTCCACATTCTGAACTGTGCTGAGTCGCCAGTTTGTGAAGACAGCCATGGCAGGATGGAGGTGTATGTCTTCACAGCGTCAGCGGTAGCGCCTGTCTTCTCCTGGGCAGAGCCTGCGTTGCGTCAGCTGTGGACTATGTACGTGGTGTGACTTCTTCCACCCTTTAGGAAAGTCCCCTTGACCACACAGACTTTCGACCAGCCAGTGAGTGACCCCGCTTGCCCGGAGAGTCTGGCAGCAACTGTATCGAGGCTGTCAGGAAGGCGCGACACAGCCAGTTCTGGCTCGTCCAAGACATAGTGCAGCCATCCCAAGCAGACAGTAGCCTGGAAGCCCTCCTGTGACAGAGCACTCTCTCCTTCAATCGCGCTGAGCAGGGTTGGGGCGGTCTGGGAAAGGCCCGAGGAGGCCGTCGAGGCTGCGGTCAAGGGTCGCTGGGTGGTGTAGGTGGCTATCTGCGCTTCAGAGCGACCAGTGAGTGTGAGGCCTTGATGCGCCGTTAGCCCTCATGAAGCCGGTCGTGGATAGCAGGGTCGCGGACATCGGCGGTGTGGTGCATGCTTTTCGACTTTCCTGCACAGCTCGGGCACGTCTTTCCATCGTCCGACACAGCGGGCCTCATCCAGTTGCTGAATGTAGCCCACAGCCTTTGCGCTTTCGGTCTGCGCCGTTGTCAGCTACTGAAGCCATGCGGAGGATGACGTTGCTCTCGAGCTCCAAGAACGTTGTCATGGGCATATCGCGAAATACCTACCACCATGGTGTTAAGGATATGTGTGTCGCGCTATACGTGGTCGCAAATGACCCAGAATCATGTTCGAGGAGAAATGCAATCTAGAAAGAAGAGGGCCATGGCCGTACGCCTGTCACTGCGCATCTGCAACACTCCGCCCGCATAGACGATTTGCTGGCAGACCCCTGTTCTACTAGTTCCGTGCACGGACCATCCCAACGCTCGTACATGTCAACTTTTTCTTGTTACCCATCCGAACGCATCAACGCGGCTTTGCCAGGGCGATCTGGAGCAGAAACTGGAAGAAAGAAACAGACGACATCATGGCACCGTTAGCAACGGAATTGGCGACTCTCCGAGCGCTCAGCTTTCGCATCTCCTCTACTGCGACCGCACAACTTCCGCAACATGTGCCTGCCATAGCAGCATCCTTGTCCAACTGCAGGACCCTCTTGTCGTCGACCCAGACGTCCAACGCTAAATCTTCCTCCGAGGCTTCAGTTGCAGTACACAAATACCGGACTCTACTTTCAACTTTGCTCCAAGACCGAACAGTCCAAGGACGATGGTCGGCAGTTGTTCTCATCAAGGCTACCATCGAAGTTGGCGGCTGGGAGACTTTACAAAAAGCTCTTCCCTGGGTGCGCGGGCTTCTGGGCATATTGGCAAAGCCAGATCCACCAAGCTCGAAGAAGTTGTGTATCATTACGTTGACTCGCATCTTCATGCTTACACGAGAGTACCCCACATTGATACGCGAAATCACCACTCCCTCGTTACCGGCTTTTGTACAATCTGGTCTGCAAATTGCTAGTTCGAAAGCATCAGCTAGCCTTCTGCTTACCGTGCTCGAGTGCTTTTCCGAACTGCTACCGCGACATCCAACCATTTTCCGCCCTCACCTTAAGACGTTCCGACCACTCCTATGCCGCCTAGTTGCACCCACCCCATCCACAGGACTGTCCAAGGACCAATCGCAAGCCGCGCCCGTTGCTGTCCCGACTGAGGTCTCAATTGCAGCACGTAGACTGTTTGTCCAGCTGCCATGCTGCGCGCCTAAAGGTGCTTCTAGTGAAGAATGGGAGAATGCACTGCGCACCACAATCGGTGGCGTGCATCGCGTTGCTGACAGGGTTTTCCGTGCGGTTCTTGAGGATTGGCAGTCTACTGTGCGAGAAGCACCTGCCAACGGTCATACTTTGGACAGCGAAGTCCAGGATCTTGAGGACGATTACTTGTCTCTGCCTCCGTGGTCCGGGATTTTTGCAGGCAGTGAAAGACTTACTGGCTTACTTCGGCTTGCCAAAGAGTACCTGGAAAGCCCGACCGCAAATGCAGTAACCTTCAAAGTTGGGGTCATTATGGATTTGATCACTCGGATGCTGTCTCTCACGATACCTGCGTCTGGATCAAAGTCGTTCCAGAACACTGTAAGAATCAACAACCAAGTCAGCAAAGAAGAGCGGGAGAACCTTTGGCTAGTGCTACCTGCCATCCATGTGGCCACTATCGAGCTGCTGCTTGCTATGGCGCACCGACTGCAGGCAAGCATGTTGGCTATCGATGCTCTGATTCTTGATCAGCTAGTTTGGGTCTTTGGTTCCGAGAAGGACAATGCGCACGTACGCACAGCCTGCTATCTGGCTATCGCAGCTCTACTAGAGCGATCGGGCGTGACTCTGCCCAAGTCGTCCGTTGACTCGCTTGTTCAAGTCATGCGCACCTGTTGTGAGGATTTACTGCCTTCAGAGGTCAGCCCCAGCGTAGTCAAGGACACTCCAGGACAGGCCAAATCAAAGGGCAGCAGTCAGCCTCAAGGTACTGCAAATGCAGACTCTTTCCTTGGCTCGAAGACTGTCAACGATCCCACTGCCAGTTTCGCAGGCCTGAAAGACGCAGCGTACGAGTTGCTACCGGTACTACTATCGGACGTACGTGCGCAATACCTCTCGGACTCGTTGAGGGCACGTCTGGACCGCACTGCGGTACTCGCCCAGCATAAGGATGCCATGTTAGCAAGTGTGTTGAACCCGCCGCCCAGCAAGAGGTTCGGCAAGCCGGCTGCCAGTATCTTGCCGCTTATAGCTAGGTCTTTCCAAGGAGATAAAGACATCGAAGGCATGTTGCGACCCCGAATGCCCGTTATCCGTCTCGGAGCCCAGGATGCTGAGCTGGAGGATGATGTCGAGGAAGAAGAAGAAGAAGAAGAAGAAGCGGAAGCCGAGGCGGAAGAAACTTTGGAAGATGCTGAACAAGCAAGCGAGCCATTTGTGGGCCAAGAGTTAAACCCTATGCTGAAAACAGCAGGACCTAATGACGTCGTCATTCGAGATTTCGCCATGAAAGATGCGCCCTTAGCCGATGAGATTGCCGCTGCAGGGACTTCCACATCCGCAGCCGAAGAGTACGCGCAACCTGAGGTAGCGGGCAAGCGACCTCACACCGGCGAGACCCCTCTCTCGCCTGCCAAACGAGTACGGTTCGGCGAGGCAGAGTATGCCGCAGCATCCAGCATGCCGCCAGCTGCCAACAGAGCTGTTCCACCCGTTGAGAATACCAAGAGTGTGGACGTGCCTGCGACATCAAACTTCACTGCCACCTCCACCGCCTCTGCGATACCAGATCTGCCAGAACCAGGTGAAGGCGGTGGCGACAGCGACGATGACGATGATGTTGTGCCGCTTGTATTTGGCCAGGATACCGACGACGAGTCCGAATAATTCATCAGAGATCTAGAACGTTTCGTAGATCATGGTTCGTTGTAGTGGTGGACCAAGGTTCACGGTGAATGCACGGACCTTCTCTCAATACATCCGCGATTGCTCTCTGTCTGGTTCCCACGAACACCACTTTCTTTCTGAAATACTCGAATCGCAAAGTTAATACTGAAAGACCTAGCAAATACCACTATGCACTCTCAACCCGCCCAACCACTTCTACTCAAAGTACGACATGCCGGCCACGCGAAGATTAGAACCTACTGAAGCCCTCCAGCCTGTTGTATTACGATACGAAAAGCACCAAGACACCATCGCCGTCAATTCCATAGAGGGAAACGACTACAACTACGGAGTACAGTTGAGAGGAGTCGAACATTACCTCCACACACTCCACCGCCTCGGCTTAGACAACAAGCCTTCGCTCGACCACATCGACTACCGCAACCTTGACAATCTCCAGGACTTCCCGTTATCCCACTACGCCTTCCCAGACGAACCTTCACCGCTTACGGAAGTTGGTGCACCCTCACCGCCCTCTCCCCAATCCTACAATCAACCCATCTACACAGGCACAACGCATATCTCCGCCGTCTTCCTCTCAATCCTACGCATCGCGCAACAAAACCTCCCACACCTCAACCTCGTCTCAGCGCTGAATCACGTACCGAATATCCGTCCCACAGACCTCGCCCCTCCACTGTTCCCGTCTGCGCCGGGGAACCTCGCGCCCCAACTTTTCCTTGATGCTTCCGCGCTGCCAAAAAGACCCGGAGACGAGGACATCACCATCGCGTTCTTACCGTATTTCTACAACGGCGGGTCACAACACGCAATCGGGTACTACAACGTCATCACATGCCCAACCCGAGGGCGGGTTCTGGGTACAGCCTTTTTCACGCCATGCTCGGAAGTGGATTTGAGGCGCTACGGATTGGTGGAGTACATAGAGGGCTGGAAGGATCTGGGTAGGGATGGTAGAGACGAGGATGGGATTGCAGAGATAAGGTGTGCGGGGTGTTGGGAAGGGGTGTGGTTGGAGAGGGATACGGTGGAGGAGTATGATGAGTGGAAGGTGGTGGTGAGGGCTGCGAGTGTGTGTTGGGAGGGGAGGATGGGGCTTACTGTTCGGGGGGAGGTGGAGGGGTGAGGAGCGAGAAGGAGTGGATACAGAACGTGGTAGAGAGGTCGTGAATGATTATCGATACCAAGGATAGAAGAAAGACGTTATGAACCGTAGGTCTGCCGACATACTGTACTTTGGAGACGCGCTCTGGTTTCGTCAGCCTACGCATCCCGCAGTGAGACCTATACTATCACGATGTGCGTATCGCCCAGTGCTCCGAGAAAGGCCAACGTACTGCGCCGCTCCGCATCCGAAAAGACCCCAAGTCGCACGTAGTTCAGCTCTACAGTCTATCTAAGAACAAGACCGTCGATCGCGTCCAAACTTTCACCTGTTGGCGACATTGATGAGTCCTCCTTTCTGAGTGAGAGGAAGTAAATGGTATCATCTATCGTAGACTGATCCGGCATCTCATCAAAGTTGATTGCAGGGAGGTCGTGTCTCGATGCATTAGTGAAGTGAGTCTGGGGCGCGGACGCGGCAGTCTGGCTGAGGTGCACTGCACCGAGACCTCTAATGACAGTATGCTGTGAGTGTTTATGCGCTACACCATCCCAGTATCCTCTCGCAACCTTACCGCGTATATGTAATGAGTATGTGTTGACCATCTCAATCTCAACCAATCTGTAGCCAATCTCGACGTGAAGGACTCTCGCTATGTACGCCTCACCGGATGATATCTTGAAGCACTGCAAGTACTGAAATGGACGGCCCTTGCTGAAAGCTATGACCAGGTAGGTGCTCGGTGACCTTACTGTTTTTTTTAGCAGCCTTCTGTGGTTTTGCCAAAGAAGTTCTATAGGGAGGAAGACGCGCCAGAGTCCTGCATAGTAATCTCCAAGATGTAAGCGGACCCACTTCCGCGGAGGAAGGACCCTTCTACCTTTGGTTGGCTCGCAGGGTTGGCGCTTTCCACTTGCGATCGTTCTTGAACTTGGCAACGCCCTTGGGGAGCGCGTACGAAGAACGGGGGCAATACTCAGCTCGAATGAAATTTTTCAACTCAATTGTGATGATTCTACCGGAACGCAAGCTTGGTGTAACAACTGAATCCGTAAAGCATCACTTGCCCCTATCGCGTACAGAAGCAACAAGCTTACATGCTTTTACCTCCAAGTATCGTTGACCGTCGCACTGCTGTCACATCCGGCTGAAGTAGTATACCTCCTGTTAGGATCGCTCTCCCACACGACCGCACCGGCCGACGTTTTGCGGATGTACTTGTACTCGAAGACCGTGGAGGCAGGCAGATCGATATCAGCAGTCCAAAGAGGGTCACTGCTTGTGTACTTGCTAGCACTGAGAGCCTTCGCGCTGTTAGGGTCCCAGTTGCCGAGTTGGGTGAGCTGGCCAGTCACGAAGATGTTGTCGCCAAAGGTCGTCGTTGCACGGACGTTGAATGTGATCTTCGCGTTGCAAGTGGGAGTACCGGTGCAGGACGTGGGAGGCACGTTGTTGGATGGCTCGCCCCAGGTTGGGCTGACGACGCCGGCGCGACGCTCGGTAGCAGTCAGGAAGGCGGCGTAGGACCAGGTCAGATCGACAGCAGACAACGCTGCGCCGGTGTTCTTGTCGAATTGCTCAGCAAGGCCGCCGTTGGATGGGGTGTACTTCTGGACAACAGCAATGTAACCATCGGCATAGGTCTTGACCGCGGATGTGATCGAAGTGTAAGTTGCAGAGTCCTTGGTGTATGTTCCGGTGACGATTGAGGGTACGAGATCTTTGAAGAAGGCGAGAGAAACCGAGTTGACGGTGATGGAAGCCTGCTTGTCCCACTGATAAAGAGCGGAGTACAGTTGCTCAGCCGCTGCCAGGGTGGTAAGGTACCATGGGTTGCCGTTGTAGTAGACATCCTCGGAGTATCTTCCGACTGCAACAGCTTTGCCTTGAGCGATACCCGTATTGATGGCGTATACAGAACGGAAAGAGTCAGTCACGGCCTTGTGGTTGGCAAGCGCTCGGGCAGAGCAAGGCTGGAAAGTAGCGTCGGTGCACTTAGCGTTAGGGTCGAACGTATGAATGGAAGAGATAAGAGAGTTGGCATCCTTTCCTGTGCGGCCGTCGTTGACGTTGATGTTGGAGTCGATGTAGCTGCCAGTCCAGAAGCTCTGTGCGAAGCAGAGAACTTGTGGTGCTGCGGCCGCGCATCCACTGCAGGTCTGGTTGAGCTTAGTAGCAAGGGCTGCACCTTCGACGAGAGCACGGTGAGATGCAGCAAGGGTGAAGAACGAGGAACCGTTGACCTCCTCCCAGAGATCGAAGCCAGTCTGGTTCCAGTAGCGAACAGTGTACGCAAGGTCCTTTGCAATGACTGGCCAGACAGTGTTGAGAGCTTGGGTCTTTCCGCCGTTGTCGATCAGCCAGTTGGCGTAGATGGTCAGAGCTGTCGCACGGAGAGGTGGCCCATCACGCTGAGGGCGACCCCATGCACCAGTGAATGCGGTGCGGTCTACATTGAACTTTGGTTCACCGAGTCCACCCGAATCCGGGTCTCCACTCGGATTCGAAACACCTTGAAGGTAGGCCTGGGCAGTTACGTAGTCATCGATCTTCTCGCGAAGGGATGTGTCGCCAGCAATGAAGCGCTCGACAAGTGCCTTGTATGTAAGGGCAGCGTCACGTGTCCAAGTGTACCAGTCTGTAGCCCATTAGCCTGGTCAAAAAGATTTTGTATGCATTATTTACTTACAGTCAGGGTTCGAACGCGAAGGGCTGGCTACAACGATACCAGCTGGGACGCCAGGTGCCTTACTTCCACCTCCACCAATGTTGGCTAGCACACCGTTGATTGAGATGGTCGTCTGGGCCTGGATGAATGCATCGATAGTCGTCTGACGGCTCTCAAGATCACCAAGAGGCGAACTTTGAGCGCCAGAGAATAGAAGTGCCGCTGGCAGAGCTCGAAGGATCGACGTGAACAACATGGTGACTGGTCTTGCGAGGAGTGTCGGTGAGCTTGATGATCATTCCTTCAAGGGTCACTGGTCATTTTATACCCAGAATCATGAGGTCAATGTCCTGGATCATCAGTACGACGATGCCTGTCGCTTGTCCGGCTCTGGTAAACATCAACAGGCACCAAGCAGCGGGCGTTAGCGTAGTCCCATGCTACCACGGAGGCGTGAGGACGATGATGGACATGATTGAAGCAAAGCGGTCCGACGGTGGGCAAATGAGAGGCGTGGCCAGCTGAGGCTCATTTAAAGCTGCGTTAGCGTCCGGTTAGACCCACCAATCAGACCAAAGAGATGCGAACCACGAAACAAACATGTGAATGGAGAGAAAAGCCAAACCGGACGTCGTTACTCATGCCCCAGACTTAATCCTGGCCAATTACTGCACGTGGTGTGTGGGGGAGCATGACGCCTTCCTAACCCGACATTAGCTTGTGCGCTTAGAGAACTCGCGCATCTTGCGGTCCGACATCATCACTCGACCATACTGTGACACCACACCACAAGCAGGTACAGGTCCAATGCGTCTTCACTTCATGTCGTGATTCAATTTCCGGGCCACGCGACGACCCCGCCTTCCCCAGTAATTTTGCGGCTGCTGGTCGGCTCCACATCTTGTGCAATATATCGAGGGCCGACTCTGTACCAGCAGGATCTAAAGGGACATCGGAGTATGTACAGGAAAAGGAACGCCTGCGAGCCGTTCAAGGTATGGGAGGTCACTGCATGAGCTGGGCCCCTGGGTCTGTACAGGAATCTCGTGGTCGGACAGCCTTCTGCAGTAGAAGCCATCGTGTACATTACCGAATTGTAGCCAGGAGTAGTATATGGTCTATAGATAGGGAAATCGTAAGCCATGCAGCCATGACATCGTTACTTGCGAAGCCAACTCCTGTTCGTGGACAACAGACGGGCTTTTTAAGGGAAAAGCGAAGGTTTAACACGCCTGCGTAGCCTGGAAAAAACGAGGGCCTGAGTATCCATAGAACTGTACGCTTTCAATATCGATGTTACCGTCTTCAGAGTCTTTTGGGCTCCAGAGTTTGAGCAGAACGTTTCTGCCAGAACTGCGGGGCTTGTTAGCAAAGCTATCAAGTTCTAGAGCAACCAGACTTACATCGCAGGCTCAAACTTGATCGTGATTTTGTTCCTGTTCTTCTTGATGAAGAACCTTGCGTGAGGCGCAAGTACATTCCCTCTCTCAACATCCTCCACACCAGCGTCGATATGACTCGGTCTTGCAAGTCGACTGGCTCGAATAGGTTCCGTGATGTCCAGGAGATTGCGATACCGAGGACCGAGCGAAATCCGTCGTGAACGCATCTCCCAGTCATCGGCAAATTGTGCAGTCTCTAGGATTTGGCGAAAGCGTGCTCCTGTGCCTCGACGGGGCGCCACATCCTCATCTTCGTCGTCGCTACTGGGTCGCCAGCGCCCCTCGCGCTGGATACGGTCGGCCATTGTTTCGACGTTGGGATAGTCATCGTTGGATGACTCTTCTTCCTCTTCGCTGGTGGTTGTGACGTAGAAGGGAGGTGGTGTAGGAGCTGATACACCAGCTGGTGCGGTGTAATCGCAATCAAAATCTATCTCCTCATCGCTCTCCATTGGGGGCTCTGAGCTCCTCTGGTGGTCCGGATGTGCTCGTGCGCGTGATTCCTGGTTCAGTCGCCGAGTACGCCGCCGGAGGCGTTCTATGCGTGCTTCGACATCGTCTTGTAGACGGCTTCGAGAATGTTGCCAGACGTCTGGATCATCGATTGCTTCTCTGAGCGAGATTTGCTCAGCGTTTCGAATGTATCTGCGACGCTCAGGAGAAGGCGAGGCTGATGGCGAATGAGTGCGATGCTGCAGTCGGTAAGTGGATGTGCCAGTCAGAAGTTCCCCAGCGGACATGGCCACGAATATCAATCCTTCTTGAACGCTGAGTGTTGTTAGTAGATCATCAAGCCACAAGTGGGCACACATACGGAGACGTGAAGCCACGATCCGGAGCTCGGATGACAACCTTCTCCAGAGCAAAAGGAGCATCTCCAATATGCTTGAGCAAAAGGTTGCATTTAGAGCTTTCGCTGCAGTACACGCTCTTGTCGTTTTTCAAGACGTTCCCCACATCGTAGATCTTCATCGGATTGTCTCGCGTGATCTGACCACCGTCGCAGCTAACGACTTCCATGCACAGGCGTCCTGGAACCATCTGGCCCTTGTAGCCGTACTTGTGGCTCTGGTACTCGGCGTTTCTACTGGAGCCGTGATCTAGTTTCCTCCGCTTTGTCCGTCTGTGCGCTGTGTCCGGTGCGCTTGGGCTTGGTTGACGATTGGCCATGTTTATCCACTCCTCGAAGTTGGCAATTATGGGGGGACGCTCGCTGAGGGAATCGAAGGGTTCGGTGACAGAGTTTATAATGGCTTCACGCTCTTCGTCGATTCGTGCCTGCGCGCGTTGGAGGTAGCGTTCGCTAGGCGTGGCTCGTGGATGGTTCGGATTCGCAGTCGGTGGCCGTCTGAGCAGATTGTACACGGTATCGTCGTTGTCTCGTGGTGGGCCCAATAGGCGGTGCAACCGGCGTCTTTGGTTGACGCGCCGCCTAGCTTCCTGCGAACTGGATCTCCGCCGTTCCACATAGGCATCCGAGCGCTCTGGGGGCTCGTCGGCTAGGCGCAGGACGTTTCTTATGCCAGGTCGAGCCGCAGTCAGAGGAGACGTTGAGGCGTGCGGGTAGTCGAAGCTGCCGGCCGCGAAGGAGAAACCAGCCGGTGGAGGTGAAGACGTGGGCGGGCGTGGCATGGATGACGTGTGACGTAGTGCCCACGGGTTGTGCGAGGGTAGTTGGGACGTATCCAGAAGATTAGCGAGTACGGTCGACAGCGAACGGGATGTATAGCGGCGGTCTTCTATCACAAGGTGCAGCGTGTCGGAGTGACAGGGCGTCAAGGCTGAGGTGATGTCCAACGAGCACCGTCAGAGAGCCCCACAGATCCCCACGTGCGGGGGCGCTAGCTGCAGAGCCGCAAAGGTACCTGAGCCTAATTTCGTCACTCTCCGAGCCTCGCATTCACCTCGGTTTGGGTCCCGGGCCCGGAACCGCTCTCACCTTTACCTGGCCTCGTCGCCGCGCTGTTTCGCACCTTCTTTGTCTCAATCCCACTTAGTTGCTCTTTCTAGACACCAACTTCTATCGTACCTGCCATACAAAATGACGGACCTCACCGCGCCGGCTGATCCAACAGCGGTCAATGGCACCTTCCCAGCGGACGATGCAGCTGGTCAGACCCTCGCTGCCATTGCTGAGTCTGAGAAGATCTCTGCAGGTAGTACTCGCGCAGAATCAATATGTTCGCTGATCTAATTCCTACGGCAGACGAGATCGCGCTCTACGACCGACAGATTCGACTCTGGGGCGTCAAGGCGCAAGAGAAGATTCGTACCGCCAACATCCTTTTGGTCTCTATCAAAGGGCTCGCCAACGAGATTGCGAAGAACCTTGTGCTGGCAGGCATTGGCTCCATCACCCTCGCCGACCACGAGAACGTGACTGAAGATGATCTGGGAGCGCAGTTCTTCATCAGCGACGCCGACGTGGGCAAGAACGTGAGCTGTTTCTTGCCTAGACGCTGCCATGCATACGCTGACAACTACACAGCGCGCCGAAGCAGCGGCGCCACAAGTGCAGAAGCTGAACCCTCGAGTCAGAGTCAACGTGCACACAAGCCCCATCAGCGCCGAAACAGAGGCCAGCTTCTACTCCCAATTCGACGTAACCATTGCGACAGATCTGGACTTTGGCACGACCAACACCCTCAATCTCTGCGCGCGCCTCGCGAACCGACCCTTCTACGCCGGCGCCTCACACGGTCTCTACGGGTACATCTTCGCCGACCTGATCAAGCATAAATACGTCGTCGAGCGCGAGATGAGCAACAAGACAACACAAGTGGGCCCGGAAAGCTCTACGCGCAGCGTCCTTGAGACCTCGTCGAAAAAGGAGAATGGCAAGTCGGTCGAGACGGTCACAAAGCAGGAAATCTACTCGCCCATCATGGCCATCAAGGACTCGCCTCTGCCACCTGAGATCGCAGGCAACCACCGCAGATTGAAGAAGGTGCACCCGCTGCTCACCTGCGTGCGCGCACTGTGGGAGTACCAGTTCCAAGCACACGGCGTGTTCCCGTCACACGACCCCCAGCAACTGCAACTGTTCACCATGATGGCCACGGAGAAGCACAAGCTGCACCTGCTTCCCTCGAACACCCTGACCGCAGAGTTTCTACGCAGCTTCTTGCAGAACCTGGGTAGCGAGCTTGCGCCTGTCACTGCCTTCTTGGGTGGCCAGCTTGCGCAGGACGTCATCAATGTGTTGGGACAGAGGGAACAGCCGATCCAGAACCTGATGCTGTTTGATGGTGAAGAGAGCGCTGGGCCGGTTTATGCGCTACATCCTATCTTTGTGGACAACCCCATCACAGCTCTTCCGTCGATCCCTATGCCTGTGGAGGCCATCTCTATCGATGATTAGGTTGCGCAGGTTATGCAGCCAAGTAGTGATGCTAGGAGACTATCCCTTTCATAACGACGTAGGAGGAAGATTTGGCGCAAGAGAGGACCTACGATACCCAATAGCTAGTTTGGCAACCTGCCAGTAACGGCGTTTTGCAGTACACGAAAAGAATGACTCAACAGGACTATAATCTTGCTCTATGCTTCGCTATAATAACAATGTGCACCATGCAAGTGACCTCCTTCAACTCGGTCCATCCTGTTCTTTCACTGCTTCTTCTTCATCTTATCCGCAGCCTCCTTCCCTCCAACCTTTCCAAACAACACCCAACACAGCCCCAAAAACGCCAACACCACAACCCCCACAGTCCCCATCTCCACCATCCCCGCCTTCTGCGTATCCAACACCGGCACATCGATCGTCTCCACCAACCTCTTATACTCCTCATCCGCACCCCTCTCTCTCGCTGGCTGGACATGCATAAACCTCGTCTTGGGCCCGAACAACGCCTCATACCCCAGATGCTTTCGGTCGAAGGGGTTTAACGAATGCTTTTCGCCCTCGTCGGCACGGCATACCCAGAACACGACGGGCCAGGGGATGGAGATGGGCGTGTGTGGGGTGGGGGACGCGGGGAGGTAACGGAGGTGCAGGGGTATGGAAACGTTCCAGTCTCCTGACGACGGAGGAGCGGACGCCTCGGTGTCCGCGGCGGAGGAGGAAGGAGAGGCGAGCTCAAAGAGTGATGCAGAGCCCCATTGTGGAACCACCCAGTCTGGAGCTTCGAGATCTGTGGCGCCTGCTATGCTGCGCAGGGCTATCAGGTTCTTGGATGTCAGGAAGAGAGGGTCGCTAAATTGGTACTTGTCGATGAAGAGCGCGGATGGGAGCGTGAGGTACGTGTGCAGCTTGCATGTTGGGTCCGGTGCGGTCAGGTGCTCTGATGGGAGCGTGAGGGTTAGGGTTGGGTGCAGGCCGGTGGGGCGGTTGATGGAGGTTGTGTATGTTAGGGGCGAAAGTTTGGGGGTAGTGTTGGGGTTGAAGGATTCTGGGGTTAGGAGGGGGTAGTGCCGGGTTGGGGTTTGGAAACGTGTGGGTTCTGTCGGTATGTTAGGTGATGTTGTGCCAAGGCAGATGAGGAGAGCGTACTTGGTTTGTCGTCCCGACCGAGCATGGTCAAGAATCCGCCGAATTGCACATCTTCGGGGTCGGTGTTAGGTTCATGGGATAGGACGCCGATCTCGACGGTCGACTCATCTTCCGGGACATAGACAGACTCTGTCCAGCCTTTCTTATTGGGTGCATGGGACCAAACGACTGTGAAGATTACGGCCTGCGATATAGCGTCGTAGTCGATGTCGATGTATGAGGCTGATGAATCCGCTCCAGTCATATTTTGAAACCACTCAGCGATCTTTGACGCATCCCAATCGTCCTCTGAGAACGGTGAGTAGTACTGCAAGGCTGTAGACATGGAGAAGCGCTCTGAAAGCATCGGTATCTTGATTGCCGTCTCGTGTGACGTCGTGCATTTGATGGGGCTGTAAGTATCGCTGAAAAGTGATCGTATGTCCCGGCACAAATCGGGATTCTTGGCCTCTGTGGAAGGTGTGAAGAAGATGTGGAGGCCTGGTGACACGCGTGACGTGAATGGAGCAGTTACTGAGTCTGGGAAGTCGGAAGCCCAGCGAATATGTAGTTCATGCCATTTCTTCAGAACTTCGCTGACCTATGTCAGCCACTCGAAAGCATGGTAGATTCGTGGGGCAGTTACATATTGATTGGTGCTTGCGATAGTTCGTCGAGACCAAGTGTAATACGGTGTTCTTTCGCTGCATGGACGCCTTTCAAGGTAAAAGTATCCCCATTTCCATTCTTTCTTTTTTGAACGCTGATCTGTTCAGGGGTGAAAGACTCTGGTTCCGTCACAACATATGTTATCCGTTGCTTCATGATTGTTGTATGAGTGTCGACGAGATCGTGCGTGATGGGACTCGATGTTCACATGCAGGTGGCTCGGCTGCACTTGCCTGTTGCTGGCAGCTGCCCTTGCGTTCCCTGACAGGTGACATCATCGCGCTAAAAGAGGCTCTTCCATAGCGAAGTCTGGATTGCTGCCTGCGCCAGCGACATCTTCACCACCGTGTCCTCACGCGATTTGCCACTGCATGGGCTCGCGTAGCCTGCTATATTCATAACAACACCTGCGAACACTCTTACACCGAAACAACGCCATGCGGATCCTCCATTTCCTATATGCAGCGCTGCTGAGTGCATGTGGCGCGCAAGCCCTGCGCTCAGACAAAGTCAAGCTCTCCAACATCCAGAGCCTCACCTTGCGCAAGGGACTCGATACATCGCATCGTCGCGTCAGTGCCATGCCTCAGGTATGTCAATTCGAACCTAGTTGAAACCCATCTTGGCCAAACTAACAGCACCACCAGCTCTCATGCATAGGCGGCAATGCCAAAGGTCTCTACGAACTCGACGTAATGCGCTGTAAGAACTCCGGTTCTGACTACGACTCCGAAAACATACAATGGACCTGCACCGCCTCGCTCCCTGATGAATTCAAGCTCGGCTCCACGGACGTTATCTGCGAAGGCTACGACTACCCCGAGGATCCTTATATCTTGAAGGGAAGCTGTGGAGTAGAGTACAGACTCGTTCTTACGGACAAGGGCCATGAGAGGTACGGCAAGGGCAATGGAGGCCACTGGTGGGGCGGCGACGAGAGCAACGGCAGGGACGGTCCCAAGACGCTGGGCGAGCAAATCGCGGCAGCGCTCTTTTGGATGGTCTTCATAGGCGTCGCAGGTTGGATCCTCTTCAACATTGTCCGACAGTGGGGTCAAGGTCCTGCGGGTGCTGGAGGCGCCGGTGGTAACCGACCCGGCTGGGGCGGCGGTGGTGGGGGATGGGGTGGAAACGACGATACCGACGATCCGCCACCACCTTACGACTACCAGGAGCGGCCAGGCAAGAGCACATACGGCACAAACCAACCGCAAGGCTGGAGACCCGGAATGTGGTCCGGTGCGCTAGGTGGTGCTGCGGCTGGGTATGCCGCTGGGCGCATGGCGAACAGGGGCAATCAGACCAATCAGACCAATAGCGGATGGGGCAGTAACAGTGGCGGATGGAACAACGGAGAAGGCAGTTCGAGGTCGTCGTCCGGATCAGGCTCCAGCTTCTCGAACACGAGGCATGAGAGCACTGGTTTTGGCTCGACCTCGAGAAGGTAGACGGTCACTGCAGAGGCGCAAATTTCTTTTGGCTCAAAATGATACCCATAGCATTTTTTGTTCATCAATACAGTACAGCGCGATATACAGTCATAATCGCCAGGTCCGAAATTGACATACATCAGAGCTTCGACCCAAACCACACCTCAAAGATCTCTCTCACCGCGGACCCTCCACGGAATATCCTCCTGCTCCACTTTCACACAAGTAACCATCCCACCTTATGCTCTTCCACATCAAGACTCCACTCGTTTCTCGCCAAACCCCCTCACAATACCACTCGCAAACTGCTTCAAAATCCTCAAATCCTCGCCCAACGTGTCCACCGCACTCGGCATGACTCTCTGCACCATCCTCCTCACCTCCTCATACACCATATATTGACTCCCACCCGCTCTGATTTTGCAGAAAAGACTCCCGCGCCTGAAAGACGGTTTTGACGCGTCGTGTTGCCGGAAGTACAGTGGTCAAAGTGTCGCGGATGAGTTGCATGATGAACCAAGTATCGAAGTGCGAATGGTGTTCTGGGGAGTAGGGGACGTTATGGTTAGCAGGAAGAGTTCGCGTTCTGCTTCTAGGGCTTCGGTGTCTAGCTCTTGTGACTTTCTGGCGATAAGGCGCTTCATTTCTTCGGGGAGGGCTGAACGTTCGGTTGGCCAGGGCCAGTACGGATACGCGCCAACGATGTGGATGAGAGACTCGGTACATATGAAATCGTTTTCTAGTACCAGTGCGAGGAGATAACGTGGTGGGTCGGCAAGAATGGCCTTGTATAGGGATTGCCGGTATTGAAGGAGAGCGTTACCGACATGTGAAGAGACAAGGTGGACGCAGCCAAGATCTCGTGCGACTTTGACGAGCTGTTCAGTTTGAAATGTAGCGGTCTTGATGTCATTGGCTGTGATGTGTGGTAGGATGCTGTAGAAGGCTCCGAATATCTTGTTGTAGACTTCGATAATAGCATCGTGTGTTGCATCTTCGACGTTGTCTTCAACCTTGAGCCTCACTTTATTAAACCCACCGGGCTCAATCGACTCTACGACGGGGTTTGGTGCCATTGAGTGCTTTGACGTGTCATTTGGATCTGACCATCGACTTCCTCGATGATATAGAGGTACGACTTGAGCCTCTCTACCGTCGTTGCTTATTGTTCTCAGATAGATCGTGCAAACCAGGCGGAGTGTCGAGTAAGGACTGTGCTGTGAAGCTGCCACTTCTTGGATGGTGTAGTCAAATCTGCACGTACGAGGATGTCGCCTGAAGAACAAACAGGATATTCGTCTGTCGGAGTGCTCTGAGTGATCGACAGGGTTGATAGTGACGGCAGATCGCGTGCTTTAAGTTGAGTAGCCTGCCTCGACGTTAAGAATTGCCACTTCACAAAGAAATCTTGGAACTTACAACAGTATGGTCAGAAGAGCTCTCTCGCAACGACCTCGGGCTTGGAATACCGTTATTAACCATTCTTACGTGCCGATGCACTGCTGATTGGGCAAGCTGATGATTGTTAATCGAAGTCGTAGTTTTGGGTGCGAACTGGTCTCTTCTAAGGTTCTTTTATGATGCCGTTTGGTATGTCAATGTGGGTTCGATACTGTTGTCAGAACTTGCTGTGGATGATCTTAATGTAGACGATGTACCAAAAGGTGAGAATGACGGAGACCGGAGTGGGCCAATCCAATATCTTCAGATAGCGACGGTGTTGGGCTTGTATAGCCCTTCATTAAGTAAGGCGAGTTTAGGCGCTTCCGTGATGTTGATGACGCCTGTTGATGCTCGCGCTTGCCCATGGTTGTGTCTAAGGCAAAGCCTGGAATGAGACAGTGTTTGTATCGGAACAACCTAGCTAGTGTGAAGTCGGAAGAGAAGCTCACAGCTAGTTGACGCTTGCCGAACAAACCTTCTGGTTATCGAGCTGAGAGGGGACTCAAGGAAGAGTGAGACTAGTAAGTCCATCTTCTCGTAAACTTGAGAACCGCAAGTAGACCACTGTTTTGGCATGCGGCGGGAGTTCGAGTATCGAGTGACCTTGCTGTTTGTACGAAGGTGAGTTGACCTAGCCTCGACACATGAACGAGTACCTCCAGCTGCACCAACAACGAGCGCTGAGTATGTCCTCATCATGTCAGCATCCTTCGCCAATCCTCAAACTTGCTAATATTGTGGGAATGATGAAGACCTGGACAGGTTTTGAAATAACCTGCGCTCTGGAGCGTGTCAATATAGGTTGTAGCTTGATCACTCTGCTGTTGCAGTTGTATCGTCGCGTCTGAGATGTCAAGTGCTGTCGACCTCCAGGGTGGATGTTATTGGAGAAGGAGGCTTCTGCCGGTATCCATTACCCAATAGGTACTAGCGTTGTTGTTATGTAGCTTGATCCTTCGGGATCTCAATTTCAATACACTTACACCTCACGTAGGATTTCTTCTACACGGAGACCTGGCGAAGGAAGGCTCGGTCCAAAGCTTGCTGCTATTCGTCTGCGCATCCAGCACTTGCTCTGTCAAATAGTCAGACCATAATGCCTGAGCGCTCACGACTTGTACATGAGATAATCAACAATGAGGTCGAGTGACCAGCTTTTCGAGTAATTAGCAACATACGTTCAAGTTGCAGCCAAACGCGTCAAGTTCCATGCGGCTCGGAACAATCGCTCTGTCGATTTGCTGCAAAACATCCTCGTGTCTCGGGCTTGCCCGTTGTTGGTTGCTGCTAGCGCGTGAAGGAGATGTTCTGGACAATAGCGGATTCTTCCTGCCCATGTTCTAGACGTCGGCCGTAGTTTCAGATAGGTATGCGAGACGAGAATCCTCGTAACGATCTCCATAATGGCCTGCGACATGACATGATTATTGCGTCAGAGGCTTTTCGCATTGCGAGTGAGCAATTCAAGAAAACCGCGCACTTGATGATCAAAGATGAAGACGGTGGTGCGCAGGCATGCCGTTCTTTTGCAGGCGCATGTTTTCGTGATCTGCGCTTTCCTTGAGGTGCATGAGCAAGGAATGGAAAGGCAGCATTTGACGACCGTTGATCGCCAACGAGACGCACGCACAGGCCCTGTATGACCTCTTTAGTGGCACCGCGGGCTACACAGACTTTCTTCTGCGAGTGAAGAGTGCGTCCAAAATGGGGTTGCGGCACAAAAGTCCGTCAAAAGGTGGGCAGACCCCCTGGGGTTTCCAAAGCTTCTTATGCAATTCTCGTACGATTCCTCCTGGATACTTTTCCTCTTCGAAGCTGCACCATTACCATAACATCGGAAATAGCATAGCCCGGCGAACTCTCGAATGTGTCAAGATGGAAGGCGTTGTCGCCGCATCCTTGGATGCAATTCTGCCAAAACCACCGGTTTCTACACTTGTCGATCTCCCGCAACCAAAACGACCTGACAGCATTTGCGATGCCAGTAGCGCTGAGTTCGACATCTTCCGCTTCACACCTGTTCCTACACTCATTCTTGATGCATCGCGCAGAATCGTCCAAGTCTCAGACAGCTTTGTTATGACCTCGCCAGGAGGTAGACGCGAAGATCTCGTGGGGTGGCACGCAGATGACGTTTTGGACCGAACAGACCGAACTTCAGCCTTCCCGGTGCTTGCCTCGGCCCGCGAAGCGATCCGGATCGTCGAGGAAACTGGATCACTGACTCAGCTTGACCATTCGACTGATTCGCAACAAGTTTGGAGGACTCGCACAGTTCCCATATATCGCAATGACAGCCTTCATTGTACACAGTTGGAGTTCCACGATGTTACCGAAGAGCACAGGAAGAGGCTGGAGCTAGAGGAACGTTTGAGGAATGTGGAGACTTTCCGTATCCTCGTCGAAACGGTCAAAGACTATGCCATTTTCATGCTCGACCCAAATGGAAACATTGCAACTTGGAACGCTGGAGCTCAAGCCTTTAAAGGGTATACAAAATCGGAGATCATCGGCCAACACTTTTCCAGGTTTTATGGCGAGGACGATCTTGCAACAGACAAGCCAGGTAGAGAGCTCCGAACTGCACTCCGCGACGGACGTTGCGAAGATGAAGGGTGGCGTTACCGGAAGGACGGCTCCAGGTTCTGGGCCAACGTTGTCATCACCCCCGTTTTCAGAGAAGGTGTCCTTCTTGGCTTCTCGAAAGTCACTCGCGACATGACAGATCGGCGAAAGGCTGAGCAACAACTCATCGGTGCATATGAAGAGGCATCAAAATTAAAGTCAGAGTTCTTAGCCAACATGTCTCACGAGATCAGGACCCCTATGCATGGCTTGCTCTCAGCTTTGACGCTGTTGCTTGATACGAAGCTAGATTTCGATCAGCTGGACCTTGCTCGCGTCATCCAAGAGTCTGGCGAGGTGCTTCTTCAGGTGATCAACGACATTCTCGACTACAGCAAACTGGCCAACGGCAGCTTCTCGATTAGCCACGACATCATCAACATTGCAGATATCGTCCATTCTGTCCACCGAGCGCAACAAAAGCTATTCAGTCCTCAGGTCAAGTTTGAAAGCCACCTTGACCCTCAGATACCTAAAGCCGGGGAAGGGGATAGTCTTCGATATCGTCAGATAGTACAAAACTTGGTCTCCAACGCTGCAAAATTTACCGAGGAGGGATCTGTACAAATCAATGCCAGGCTTGAGAGTGAAGATGAGGAGAACTCAATTATCCGCACCGCAGTCGTGGATACAGGCATCGGAGTGCCAGAAGCATCTGCGAAAGCTCTCTTTACTCCATTTACCCAATTTGACAACTCCGCTACCAAGAGATATAAAGGTACTGGTTTAGGTCTCAGCATCTGCAGAAGCCTTTCTGAGCTCATGGGCGGTGAAATTGGCTTTCACCCAAACCCTGAGGGTCATGGTAGCGTTTTTTGGTTCACCATCAAGCTCAAGAAGTGCAAGCAGTTTCAGACCATTAAAACTCCCCGGATCGAATTGGATGGTCTTCGAGTCCCTTCGCCAGCGGACGTAGACCACATGGAAGAGATCAAACGTGTTGCTGTTAACAAGCACCTGTTACTGGCGGAAGACAACTTCATCAACCGAAAAGTTATGTTGCGAATGCTGGCAGGTCTTGGCTTCCCGAACATCGATGTTGCTACTGATGGCAAAGAAGCTGTCGCAAAAACGATACAGTCGGCAGATGACAGGCACGCATCAGTTCCGTATGACCTCATCTTGATGGACGTTAACATGCCAGTCCAGGATGGCGTCTCAGCCACACAGGAGTTGAGGGACAGAGGATTCTATATGCCTGTTATCGCGATGACTGCAAACGCGCTGAAAGGCCAAGCTGAAGCATACATTGCCAAAGGCATGAGTGGATACATCGCAAAACCTGTGGACAGGAAGCTTCTGATCAAGATCCTTCTGAGCTGTTTCAAAGATCAGTCTAATGACTGAGGACTGATTCGCTTAACACCACAGGTGTCTCGGGATATCACGATTCAATAGACCACGGCAATGAAGGGGCGTAACTTTCGAGAGGTGGTATGCGCACTCGCATCCCTTGCCACATGCCGTCGCTGCATAGTATCTTGTACCATGAGAGTCCTCAGGTCTCACACGAACGATTTCGCCTCACCGGACGATTTTTGGCTCGAACGAAAAGCGCATAAAAAGGTGCAATAACGACTCAAAGTCATCTCGCGTTGCCGTAATGGATATGCTGATAGGTCGCGATTATCATATTGCATTGTTACCTTTGCATGGGATAAACGAATCGTTGTGGGCAGGCATGTGTAACAGAACGGTATTCCTCCATTTGTGATGGTGGCTCTGTGCATATGCACATGCACCCCTGCCAATCATGAGCCCCGCAAAGCATGCGAACACCTTTTCAGGGTTCCCGGCTCGATCCCTCACAGACCAGGTACTCGAGGAACTTTTGTTCATGACTTTGGATTCGAGTGCGACAACAGAAAACGGACAAAATGCAAAGGCCACTTTCATTTTGTGGGGCTGACAGGGATGGCTCTCAGTTTCCGAATGAAGCCCTCAATTAAAATCCGTCCATACCGAATGTCTCTGCAGATCCAATGTAAGAGCGCCGTATGCGCCATGTTTCTGAGCGGACCACAGCCGTTGCCTACTTGAACCGCAGCAGTCCACAAGTCAGCCTTGTGTATTGCATTTATACACCAGGTATCTCATGGAGAATCGCTAGCAACATGGGCATATTCTCGATAAAAATTTACATTTGATCGCTGTGATTATATTGATGGAAGCTGCAACCAGCGACTCGATAGTCCCGATGGCCGAGCCACGCAAGGCAGAGGACAGCACGGCACATGAGGTATATATAAGCCTCCCATTGCCAGCGCTACATCTCCAACATAGGCTTCCCAATACCTTGATAGAGGAGCAATTGGACCGAGATGGCACCAGAACTCGTGATGTGAACGAGAGTCTGCTGCTATCAACTCACCGCGTAGGTATCACCGGATCGCCTTAACCATTGTACCATTTGGAGATCCGCAGGGAAGGAATACACAAGGATGGACCAAGAGGTACATACACAGGTGGAGATTGCCCTTTTTGATGGTGCTTTTCTTCGTGCTTGGTGCTGCTGTCAGCATAGCACACTGCGTGTTCTATCCGAATCTCAACGGAAAGATCGTAGGAGACTCGAACCAACAGGAAGAAAGATCAGTGAGAATGTTGTCAGGCTGTCAAAACAATTATTGACCATGGCAGGTTCGGCACCGCGTGCGCCTTCCTCGCTCAAATCTATTTAGGGACTAGTGTCTGGACCATCTACACTCAGTGGCTCTGGCGAACAGTGAAGCGAAAAGAGATGACCATTGAAGCCTGGAATGCCTTCAGCGCTGATACCTCTGCATTGTCTTTGTTGAATTGGGAGATGCTACGTAATCTTCGCTTTGGGAGTGCTTCGGCGTTCTTCGCATGGTATGTTGTTGCGGCGAGGGGCCGCTGGTAGAATACGATGGAATACTGCGCTGAGTTGCTATCCAGGTAGGAGAAGACGACTATGTACCTGACCTGTAACACACTAGACTAGGGTAGTCTGCTATGGGTATAGTCAGACCTTGTACGCACCAATCGTTACCGCAATATATGTTGGTTTTCACTATATACCTCCTGCCGCTTACGATATGCAGGAGCCTGCTCTTGCCCCCATTCTTCACGCCAGCAACTATGTTCATCTACGAGAGTACCGCTGTGGAGAAGACCGTCGCAGCTATGCCGTACCCAAACATAGCAGTCAGCACGGAGGCTCACCGTTACTCGCACTCCCCACCTGTGCGTCGGGATACGCGACAGTACATAGATGATTGCAGCCAAGTTTTCAATGGCCCAAGGACTCAGTTAAGTCTCATATCCACCGCTGTTTCTTCCCTTGGAGAGATTTTTCCAGCAGATCTACCCTACAACAATTCGACGTACTCTATGGAGTTCTTCGCTCCTATTGTCAAGTGTGAGATCGCCAACATCACAGTGGCGAAGCAAATCAGTGACTACCTTCAAGAGGGTATGACTATTGCGTGGGGTCCTGCAAAGGAAAGCGATATGGAAGTTGAGTGCTGGTTGGGGACGAGCCTGGGATGGTATTATATACTTGACAGGCTGCGATGGCGGCAGGTTCAAGAGCATAGTCATGCGAGAGGCCGATTTGTGAATTTGGCAGCTGACTTGACCAACGGGCGGCGGTGAGGGATCGCTATGCTGTTGGCAAAACCGTTGATAGCGAGCGCGTATGGGAGCTTGTTGAGTTCCAACTACTCCAAGATGGTAGCGTTTGGTGGCACAGTTCCTATTATGGCTCTGCATTATAGGGAGCTCCGGCCAATCATCACCCACTTTTAGAAGAAGTACAGATCTCACACCAAAACAACAAGGACATTGATGATGGCCCCTACAACCCCGTACTTGACGCTTTATTGGATGGCAATTTGGATGAGATCAATGATATCATCGACTTTCTCAAGGTCCCCTATGACCTCACTAAGGCTATGGAGGATTCTAATGAAGTCTCCAGCTTTGGCTCACTGTGGCAGACTATTGTCAATCTGCAAATGCTGTGGGAGCACTATAACACGGCAATGGAGAGGTTTAGCAACTCTGATAAGTGCTACTTGAAATCAGCTATCAGCTATGGCCTGGAGAAGCTCAACACCTATTGGGGGTAAGTTGATCATGACCACAAGCCCAAGCTGTAACGACGCAGGCCAGTAGGGAAGATGTCCGAAGTAAGTGTGAGTCCACTGCGAGGCATATGGGAGTGCTGGGACGTTGAGAACACTAGGAT